GCTCATGTGCTCAAGCGCGGTCTCGTCGATGCCGATGTCGCCGCTAAGGCCGACGTTGCTAAGCTCGCCAAGGTTGACGCTGATGTTGGCGCTCACGTGCTCAAGCGTTCCGTCATCGGAGTTAACGCCGATGTCGATGTCAACCTCCTCAAGAAGATCAATGCCGCCGCTGGTGTCGATGCCAAGGTCATCCCGCGCGGCCTCGTTGACGCCGATGTTGCTGCTAAGGCCGACGTTGCTAACCTCGCCAAGGTTGACGCTGATGTTGGCGCTCATGTGCTCAAGCGTGGTCTTGTCGATGCCGACGTCGCCGCTAAGGCCGACGTTGCTAAGCTCGCCAATGTCGACGCTGATGTTGGCGCTCACGTGCTCAAGCGCTCGATCATTGACCTCGGTATTGACGTTGACGCCGAGCTCCTTGACAAGATCCAGGCCGCCCTTGATCTTGATGTTTCGCTCCTGTAAGCGAGTCGACGCTATGCCAATTCCCCCCCGCTGTCAAATAGAGCAACATGTCCCCCGAAGTCGTTAGGCTTGGGGAGCACGCCGGTGTCAGTGTTGGGCGTCGACGATCTCTCGATGGTCGCTGTATATAAATGATCTCGCGAATAGAAGAGAAGGATATACCCCCGTGTAATGCTTTGTTTTTTTTTTGCATAGAGCGCTATTATACTCTAATACGATGTTTTAATCACACTTTATCTTTTCCCGACTTGTATATCCCTCCGTACTTATACAGAATAACCCTTGAACAGCCAATTAAGACATCTCTTTTCTGGTTCCTAATAAACTAAAGGCATGGTCGAAGGAATACCGGCTGTCCGCTCGTTCATATAAAGTCTCCGAGTGCTATTTCCCGGTCCACGTTCATGCGCAAAGGTACTTGTCGAAGTGACAGGTCACCATCGGGCCAAAAGACTGCCCGGACACATTTCGGCCGACGGTAATACCTTTATAGCAATAGGATATCCTTCGCGAATCGATTGCTGACCTCCATATAACATTGCATTTTGGAAACCCGCTTGATATATACATCATCGCGTGCGATTCCCCGGACTACATCCACGTATAGCAGGTTATGTTATACGTTTGTATGCTGCCATAGTCCAACTCTTAGAGCAACAGAAGCATTTGCATTTTATATCGCGGATTGACTTACTGGCTCGATGGTAGCCATTGGGAGCTACGGAGTGCTGCGTTTATACAGTTTTATGCATGCGTGCAATTGTAAAGTTAAAGTTATGCCGGGCTGTGCTGCTGTGCATTTTATGCGGCTGTGCCATGATGTGTACATAATACTTATGCACGCATCCATTTATGCAAATCTATGCCTTCCCATTCTGGCCTCCTCTTTCCCCCTTATTCTTCCTTCAATCCTCTTCACCACCACCAACCTCTTTCTTTTTATTGCATCGGAGCTAGGCCCCTTGGCAATATGCCGGGATCTTGTTTCTTATTCTATCTCAGCCATTGCGCTGGCTGCATTTTACACCGACAGTCCTGTTCATCCATTGCAATATGCCTCCGCTGCAGCTAATGCAAGTGATTATCTGTTGCTAGGTACAACGCAGATATACTGACCTGTTACAGTATTGGAAGAGCCGAGTCGATACAAAAAGGCGACACTGAGTCAATCGCTTTCTAAATGATCGCCCATGGAGCAGTTCGATCGAGCCAGCTTCAAAGGAAGTATCAACGTGGGGGACATAGGGGAAATAATCGCCGTCATTATACTGTTGGTTTTGCTCGATGAAGCTTGCAGGGACCTCCTCATCCAGAGTTCATCCAAACGAGCGGAACCCCCACAAAGGCCACACAAAGATACGGGCGTTCCTGTGGATCGTTGATATTGAGTCCCTGCGAGACTTGGTAGAACAGGCGCGGACCGAACGAGGCCAGCGGGAGTTTGCCTTGGCATTTGAAGGAGGAACAAGGGACGAGAAGATTACTGAGGCTTGTATGTTTGCAATGATATTAATCGCCGCACCATCATAAGGACCCCATGGCACTGTACAGAGGTGTTCTATCACAATTGAAGGTTTGTTGCGTTGCTCATCGAAGCTTTCCCTTTGAAACCGCATCATTGCATAGCCTCGTCAACGTGATGAGTCTCCCCGAGCTGGCGGATCTGGTCCGTAAGGACATCATTGGGGAGATCTTCGAAACCTCAAAAACCGAACATGCCATTCTGAAACCAGAGCCTTCTTGTGGTTCAGCGGCCTGAAGATGCTGAGTGAGCTAGCAGAGCCCAGATGGGCTAGCGATCCACTTTTAAAGAGCTTCCGCCACCAGATAATCACATCTGGGACAACCTTTACCTTCACGACAGACGTCCCCGTGAACCGACCCCTTCACTGATGGAAATTCAGTTCCATCTTCAACGGGTGGCTGCAATGTCGGGCGCGGGAGAATGTGAGGGCGATGACGATGACCATAAGGACGATGAGGGATTCACATCCGATGGACTGATTGCTGCTTCAAACTTTCATTACTACCACGATTCTCCAGATGAATCGCACGATTGTCAGAGACATGGACTTTACCTTGGCTATTGTCATTCAGACGACGGGGAGTACTGCCCGACGAAAATTGTCAGCCCATGGAAGCGCGCATCGCGCAAGCTGTCCCTGGATTGGCTCAGAAGCCTGGCCAGGCGCGTTACCGGAAGGGGCCGAGCGAAGTCTTGCCCAGCGAGTGCATTGCGCTCGAGCCACAACAACAGCAGGGGTAGCGGGAAGAAGAGGTCTACGTCTTTAGAGGTTATACCGTCGTGGTTGCAATGCGAGATCAGCCTACCCATTCTTCATCTTAACCCCACCGTTTCCACCACCCAACGCATACCAACCATCCTAAGTTTATCGAGACGATATTGCGTGTTTATGTATTTCATCTTGTGGTCCAAATTGCTGGTCAGTTAGAAAAATAAGATTCATTCAAATGTTCTATGCTAATCGCTACAATTTTTGGAGTGCCACCCACTCAATTCATTGTACATCCAACTGCTAAAGCATCAATGAAAACATACAACACATTTATCATGATCATATCCATGACCTTCAGCACTAACCTTTCTCGATATGATCCTGCTCGAAGCCAATCTTATCCCGGCTTGCCTCTCCCACCACGTCTGCATGTTTCATAGCCCCCGTGTTCGCCACAATGCTAATGTTCCCATGCTTCCTCTTCTCCTTCGCCAGCTCCTTGGACAGTTCCACCGGCCCCTTATCCGGGTTAGTAAACAGCAAGTCAATTTGCTCAAGCGCCATTCTAGCCGTGTCATAATTGAAGAAGTAGATAAGCAGTGCAAAGACAAAGTTAGTGTACATGGGGGTCAAATGTGCCTTCCATTGCAGCCGGTCGATGATAACAGGAGTTATAACCCATGCATTCACTTATGTAAATCATTGGGCTCTCGTTTCCGCTATTCTATCCGTTGCTCGATGTCTTTCCGATTCACACTTCCTATAGTCCTCTTTATCCATGGCAAAACTTCTCTCTGCTATTTACTTATTGAATTAACGCGCTCAAGTCTATCCAGCGTCTGGGAATACGCGTACTTGATTCTGTATTTATCTCGTCAAATACCTCAATCCACTAAGGACAACTGGTCTGGGACAGGATGAAAACATCCTACGATACTTGCTGTTTGTTCTTGAGCATTACATAAGGGGATCATTAATCATTGAGCATTGTTATGTTTGCAATGAAGTTAGCGGTCGAAGCTGGTGCTCGTCACCTCTCCAATTTGGGGAGCTCCTCGGACACAGTCCCAGATGAGCCGAGTCACAAAAAACGAGAAAGAAGTCGACAAAGAAACCATAAGAAAAAAAAAAAAAAAAAAAAAAGGCGCGACGAGGGCCAGAAGCAATGAGTAAGTATCCGTTGGCGTTGAGGTAGATCATTTCTCATCTTTGACCTGGTACCGCATCCGTGAGAGGGACAACTGCAAGGCCACAGAATCAGAAGGCTACAATGATGTAGCCCAAATATTCCCCTTTGTTTGTGGCAGTTGCAGGAACTCATGGAGTATTTCTGGCCAGCAGAAAGGGTTGAGCCTGTTGGGGATGGGAACGGTGATCCACCATGAGTGATGTATCTCGCTCCATCTGCTGACCGATACTTCGAAAATGCGTTGTTTGATCTCAAGCTTATAGAAGCAACGGATACAGAGCTCAAACGGCAATTCTTCTGGCTGATGGTCAGCAAGACTAGTCACGGGGCCCATGCATCAAGATGTACAGCACAATCATGGATGCGATGGTGTGGTCCGGTGACACAGTCACCTTATCCACGCCTGACCGTACCCACTGCTCTCTTGGGAAATCTTCGAGATGCAGTGGAATCTCCAGCGATGGACCGTTACTAGCATTCAAGGCCAGTACGGACCGATGATTAAGGATCTACCTCTTATTGAATCCCACCACCATAGATTGGTTAGTTTCCATCCATATTACCAGATCAGATACCACATGGCCACTTCCATTGACTCGAAGAGAGAAAACACGATCAGCGCAGCGTCATTTGACGACATCTTGAACACCCATGTTTTCTCAGATACGGGAAGCAAGATGAATACAGAACAGAGCGCACCGGCAATCAGATATTCCTTGGCCCCAGTACCCATGAATACTGGGAGAAGGCGATGGCTTCCTTAGGCTGGTGGGGCGGTCCGATGACGGAAAGGACCTTGTCCTCAAATTTCACTGAATCAGGGAGGGAAAAGCCAGCGATAGAGCGAGAATGACAAGAATGTCCAAATTCAACACGGGCAAGACAGTCTAGTCCGCGATATCTGATCGTGGGACTGCAAGACACGGCAATTGATCTCAGCAGGTCCTAAAATTACCATGACTAACGACGATCCGGTCTAGCGTCCCTTACCCTGTTGGGAGGTCTAGCTTCAATGACACCTAGGCCACATTGCGGCAATATGCGGCAATATGCGGCACCGGGACTAAGGACAACGAGAATCTCAGCAATGATGAGGACTAGGGGTAAAAGACGCTCGGCAGGTTGCGCCCGAGTTAATGGCTTGTTACAACTCCGGGAATCATATAAGGCACGTGATCAGAGCATGTCACACTGACAGACATGTCATGTTCTTCCTACAGAGAATATCGGGCTCACCCAGGAATCAGCGTTTATAACAGCATAATGTTCCGAGGCATAACGTCCAGCACTCCCTTCATACCAAGAACAAGTGATTCAGTGCAGATGTCACCGTATGAGTTGAGATCCTGGAGATGCAGTGACATCTGCCGCGCATTACTGCGGTGTCCGGATCATTTCTGGGTGCAAACCAGTATCGGAGGACGAGCAAAGTCCCGCCAGCAGTTAGCTGTTGCTTGATTTCTGGAAATACGTTTCTGAAATGGATGCTGCATCTATCGATGATTATTGAAGCGTTACCCGCAATGAATGGCTAGACCGCTGGAACATTCTAGGCCTAGGAGAGGATCCGGACACCAAGACCTAGTGCGTTGGCCCCGTCAGCATCCACAAATACTGGGGAAAAGGCAATGTGTTTTCTGAGAGGCAAGCAGATGGATTTTCATTTTGCACACCAAGTATGGACAATGTACGAAGTATATTTTTAATATCAATCTCTTGCATTCATAGCTACGCGCTCATTATAAAGGCTAGTCTTATTACATACGGGAGAATCTGAACAATGATATATCACATGACGGTCAGCACGAGTCATTTAGTAGATGTCACCGTGTGTATCGTGCATTTCGAGCAATATCAAATAGTGAGGTATCGCCTGGCATACACCGCACAATTCTCCACACAAGTCTGCCCAATCTGCAAGCCATCAGGCAACTAAAATCAACATGAAGATCGCGGCTTTTACGTTTCTCGCTTTCGTGAGCATGGCCCTTGCGCTGACTCCTGAGCCAGTAAGTACTCTGTACATACGCCCACGCTATGCGAACGAATACTAATCCAGTAGCCTCGTCACGACGTCCTGAGTGGACCCGAAGTTGGGCCGGTTGTTCTAGGACCTGGACCGGTTATCCCGGAGGAAAGCGAGGCACTTACTAGGGATTAGTTGTCCTGTAAAATAGAGCAGCCTAATCGGAACTCGGAATGGAAAAATAGCGGTAGAAATAAATCCGGCGATCCTCAGCCCTATAAGGCGCGCCAAGAGCCCCACGACATCTTCATCATTACCCGTTTAGGTATGGCGGCATTCCTGAGGTGTTCTCTTTTCTCTTTTCTCTCCCTTTATCTCCTTCTCTCGTCTTCATTCCTCTCACCACACTCGACCACCGTTATGCCATAATGGCATCCGAATTATCCTCCCTCGAAGCTCCCCCCGTCATCCCCAAGTTTATCCGCGCCGAAAGCGACCTCACCTGGCACTCTTCCCTCTCCTTCCCAACCCCGACCGACTACTTTTCTAGCCATGTCCCGCCCGACCACCACGTATCCCTCGTCCGATCGCACAAAAAGAAATATATCAAGAGGAATAAACCCTACCGTCTCGTGCGCCAACAACAAATCAAAAACAGCCTCCTCGCCGGTGTCGGATACCTCGAGCTCGCCAACGCGGGTGATTTCGCTGCCAACGTGTGGAACCAGATTCCTGTTCCTAAACATGCGATGATACTGATGGCTATTGGGGGTCCGATCGCGCTGAGCATGACGTTCTTCGCGGTGCGGGATTTCTACCTAAGTTACCAGAATGTGCGGTTACTACGGGCGGAGAGGGAGGATTTGGTTGCTCTGCGGGAGAGACTGTCGACGTCTCCAGAGGAAAAGGATGGGGAGCTTATACAGGTCTTGGATAGTCGGTTGGGCGTGGGGATAAGGGAGTTGGGTACTGAGATGGTCGATCGGATAGTTATGGATGTGTTGATGGGCTTGGGTGCGTTGATGGTCGGGGTGGGTACGATTATGGCCATTTTCGGGGCCAATCCACGGGTATTCAAGGCGAGTAATCTGCTTTCGGGATACGTGGGTAATTCGATGGCTGCGGTTTTTGGGCTCTTCAATGCGATATGGTCGGGGGTTCTTGTATGGCGGTTTCAGCTGCATGACAGGGTGTGTCAGCGGTGCGATGACACGAGCAGCTACGTGCTTACGCCTCAACAAAAACAACGGCTGCGGACTCGCTTTCGTCGGTTCCAATGGCATGCCATTACGAACGCGGTAAATGGCCTGGTCGCTGGTGCAGCATCTATGGTTACTGCAACGCGGTGGTGGGGATACGTCGTGCTGATACCTTGCATCATCTCCCTCATCCTCTGCAATTACTACTGGCGATACAAACTTGGCTACGACAGGCCTATAATATCCTCGTCGTCCTCGACTCTAAAAATCGACCACGTCATTACTGGTACCTTGCCTCCTTTGCTGGCCGATCTATCCTACGTCTCCGCCGTCCACGACGCCCTCGCCCAGTCGTCACCTACGGCCCTACCCAGGACCGTGGTAAACCTTGACTCTCTCGAGTCCCTAATATCCTTCATCGCGCAAAACCACATGTTCGAGTCATTCTGCGAATGGCTCCTGCAAGAGGATCAATCGGTCATCGCCATGTTGGTTGGAGACGCACCCTCAGTCGATCCGCAGGGCCAGATAACGCTTTCACCAAAGCACTTTGTACAAGGATACGGCGCCTCGAACGAACCAGATGCTGAGCTTGCAGATTTGCTACTGGAACGGGCAAGGGGATTCTTAAAGGCTGTTGGAAGAAAGGTCTTCGCATACCGCGAGCGGTATTTACTAGAGTTGCTTGGATATGCGGTTTGGCGGGAACAAACTGGGTTTCGTTCATAAGCTACGACGCTGTGCCGTCGATCTGATATAGTACAGTTTAGTAGATATGTGCAGCGCACAACATTACACTAATATCATTGCATATATCATCCCCAAATCTAATCTATTCTATCACTCTACAATGCACATGCACATGCAAACACTGTACCACAAACTAAAAACTAAACAACCCACTTCTCCTCTTCCCATACGGATAAACAATCAACGCCGCCAAAAACAACCCAATCGTAATCCCAATCGCAACCTGAATCATCCCAAACCCCAAATTTGTCACACTAGTATCCCCTCCCCCTCCACTCCCTCCCCCCTTCTGCCCTACATTCGACGTGGTCTCATCCGCAGAATGCACGCCCGATATTAGACTCCCCGTCGCCGCAAGGCCACTCGGGACTAACACGAATATACCAGGGAGGATAGCAGTCGCTGCGTGGCCGTGCCAGATTCGTGAGTACAGGTTTCCGCATACGCCGATTGTGAATGCGCCGACTGTGTTTGCGACTTGGCTGTTTGCACCGAGGGTTTCGGTGCAGAAGTAGTTTGTTATGTAGCCTGCTAGCGCGATGACTAGCATCGGTGGGATTTGTTTAAAGCGGCCTTGGTTGATGATAACCAGCCAGACGACCATGATCGCGACGAATGGGAAGCGCTGTACGTAGGGATCTTTAAAGGCCCCTGTTTTCGAACACTGGGTTTCGGACGTCGCGTTGTTGTCGATGAGGCCGTAGATTGTTGTTCCGACTGTTATACCATAGCCCAGGAAGAGGGAGTAGATGATTGCGTAGACCATGCGGATGGAGCCTGCGGCGATTTGGTGTGATTGGAGTTCCAATGAACTACAGAGGACGAGAAACCCGGGTAGGATAAGGGCGATGGAAGATTGTGAGATGGCGGAGAAACAGAAGAGGAATTCGGAGTTATGGCGTATGGACCCGAAGGCTCGCGCGAGAAACGAGGTAAGCACTGAGCCGGTGACTTCGAAGACGTTGGAGTACAGGACTGAGCGGGGAGCGAGAACATGCTGCATGAGGGCTAGGAGACACCCGTTGATGAAGATGATGGGCATGTCTATTGGTCTTGCTTCGAAGGCGAACGGTCCGACTGTAGCTGTTGCGAGGCCGTAGATGAAGACGATGATGTATTTGTTGAAGCGGGGTCTCTTTTTCATGATTTCTTCTAGTTCTTGGATCGCTTCTTCGACGCCGATGATATCGTGGACGACGTTTTTGTAGACTGCGTGTGTGTTGGCTAGTTGGCCTAGATCGATGCCCTGTGCTACACGGACGAGTTTGACTTCGGTTGTCCGTGTGGACGGGTCGTCGAAGGCCATTATCATGCAACCCGGTAGGTAGAGGTATTGGCTGTCTACTTCGAGGACCTTTGCTGTCATTTGCATGTATTCTTCAAGACGGTGTGTTGGCGCGCCGAATTTCATGAGTGCTCTGCAGAGCTGCATGATGTATCTCTGGCGGGCGATGATCTCGGCGATATGGATTGTGACGCGGATCTCGTCTTCTAGTCTTTTGTGGTCTGGTTGTTTAGATTGGCGTTTTGATGCTGCGGATAGGGACTCGTTGCCTACTGGTGTGCTTGCTCCGCTCCGTGCCTGTGATCCTAAAGTTGTTGTGGAGGCGTTTTGTTGTTTCTTGTACCATTTTGGCCTGTCTTTGCGGGGTGTTGTTGCGCCGGAGGCTACCGGGGTGGATGCTTCGCTTGACGACCGGCCTGCTGGTCCTCCCTGGTCTTGTGGGTTGTTGAGCTTCATGAGCTGTGAGAGGACGCCGCCGCCGCCAGAGCGGTAGCGGAGACCAGACTCGATTCCTGATCCTGTATCTTGGATATCCGAACCTTGATGTGGATAGGGTTTACCGCGGGCGTTGCGTCGATGCGCGGATTGGTCTTGGTTGAGTTCTCGGACGAGCTTGTGCGCTTCGGTATTAGCAGTCGCATGCTGCTTCCGCTTCTCCTCATCAGTCTTGTGCTTGTTATCCGTGACCTCTGACACGGGGACATCACCCCCGCCACCCCAGTCTGCATGATAAATGCCCGGGTTTAAATCATCACCACCATGTTCCTCGCGTCCCAGCATAGTCATGAACTGGACTGATTTGCGCTTCATCGCGTCAATCGTGCTCTTAAACCGATCCTTGAAACCCTGCTCTGCTTCCTCGGCCTCGTCTTTGATTTCATGTTCTGCTTTCTTGCCCATGCTTTCTTTTTGTCGTGGTTCTTCTGCTTCTGCCTCTGTTGTCCGCTGGCTCAGCGGGATATCAGCAACATCCGTCGACCCATGCTCAAACGGCGTCGACGGCCGATGAGGCTGCTGATTCCTCTGCGTCTTCTCAGCCTCGGTTTTTTCATCCTCAGTAGACGGACTCCTCGGCGGATTCTGTTGAAACCCCGCACTAGATTTAAACCGTACGCGTTGACCACGCGGTGATCTTGTCGGGTGTTGGGGACTTGGTGTTCGCTGCGCTGGTTTCGGACTGGGAGGACTGGGTCGTGATGATGGTCCTGGTTGTCCGTCTTCTTGTTGTTCATCTTCTCGGCGGACCTCCTGTTTTGGTATCCCTTGTTCGCGGGGGATGTTGTCGTCGCCACCGCGGGGGCTGCCCTCCGAGCTGGATTGGCTGCGGTAGGTTAGGAGGGAATTTGCGCTGCCTTTGCGGTCGGACATTGCGTTTGATAATGCTTGGTGACAAGCTTATCCCACTCTACATAGGTTAGTAACATTACTAAGTGACGGGTAGGATCTAGTTACTTCAACGTACTAGTACTCGCGCCTTCCGATACAAAACAAACACATGAACATCGCAATGCTCACCTCCCGCGAGGATCGTGGGTATGTACAGAGTACACAGAATAGCTCAAAAGGAGCAACGACGGCGATGTTTGATACAAACAGATTGATGAATTCATCCTTGCCCCAAATCGTGTGTAAAAAGCTAGCCTTCACTACAAAAGTCTCGCCATTGTTTTTATCATCACGATGCGTCGAGACCGCCCTGGGGGGGGCGTTTCGTTGATGTCAGCGGCGGATGTGGACCCGTGGATCTGCTAGCCTGGTATCTGTCAAAGTAAAAAGGGACGCGGTTTTGATAAGATAGAAGTCGATGACGCTAGTGATCTCTGTGATGTTATGTTGTTGAAGGGGAGGTATACTTTCTGAGTTTCCACTGTGGTTGTTATCTCGAATGAGGGTGTGTTGGTTTCGCATGTGCTATAGTCTCGAGCTTAGTTGCTTGTCTTCGACACAGCAGAACTTGATAGCTGTTAGCACCGGACCCGCCGCCATGATGCAACGTCAGTTCCATGGATCGAGGTGGCATGCCGGTGGATATAAATCCGGTTGGCAGGTTAATCATCTTTGATATTAGGTGGGTCTGTCTAGATAATAGTGATTACGTGCTTCGTTGGGATAAAGTTGAAGAGAAGGACAGAAGATATAAAGATACAGCCAGCAGTTGAGAAATGTCATTGGACTCTCTGTTATTTATAGTTCTATCTGAGATATTTGTTTGAGTACTATATCTATTTTTGTAGCTGCATTCCTGGTGGGGTATTTCCTAATGCGGCCGCATTGTTCTATTCTTGATAACTTGTTTTCGGTAGCGCAGACAAAACTTCCATTGCCCATGTCTAAAATGACCTACTCCACTGGACAAACAGAAATAACTCTAATGGCCGACATAGAGCAAAGATGGGCCACCGGTTCTTGGGTATGACTGGAGGAATCCCGATCCCTTAGTATCAGGCGCTGGATCAAGTAGTGAGGTTCTTCAGGTACTTGAGGATGATAGTTGACGATGTGGTCGTTGATGTGCCGTTATGGTATCGAGAAAGACACGACCCTGAATTACGAAGCCAAAGACACTAAATGGTGTTTTGGTATATATATATATCCCGGGTAGCAGCATGCATATTTAGTTCTGCTTTCAGATTTGCGAACGGTTATCGCTGCTCACTATATATAAAACCGACAGGCTATCCAAAAACTCTGGCCTGTACACCAAGATCCGGAGTACTCAGTACGCTGCATATAAGGCACCAGTGTTTCTCCATCTAGCACTAGAAATGCTAGTAACAAGTCTGGACCATAGCTCAGTAGTTTATTCCAAATAGGAATGTTGGCAGCCGATACGACCATACGTGTAGCGAACAGCATCGACCCCATTTTTGGGAATTATTAACTGCTCGAAGACGATTGGAGAGGTCTTGCCATATCCCATGTCAGTACTACTATGTACGGAGTAGACCTACCTTAAGACATGCTTGTTATAAACCGGAACAACGACCAACAGCTGCCAAGTGATCTTCTTCGGTTCCTCGCCGTGATATCAGGCTTCGGGACCGACCGAATACCACTAGAAAACCGCCAATTAATGAAGCCTCAGGATCAACGTGCACGCAGCCAGCTTCATGATATCCGTATTGTAAATTTCCCGGAGACCTTCAGGAGTGCGCATCTTCAACCCACCAGGAACCGAGCGTCCGATGATCTACGCCAAGGAAAGCTTGTCGCGGAGGCTATTCAAGACATGAACTATGTATTCGACAACCGGCATAATTCACCTCCAATCAACAAATAACAAACCCCATATTACAATAACGACCGCGGCAAAACTGAAACAGTCAAAACAGAAACAATCACAGCCAATCCCGTGGGGGCTCTGCACTTAAATCCCGTTCAACGCGGGAGACATTGGGATGGGCCGAGCATCCCACCACACACGGCACATACCCTGCCCAGGGGTATATAAACCCCGAAAAATGTCATGCTAAGAGGAAATGTGCTCAATCCTTCTCATGCCGAGAACACCAAGCTTTCTAGAATAGTGCTTGATTTATTCTAATCTTTCTTTCTTTCTTTTTTCTTTTTTTTTTCTTTTTTTTTTCTTTTTTTTTTTTTTTTTGGGGGGTTACTATATAATGGCCCTTCTTCTCACTTCGCTGCTGGCCGGACTGGCTGCGGCTATTCCCCACCCATCATCGTCCGCAGTCGCAGTACCTTCTGCGACTCCGGTACCGGCATCACACTGCGCAGCCCGTCCAGATTCCCAATTGCCCTCGCAGACTCCCGTCGATTTTCATTTCAGCGGCAATGTCCGGACATACTACATCGCCGCCGAAGAAACCGATTGGGACTATGCGCCCTCTGGCTGGGACAACTGGCTCGGCGTGCCTATAAAAGCCTCCATCCGCGCCAAAATCGCCGACTACCTGAGCACGCCCCTCATCACCAAGTGGAAAAAGGCTGTCTACCGCGGCTACACCGATGCATCCTTTTCGGAGAAGACCATCCAGCCGCCGTGGCAGGGTATTCAGGGTCCCACGATCCGCGCGGAGGTCGGTGACATGGTTGAGATCTTGTTCCTGAATAACCTCGCTACGCACTACGCCTCGATGCACTCGATGGGTCTCGCCTACTCAAAGGAAAACGAAGGCTCGATCTACGAATTCACCAACGAAACCTACACCGGCGATGCCGTCCCACCCGGCGCCTGCGTCCTGTACAAATGGGTCGTCCCCGAAAGTGCAGCCCCCAACGACAACGAACCCGCCACAATGCACGCGTACCACAGTTACGTCAGCATGCAGGAGGACATGAACGCCGGCCTCATCGGTCCGCAGATGACATACCAGCGCGGCAAGATGAACGAGACAAGAAGACGGTACCGGGAGTTCCCTGTCCTGTTGGAAGGGACTGATGAGTCGGTGTCGTTCTTTGCTGCGGAGAATGCGAAGCGCGCTGGACAGAATGTTACTGTGGATTATGAGAAGCATTTCTCGGAGTTGATGCAGTATGGGAATGTGTCTACTTGGAAGCCGCAGATGACGAATTTGTTGTCGTCGACGCAGTATGATGACGCGCCGACGTTCTTTTCGCTGAATGGGATGATTTTGAACAATTTGCCTACGTTTGAGATGTGCTTGAATGATGAGGTTATTTGGTACGTTTATGGTAAGTTGCTCCTGCACCCTGACGCCCTGCTTAAGCGAGACACGATTCTAACATATCGCAGGCCAAGGAGAAGACCCCCACAGCTTCCACATGCACGGTAACGGCTTTGTCTACAACGGAAACAGAATGAGCACGATCAGTATGTCCCCTTTTCCCACTCATCTACTTAAGATACTAACGATATCAGGCGCAATCCCCGGCACCATGTCCACATTGTACATGAACGCCACTGCCCCCGGAACCTGGCAGGTCATCTGCCACAGCAATGAGCACCAGTCCAAGGGTATGGTGGCTTACTATTCCATCAGGGACAGCGAGTGTCCTCCCTTTACTCTGTAAATATGGGCATAGTGGTGCTTGGTGTCGATGTTGATAATCTTGTATAGTAGTTAGTGGGGGAAAGGTGTATATTGTGTATCTTCACTGAATAGACATATTCTACATGCGAATGACATTCATAACGTATTTGTCGACTGAAATATTTAAGATATTGAGCCGATCAAACCTCGTATTCAGAAGGATTCGGATCCCTGTCTGCGCTCCCGGCCCGAATACAAAGATAAACATGTCTCCGAACACAGCTCCGAACCAAATTCTTATCCTCTTGCACTCTGATTCCAATTTCCCCGTACGATCTATCTCAGTTAAATTCATCGTATGGAGTAGTCCAACAAAACGACCACCACAATGCTCCCCCTCGGAACAATCTACACATACCCCAACAACACCCGTGTCTTCAAAGTACCCCTCCCCTCTCCAAAACCCCGATAAGTAAGTACTGATAATGAAACCCAGATCCTCGCAGCCGCCAACCTCAACAACCTAACCCTCACCCTCGCCCCATTCGAACTAGGCAAAACCAATCAGACCCCAGAATTCCTATCCACCTTCCCCCTCGGTAAAATCCCCGCCTTCACATCCGCCGATGGCAGTGTAAATATCGTCGAGTCAGACGCCATCGCGCAGTATGTCGCTGAGAACGGTCCTGCCGCGGAGCAGCTGCTGGGCCGGACGACTGTTCAGCGCGCGCAGATACGGCAGTGGATCAGCTTCGCCACGAACGAGATGGAAGCGTCCATAATTCCGCTGGTGCTCTGGCGGATTGGGCGCGCTGAGTTTGATTCCCAGAAGGAAGGGGCTGCGCTTAAGGGCCTGGAGAGGGCGTTGGGCTGTTTGGAGACGTGTCTGGAAGGGAAGACGTGGTTGGGTGATGGGGAGGGGGTGACCTTGGGGGATCTTAGTATTGCTTCGGCGTTGGTTCCGGGGTTTATGTTGGTTATTGATGAGGAGATTAGGGGGAGGTTTCCGGGTGTTGTGGGGTGGTATGAGAGGGTTATTGGGGCGGAGGGGGTTAAGGAGGCGTTTGGGGAGAAGGTCTTTATTGAGAAGAGGGAGGGGGCTCCTGTTTAGAGTAGCTCTATAGTCCCTATAGTACAGCATCTAGACACATTGTTTCTATAATTTAATCCCATCGGACGAATCAATTTTCATATTCTTAGGAGTTGAAACTCGTGTCCATGACATAAAACCATTCACCCATCTTGATGCTTTCTGCGTTCCATTCTGCTTCTCCTGGCGCCGTCTCACGCAATCTTCCACTGCCACCCTCAAACCCTCCTCGAGCCCAACCAACGGCTTATACCAAAGTCTCGTCTTCGCTTTATCCATACAGAAATATCTCGTCATGTAACTAAGCCGAAACTTCGTCCTTGTAAGTGGTGGTTCGCCCAGCCTGAGCGCCCAGAAGATCCACTCTAACGCCACAGCTATCAGAAACGCCCACGGCCGCGTAATCGTCCAAATATCCTCTGGACACGTAGTATCCCCGGCATACCGCCACACTAGTCGCGTAAAGTCCCAGAAGCAGTGAGGCTCATCGTTTGTAATGAAGAAAGCTTCCCCGTCGATCTTTTCATTGGGTGTTGGTTGCGATTGTTCATCATGTTGCTTGAACAATGCTACGACTGCAAGGTAGTGAGCATGCGCCACGTTAGTGTTTTCGGTAAAGTTGAAGGGGTTCTTATTTGAGCCGAGTTGTACCCAGGTTTTTCCTTTGTAATATGCGTCAAGGATACCGGAAATGACGACTAAGTCACCAACGCCGAAGATACCGGAGGGGCGAATAGCGCAGATGAGGAAGTACGGAGCATTCGGGGCGCGGTTTTGTGGTTGGACTTCTGTGTCGGTGAGGGCCTGTCATGTCACTATCAGTGGGGAGTTCGAGCTAGACAAATAGCAAGAAGGACACCAACCTTTGTATGTGTGTAGAATTCAGGTTGCTGGTCACCAGTGATAACAGGGAACGTTTCATTGGCATCCCTCAAATCCGTCTTTCCATCATTGATAACACTCGCTGATCTCCTATATACAAACGACCTTGTCCTCGACTCTTTCGCAATCTTGAGCAAAGTCCTGGTTCCCTCTACATTGACCTTATACAGAATATCCCGCTTCGCATCGAATTTGGGACTGGCTGTATGGATAACGACATCTGACTTGATTTTTGTAAAGATAAGGCGTATGACTGCCATGCCTGTAAGGTCAGCCTCATGGTACGTGACATTGTCAAGATGATGGCGGGGTTGGCGCAAGTCAATTGAGTGTAGGTGTGTGCAGCCGCGTTGTGAGAAGAGCTCGAGGATTTGGCTGGCAAGACCACCGCTTCCACCGGTCACGAGGACTATGCCTAGGTTGTGTTCGCCCGATGTGGTCATGATGGAGACGGTATGTTCCCTGGTTAAGTGGGAGAGACGTGCCGCAACAGGAGAGTGTTAGGTTTGTGTGGCTGTGTCACATGATGGGCAGTGGATGCGCCTCATGTTCATGTCTCAGTGGAAGCCCACCTCTTCCTTAGCCCAGTTCACAATACCCTCCCACTCTTCAAAACCGATCAAGCGCGGAATCAACTGCATAACTATCTTCCTCCCAGGGGCTCTCGCCCACCAAATCCCTTCTAGGCGATTGAGAAGCACACCCCAACACATATATATCAACAACGCCATCGGCTGTCCCTGCTGTACAAGCCCCACAAACTCATCACCAACGACGACCAACCATGGAAGAACCATTGCATCGGCTTTCACATAGCACTTCGCCATCATGACAATAGCGCGGGTACATACATCAGACGCATGTGAGCGAAGACAGTATAGTTTCCGTATCCCACTCGGCAGCAGCTCAACATCTCCCGGCTGAAATAACAGCCAGTCGTCGTCCGGATGACACTGCATAATGAGACCGAATGGGCCGCTTGCTAGCCATTCGCGGGCTCTATCGATGACAACATGGACTCCTTTGATGAAGGGGAGGAGTGCGGTTAGGGTACCCATGCCAGAATCTTCGCCGCTTTGGGATAGGGATGATACAACTGCACAAGCCATCATTATCGCTGAGCATGCGCAGAGCGCATTGCAATTTGTTGGGGATATATCCTCGAGGGCGGCACGAAAGGCGGGAGCTGCTTGGTTCTGGTAGTGCAGGGCATCGATGATGTAGTCTTCTGCAGAGGCTGGTTTTGTTCCATCGTTGGTAGATATTTCAATGTCGGTGTTGGCAGAAGTAAGGTCATTGGCTATGTGCAGGGACGACAATGCTAACAATGAGTCCATCAAGAATGGGTGACGGAGCGCTTGCTTTACGACGTAAGTCCCGAAGACATCGCTCAAGTCAGATGAGAAACTGTAGCATGTCTTCATGCACCACTGGTGCATCAGTTCAAGTTCCCGCATGCGGTTCGGAGACGGTGAACATGCTAGGGAAGGTAAAAGTCCGGCATTCAAGCGTGTCTCGGAATCATCAACCCCATTTTCCATTGTAAATTGATGCGTCTCGGTTTCCTGTGGGGCAGCATCATATGGTGAGGGTTGGAAGAGTCTTCCTGTAGAATACTGACACACTGCGTTTCGCGCCACACAATTTGTGCAAGGTGGACCACCTTCGTCGCATTTGATCCGCCTTCTCCTACACCGGTCACAGCCATGACGAGATTTTGTATGGGGACGTCTTGATGGCATTATGTCCATCAACGGAGCGAGCTGACTTCTTGAGGAGAAGCGGAATCTGACCAGATTTACCGGATATGGGGCTGACTAATCTCATCGAATAACCAACTAAGTTATTGAAAGAAAGGAAACAATTAAACTAAACCCTAGTTACAGATATAAGGCGTCTCTCCAACCCACTTATTCTGAACAACCTCTTCCAACACCCACCTCGCGACATTACCACGACTAATCCAAAACCCATCCTCCCCACTACCCGGATACGTCGCCTTAACGGGCCCCTCCGCACCATTCGTCAACCCACCAACCCGAAACACCGTCCATCGCACCCCGTCATTAACAGATAGTGACGAAACAAACTCCCCGATACCAGTCACCTCCTGATATGCCCCGGGACAGAAGGTTTTGATGGCCCAGATTCCTAGTTTCCATTTGAACGTCTCGATATCCGAGGCACAGCGGTAGGAAGGGGTGCTTATGACGAGAATACGGCTGATGTTCTGGCGAAGGAGTTTCGGGATTAGGGTTTTGTATCCGTTTGTTAGAGGCTGTTTGTGACAGGTTAGCGTTGGATTCAGGTTCAACAAATCCTACTTGCATGGCTTACAGTCCCTGTCGACCCTGGCGATGGTCCTGCGAATGAGATGAAGGCATCTGCACCGCACCGCGAAGCTTGGTCTATAGCCACTTCATTGTCAAGGGCGCCCTCGATAACATTGACATGTTCATTGTGCAGGATTGTGTCCGGAAGCTTGCTTGGAGTCCGGACTAGCAGACTAAGTCGGTGACCCTGGCCAAGCGCCATGTCACAGAACTTGCTCCCAATCGCACCTATAAAAGTCAACAAGTCAGAAATTCATTGGTATAGATCGTGAACACGTTAGTGGTGAAATACCGGAAGCTCCGAGGATAAGGAGATGCATCTTCGTACTGGCTCTATTTTTCTTTGACAATTAATTTCATTGAAGAGAATTATGAGTAGTGTAAGTCCTTGGTCCTCTCTTTATACATTTTCTTCCCCTGAACTGTAGTCATACTGCAGCCGGACTATATGACCCGTGGGAATACGCTTCCGAAATAGGCAAGTAATACGTACCGAATCTGCGCTAAGCTATATTGGGAATTCGGGTTCCTAGATAGACTGTCAATTGGACCCCGTTTAGTCTAGGTTTGTTCGACGGTGTGGAAGGTTTGCGAAACTTACTTCTCGAATAGTTGTCCCCAGAGTCCTAGGAGCTGTTGATCCCCGTACCTCTGAAGCCGTGTCTGCTCTTCCGGGCTCATTGACCATAGCCAATCATGTCAGAATAGACGATACATGCATTTAAAATAGCAATGCATTAGCATTGATCTAGTCACCGATCGAGGAAACCATGTCAATGGAGAAAGCAAGCATATACGTCCTCTTTACCGCAACGGAAGTGCATGTCCAGTAATACACGACATGACACCCCGAAGGCAATATGCAACTCAAGTCTACAGGCTTATACTTCATAAGGTACCAGAGGTAGTCTAGACCGCCGCATCGAATTGAAAACAGTGCTAAATGCTTCCTATGTGCGTCGGTCGTCCACTATGCGGTCCTGCGGAGAAACGGTGTTGCAGCAGCTATTCCTTCCATGTGAGCGGGGTTATCTTCGCCATTGGTTGAGATATTGAAAGGGAAGATAGGTGTCAGATGCAGCGAACAAACATATTATAAGATGCCTGTGGCGTTATTCCGTATGCATCCGGTTACTATGAAAATCGAGATGCATCAGAATACGTCGAATAGATAGCTCCTCTGCTTCGATACTCCGTATCACATTCGGCAGTATTGACAATTTCCTTAATGTAGAAATTCCCTCCAGCAGAGCTGGACTGTGCCCTGATCCTAGCAGCGGATATCAGCTTCAAACTGACAGATTAGGGTAGAGTTTGGAAGCGATTTGACAGCACTGTCAAGAACCAAGAGAGCAGCTGTTTACAGCTTCCAATGCCTTTTATTCAACAAAACTTCCGAGCCCTCCGAAACCATGTCAAAAACAAGATATATTTCGTTGATACCTGGAACAACCCCCAGAGTACCATGGCGTCGGCCGACACCGCAACCAATAAGCCCACCCAACCACCGCCAAAGCTGGACCATTAGATCATGTATCAGAAACTGCAAGATACCCTACAAGGAAAATAACCTGTTGACCATCACGACGACATCGGAGGGCTGTGCTCCAATTGGCACAATGTGGTGGACTGTATGATATCACATGACGTCAGTGCCATCCCCCCCCCCCCCACACGTGATATCAGAGTGTTGTTTTCCTTGGTTCTTTTTTCGTGGAATCCAGGGCACTGGTTTATATACTTGATGTGCGATACTCTGTTTCACTCTTCCTAACAATTACTTTCAGAAGTTGAAAATTGACAATATGACAGGCTATCGGTTCCCCATTGACCTTTCGCAATTCAAGAACCTCAAGCTTGATCCGAAAAGCTCGAAGCTCTCGGCTGAGCAGAGAAGGGATCTTCAGCATAACATTGATGTCTTCCGTGATGCTATTGTAGCGTTTACGGCGACAGGGTCTGCGCGTGGTCTTGCAGGACACACCGGTGGTCCTTTTGACACAGCTCCCGAAGTCTGTATTCTGCTTGCATTTATCAATGCAAACCCCGGGGGATATATCGACGCCCTCTTCGATGAAGCTGGTCACCGCGTCGCTACACAATACCTCCTCGCAGCATTGGACGGAAAAATCGAACCCAACCACCTCCTGAACTACCGTGATGCAGACTCGAAACTCCCCGGACACCCCGAATTGGGTCTTACACCAGGCGTGAAGTTCAGTTCTGGACGTCTCGGACACATGTGGGGTATGGTGAACGGTATCGCCATGGCAAACAAAGACAAGAACGTGATTCTGTTGGGATCAGACGGTTCTCAACAAGAAGGTAACGACGCCGAGGCCGCTCGTATCGCCGTCGCCAACGACCTCAACGTCAAGCTGTTCATTGATAACAACGATGTCACTATTGCCGGACACCCCTCGCAGTACCTGAAGGGGTATGAAATTGGTCGCACACTCGAAGGACACGGACTCAAGGTCCTCCGCGCCGAAGGCGAGAACCTCGAGTCGCTGTACGCCGGTGTCTCCGAGGTCATCAACAACAACGGCCCTGCGGCCCTCATTGTCGACAGAAAGATGGCCGCTGGCATCGAGGGTATCGAGGGCAAGACCAACGCCCACGATGTCATTCCCGTCGACATCGCCCGCAAATACCTCACCAACCGCGGCTACAAGCCCGAGGACCTTGAATTCTATGACATGATCAAGGCTTCGTCGAACACGCACCAATACCTCGGTTCGACAAAAGACAAGGGTGCGAACCGTGTTATCTTCGGTGAGGCAGTAAACTCCGTCCTGGACGGCCTCAGCAAAGAAGAAGCCGCCCGCAGAGTCATGGTCATCGACTCGGACCTCGAGGGCTCAACAGGGCTTAAGGGCATCCACGGCGCACACCCCGAAGTCTTCGTCCCATCGGGCGTAATGGAACGCAGTAACTTCTCCGCGGCCGCAGGATTCGGTTTCGGCTCCGATGGCACGCGCCAGGGCGTTTTCTCGACGTTCTCTGCATTCCTGGAGATGTGCGTTTCGGAAATCACCATGGCGCGATTGAACGGATGCTCCGTGCTCTCACACTTCTCGCACTCCGGCGTCGACGAAATCGCAGACAACACGTGCCATTTCGGCCTGAACCACTTCTTCGCTGATAACGGGCTTATGGATGCCGAGAGCACGGCGCTGTATTTCCCTGCTGATGGGGACCAGATGAAAGCTGTTGTCCGGAAGGTGTTCTTCAGCAAGGGTCTGCGATTCATCTTCTCCACCCGCTCCAAGGTCCCCTACATCCTGAAAGAAGGCACAGAGGAGAAGCTCTTCGGCGATGGCTACGAGTTCACACCGGGTAAGGAAGAATTCATCCGTCGCGGATCCGCAGGATATGTCGTTTCCTACGGCGACATGCTATACCGCTCCCTGGACGCCGTCGAGCGTCTTCGCGCAGAAGGCCTCGACGTCGGATTGGTCAACAAACCAACACTCAACATCGTTGACGAAGACGCGATCAAGGTCTATGGCTCAAGCCCCTTCCTCGTTGTCGTGGAGTCGATTGCTCAAAAGACCGGTCTGGGCTCGAGACTTGGAACGCATCTTCTGGAGCGCAAGTTTACGCCGAAGTATCGGGCTGTGGGTGCTGTTAAGGAAGGCTCTGGTGGACTGTACCAGCAGATTAATGCGCAGGGTTTGGGGCCGGATGATATTGTGAAGGTGATTAGGGATACGTCGGGTAAATAGGTGATTTGATTGATTTGTTGTTTATTATGGCGGGTACTGGTGTTTATCCTTTTTTATATAGGCTTTTCTCCGGATGGATATATTGGATTTCATTGTCGATAACGTGACGCAACGACTAAATATTGAATGATATACCATGTTTATATTTACATCTCTTCTGTCTACATACCCCGTGGTCACTTAATCCCTACCCACCGCAGACATCAACCTAGCCCGTTCCTCATCTCCATCCCCATCCTCCCCGAAATCGAAAGTAATCTCCCCAACCAACCTCCTCACATTACTACACTAGTTAGCATCCATTCCCAAAAGGCATACTAAGGCTTAAAACTCACCTCAGCAATGCCCGTAAACTAACCCCCACAACACTCCTCAACACCTCGAGTGCCACAAACGCCGAAAACCCCGCATCCTCAATGTACCGAATACTCAACAACTCACCATCAACTTTCCGCATCTCCCTAGCTAGTGGGAAGGAATCGCCCGCGGCCAGGAAAGGAGGGAGAGGCTGCGCGTTTGTTAATGAGGCGGAGAGGTGGCATAATAACGAGGTTGGGGCGTGCGAGTTGAAGGTTGGCGAGGTTTGAGTGAAGCGGGCGAGGTGGGTTGACCAGGGTGTTTCGTTTTGCGTTTGTTGGTGTGCCTGGTTCTGGTCGGGGTGTTTGGGGTGTTGAGTGTGGGGGTTGGAGAGGTTCTGTGTTGTATGTGCCATGAGTGCCATGGCTGTTAGCATGCGCTGTGTCTCCGAGATAAGCGCGTCGTAGGTTTGTTTCGGGAATTTGCCGCCGATAGGCGGTTCGAAGGTGGTGAAGTGGCTATGCGCGCGGAGGGCGTTGAGGAGGGTCATTTCCTCCTTAAACAGCTTCTGTCTGCGCTTCGCCAATTTCTCATGCGATCTATTCCCTCCCTGTATCACAATGGTGCTGTTTCCGGTAGCACCAGAGGTGTCAATCTCACCCAACCAAACCTCAACAGTAGCATGCATCGCACTATAAAACTCCGCGAGCACGAACAACCCCCTACCAAGCATATTCCGTAACCTCGACTTCGCCGTAATCGGGTACGGAAAGACAACCCAGAAGAACGAGATCCCGCACCCAATAGCCACAGTTACCAGTTTGTAGGGTCCGAAGAGGTAAATCGGGTAGTAGGGCTGGCCGTTTGAGGTTGCTGTTTCGAGACCGAGTTTGCGGACTTGTAGCTCGTAGCCGACGATTACGTTTAGGGTTACGATTGCTATCATCGCGGCGCCAAAGTATTGTGGAGTTTTGAGGTAGAAGTAGTACTGTCGTTGTTGTTAGAGGGGTAGAGGGGAGTATGGGGGAAGGGGGCGTACCTCAAAGACATTAGCAAGGTACAGAAAAACAATAACACCGGGCGTCCTTCCATCAACGATATACCACACAATCAAGCTCAACGCAAGCGAAACAACCGTGCCCGCAATACGCGCCACAAACCCAAACATCGTCTGTCCACTCGTCGGACTCATTCCGATTACGATAACGATCATAGCCCAGATACCACGCTGGCGGATAAAGAATTCCTGCGTTTGATGCAGATAGGCCACGATACCCACGCAAAATGCTGCTGCTGCTACGCGGAAGCCGAACATGCTTTTTTCGGAGCGTATGAGGCGGGATATTTGGCGGAGGATGCTGCTTGTTTTTTCGAAGATGTTTGACGGGGGGAGGGTTTCGGGGTCTGGGAAGGGGTCTGGGGTGGGGTCTTGGTATGTTGATAAGTTGGATGTGGTAGATTGTCGACGAGGTGGCTCTTTAGTAAAGCTTGATGTCATCCAGTTCCAAATCGAGCCCTGCTTTGGAAATATGAATCTGCCCCACTTCATCGTGCCGTCTGAGACTATGCTATCTGCGAATTTGATCAAGTCGAATGTTGCGTGCAACAGGTCGTGTTGTAGATGGTCCATGTATACGATGAAGAAGAACTCTTGTCTGACATCTGGGTCTGCAAGCATTTCTGAATTAGACTTGGTCGAATTCCCGTCATGCTTTTCCGGTGATGAGAAAGCCTCTAGATATGCTAGCGCTTCTGGCAGCTCCTTGCGCTGCGCGTGGTATCGATATAAAGCCTGTTCGAATTGGGATGTAAAGTCTTGCTGGAGCGGATCGAGAATGCCACCCTTAGACTCTTCATCATGATCACTTGAGTTATTGTTTCGTGCCTTGAGTTGCTTTTCCAGTTGTCTGTGTTTGACTAGATCGAGGGTAACAAGCACATATTGTAGCCCAGAGCGCATCAAGTCCGTGCAACTTCCAAGACGCTCTTCAAGCGTTTCCACAACCTTCTTTATCTCCGAGCGTTTCAAGTTGTCTTCTTCTGGATCATCGACGCTTCCAATCGAGTTGTTCCGTGTTCCTTCGCCATTGACAGTCATGTCCAAAATATCCGGAAGCATGGCCATTCCAGACAAAGGTAGCAGGACATTCCGCAGTAGATCACCAATTTTGGTAAGATCACCTGCTGACAGCTTCCCCCATGCAAACTCATCTTTCGAATAAAAAAGATCAGACTGCAATTTGCCGTGTAAAGCATTCAGCTTTCCTATCGCAGCGCCAAGCTTCTGCCTTTTCGAGTCCAGGCTTGACTCACCATTAGGTCCAGCGCCTCCGTTACCTGATATCCCGCTTTGCGTGGTTCGTGTCCGCTCCAAGAGACCCTGGTCACCTGTCCACACACCTGATGTCGAACTTCGCTTGACAAAGGATAGCTGCGCCTGCAGTACGGCATCAATTTGAGAGACGTAGCCTTTGATATCCTGGAAGACGTGTCCTCTGCTGGTAATTGGGAGGATAAATAGGGACACGCCAGTCGCAATGGCAAAACCAAGCATGAACCCTTTCAGCAGTCGAGTGATAAATGATAACCCTTCGTCGACTGTAATGAATGTTCCTCCCCGAGTTATCGTGACACATGAGAAAATGGAAAACGCAACCATCGGATCCTGCAATTCCATAGGTTTCCATGCTCGAAGCGTATTGGCGCCCCTACACAGATTAGCATAATCTCAGCATGAGATGTAGGCGACGAACCAAATCATAACAATAAGCCACACCGCAGAAACAGCACAAGCATCACTGTTATACCCGTTCCTCACACCCTCCGACGCATCCACAGGCGTACTATTTTGCCTCGCTTTCACAGCACAAAAAACAGCCAAACAGCACAACGACGCCGACACGCAAGTAGCCAATAGATCAAAAAGCATGATCTTCATGAACTTGGCGCGGGGTAGCAAGGCTTGCGATAGGACTGATATCAAGGCTGAGATATAGCCAATTGTGATGGTTATATCTGCGATGGCGTCGCTTTGGTTGCTGTCGATTGTTAGGGGTGATCTTGTTGGTGTGGGTGGAGGCTTACATGGCGATTATTATTGTTGGTGGGAGGGCGCCTTTTAGCATTATTAGGAAGGATTGGATGTCTAGGTCGAGACGGGTGCATAGTGATGATGGGTGTAGTGTCCTGTGAAGGTGAGTTTGATATTCGGGTAGCTTGGTGGCAACTCACCTAAGAAGCTTGGAGCTTCTGGACCTCTCATATGGAACCATTGTCCTCCACTGTCAACTGGACCGGAGTGTGCGAACACGACATTACCTTTTTGTTTAAAAGATGTCTCCTTGTACTAGTACTTTCATGTTAAGGTGAAACATCGCCTCCGGTAAGAGAAATCGGCTGGCCATACCATGACGGAGCCGAACAAAGTGCCGAATGCGGGTGCATCCCGCGATCAGACGTTGAAATAAGGTGTTCTGGAATATGGAAACAGAACTAGAACAAATCCAGATAAGGATTTGAGAAGGGGACTGTCTTGAAGAATACTCGTTAGCGTTGAAGTGGTCGAAGATACGCGAGATTCTCCAGCATCCGACCGATCGGGTAATTGCTTTGCCGTCCTGTAGAAGAAATCATCACTTACTACTTTACTAGTTACTACTCTGTACAAGCACCATGAACTTCTTCCGGCGAGCATATGCTTAAGATGTTTTCAGTTAGTTATTCTTCCCTCTCTCTATAGAGCAGGGCATATGAGAGCTTGGGACTCTAACACTCGTCAATATTGATCGGCATTCTGATTGATCAACTAACTTGCAACTATGTGTTGGCTTGCATCGGCTCATCTCAGCCGCAGAGGATTCGCTCCCCTCTCTCTCTTTTTCTCTCCTTGCCTTGAGTCTCCTAAAAACCACCGCAAGCGAGTTTGCATACCATGCATTTCCGAGTGTTGAAAGGATTCGAAAATGTTAAAAACATTCCTGCGCGGTTCTTTCACAAAAAATCCCGGAAAAAGGAGGAAAGACAAGTGATACGGGTGTGCCAGTAACTGATTCCTCGGCGGAGAACAGCAGTGAGATAGAGGAAGCTCATGGTGCTATGCAACCCAATGAGTCTCTGTAGGAGCGCGCGTACAACGAAATAGACCCGGACTTGAAACAGCAATATGATAAACTACTCGATAACGAATATGAAAACAACCGTGCGTTTGTGTAATCCCGCGTAGCTGAAATGGTGTTTCTAATGTGCCGTTGCAGACTCGGAGGACCGAGCCATCGACCGTCAAAAGCAACTGGGCATCTTGGTCAAAAACGGCCTGCAGAAAACAGACGAGCATAAGCCCATGCGAGACGACATGGCCAAAGTTTCAGAACGCATTCAGACCGTCAAGGTCTTTGTTGACTAGGCCGCCAAGGCGTCGTTAGAGGCGTCTTTGGTATGAGCTGGGGTGTGCGTTGCTCTACCTCTGTTGACCAACCCTCATGTCGCATCCAAGGCTAACAAGGATGGCTTTGACTACGTGACCTCTCACCTTGCGTACTACCTCGAGGTCGGGCATTTACTCTGGTCAGAGGATGAATGGAAACGACCGGAATTGGCAAAGCTGAAGAAAGACCCGTTTTGCGATAGTTGGGTCAAGCTCTACAAGAAAATGCTGGAGTACCAACTGAACATCGCAGTAGGCGGAAGAATCTTATCAAGGACATTGTTCTTTCTGACGACTGGAGGGCAATGGTAGACAGCATCAGAAGTCTGGAGACGGTCAAAAGCGACACCAAGGAAATACGCCACGGCGCTCCAGGGACGCAATCTCGATCGCATCGAGCAAAATTGTGAAGGCATTGCCGGTTCCACACGTGGATTACTGACCTTGTCGGAGCAACAACTGCAAGTATCTACAGAGCATCTTGATGTGGCCAAAAAACACCTGGAAGTGGACTAGGAGTACCATCAGCAGGTGCTGGACCGGTTGCCAGATCAGGAGAAGGAGTGCCTCCGATTATTTCGCCTTACCAGGGACGATCGCGATGATTCGTACGAATGGTACAAGAACAAGATTGAGAAACGACTTGAAGGGACCTGCAACTGGAAACTGAAGCGTTCAAATCATAGAATCAATACGGCCAATAATATCGCAGCGGTACTGCTCCTATGAATTGGTCACTGAAGTGGATACTATAAGAAGATGATATTGACTGTCTATTTACCACTGATGATAATAGAATGAGTTCTTGGCCAACTCTAATGTATGGTTATAGTGGCATCTCCTGAAGAGATTGCTGGCTTGCTAATCGGGCCAACTATTAATACATTGGATATCACCTCGATTCTCATCAGCCGGCGAGGCATCTTGAACCATATCAGTCCGCGGCAGTGCTGCCACTATGGTGCGCTATGGTACTACAGCGATACTGTCGCTATCACCTAATCTAGCCCCCCAAAAAAATATTGAAAATTCATTTATTTCCCTAAAAAATGATTGTTTACCCCCCCCTTCCCCCCTGGAGCCTGGGGGGAAATTCGTAGTATCTCCAACATTGAACTCCTGCAGCAATGCTCGACTGCTGCCTTATTCTGTACTACACACTAGCACCCCAGCCTTATGCAAAGTCGATCAACCCTGAACCCTGGCACCGATGTTATTATTCTTTGCCTGTATGCCTGGTAGAGTAATACAATGAGGGCAAAATCCAGGCAGCAATGAGGCTCCGGCCATAGACGCGTATGGAAGACATCATGGCTACTTGTACACTCGCGTATGGAATAACGTGATTGTGCTGATATCATGTGGCTTAGCATCGTGGATCAGGAAAAATGTGGCGGTGCACTCAGGCAAGCCACGCTATTTTGGGCCGACAAGTGGAGTCATGATCGACGGAATTATTCTGGATAGTGGTTCAATCTCGGCTGGTGCCCGTCTTGGAAACCTGCACAAGTATAGAGTACAAGGACCGTTTGTACACTGCTGCCTACAAACAAGCGCTATGTACTATGTACTCCCAGTAAGGGATGTGTGTACCTCTACTCTATTCAGCCTGTAATATTATGAATGCTAGAATGATGCCATCAAACTGGAAATCCGGAAGATCCTCAGGCCGCGGTGGGTTTGGTATCTACCAATCAGATAGCATAGATCCCGTGAGGCGACAGCGCCTAATGCCGTGACTGGCAGAAATGCAGCATTGGGCCAGACAGAATGCGTACGGGATAATGCCCGAGTCTGTACAGTCGATCAGACTCGCTTGTATTCTGTGCTCCGTACTCTGTATCAATTAAGTCATGCTTACCTGTAGCACAATGCAATGTTCTATAGAAATTGTATACTCTGTACAGTGCTTGCGTGTTCCATTGTTTCTAGACCGTGGGTCCCGAGGCTTGGCGCGCATCACTGTCCTGAGGCTGCCAAGGCCAAGCCGGGCTTAAGTAAGGCTTCATCCCCGTTGTCCTTATCTCTCTTTCTTTCTCTCTCTCTCCTCTCTTTCTATCCTTTCTTTCATTCTCTCCTTCCTTTCGATCTTTCTACTTTTTTATCGCTCTACTTCAGTCTGCACCTAGGCAGTGCCTGTGACTACCCCCAGGACCCAGTCCATAATACATGCGTGGGTCCTAGCAAACATTCATCCCTTGTACCTGTTCTGCCATACTGACACTGCACGTTAGACCGGATTCACTCGTGGGCGAAAGCTCACGCGTTCGATGGCAGTCTACCCTCGCAAGAACCCAGCAAGGAAGCCGCTGAGGAACCCCCGGATATACAGCCTTCCGCCCCTACTCAAAATGCCCAAGTGACTCCTCCCAAAGAGACCCCGGCCGCGGAGTCGGGGTCGAGTACGGAAAACAAAACCGAAGAACAAAAGCCTGGCCTATTGGTCCGCGCCAAACATGGCTCGGTCCGTTTCTGCAAGCACACCAAGACAGCCCTCTTTCACAGCTGGGTCAATGTCCTCTTGGTCTTCGTACCAATTGGTATTGCCGTCGAGGCTGTCGGCTTGGATCCTGCCATCATCTTTGCCATGAACGCAGTGGCCATCATCCCTCTGGCTGGCTTGTTGAGTCATGCTACAGAGTGTGTTGCAATGCGCCTGGGAGATACCATCGGTGCACTCATCAACGTCACCTTTGGAAATGCAGTCGAGTTGATCATTTTCATTATTGCTCTGGTTAAGAATGAAATCCGCATCGTTCAGGCCTCACTGCTCGGCTCGATTCTGGCAAATCTACTCCTGATTATGGGAATGGCCTTTCTCCTGGGAGGTCTCCGTTTCCAAGAACAGATCTACAACAGCACCGTCACTCAAATGAGCGCCTGTCTCCTCAGTTTGAGTGTCATGAGTTTGCTCCTTCCGACCGCATTCCATGCCTCATGGTCCAACGGTGCAATCGCTGATATATACACCCTCAAAGTCAGCCGCGGAACGAGTGTCGTCTTGTTGCTGGTGTACATTCTCTACATCATCTTCCAGCTCAAGTCCCATTCGTACCTTTACGCCAGTATCCCTCAACAGATCATCGACGAAGAATCTCACCCTGGTATCTTGGCTGAGTTGATGAATTCTTCCGATTCCTCCAGCAGCTCCTCTAGTGACTCTGACGACACCACAACATCCTGGACCACCGCCAAACGTATCAAGAAGGCTATGAAATCCAGAAGACATCGCAAGTCCAGCGTTAGTTCCAAGGGCACCGCCACACGGCGGTCGATTCACCAAAAGCTGACCGAACTGCCTCGCCCTGCAACCGCTGACAGATCCAATTCGGCCCTGGGCTCCATGGATGATTCCGCTTCGTGTGCCGTCGAATTTGGCGATGACATGCGATACGACGCGGACGACGATGTCAGACGACTGCAGATGCCCCGTTCTCGAGACTTCGGACAACAGCCATCCAGCGTCAACGTGAAGCCCGCCAAGGAGGATCGGAAGGCCAGAAAGGAGCAGAAGAGGCGACATAAATCAGAAGTCATGGCTGAGAAGCAAGACGCAGTGGTTGACAGCGCTTCCATGCCAAACCGACCTTCCCTACAGTCGCACTTGTCGGAACCCAATGTCGTTCGCGAAGATCTTGGCCCCGTTGACGACATTCCGAAGAGAAAATCGCCTTTTAGACCGGTTATGCCGTCATTGCTTTCCAATACCGTGTTTTCAAGCGGACAGCCACAACCGGCTGCTGCTCAACCGGCTCCTAATGCACACGGTCTCCGACGCGCCAATTCTCTTCCAGGTCGGATAAACCGCCCACCCCCGGTTGGCAATGCTGTGCAGTACGCCCGTGGGGCTTCCCGCTTTCCTAACCCTAACGACGAAGATCCAGTCGCTGTCCAGGCTGCACCATCGACCGTGCAGCCTGAAATGTCCCGTACCGCCGCCGTGGTCATGTTGCTCATTTCCACTGCTCTTGTGGCGGTCTGCGCTGAGTTCCTGGTTGACGCTATTCCAACGATGGTCGAAAGCTCCAACGTCAGCGAGGCCTTTATTGGTTTGATCATTCTTCCCATTGTGGGTAACGCTGCAGAGCACGTTACCGCCGTCAGTGTGGCTACGAAGAACAAGATGGATTTGTCGATTGGTGTGTCTGTCGGAAGTAGTATCCAAATTGCTATTTTCGTCACTCCATTGGTCGTTATCCTCGGCTGGTGTATGGACAAGGACATGTCTTTGTACTTTACGCTGTTCGAGACCATCTGTCTGTTTGTGACAGCCTTTGTTGTCAACTTCTTGGTTCTCGACGGTCGCAGTAACTATCTCGAGGGCGCACTTCTCATAGCGGCCTATGTGATCATTGCAGTCGCTACCTTCTTCTACCCGGATAGTGCACAGTCCAGCGATTTTGCAGGTCCTGGCCAGTAAATTCGGATGTGCGAATGGGTGGATTAGGGTGGAATGTTTGTATGGTAGATTGCTCTATGGTTATCCAGACTGAGATTTTTTTTCTCATTTCATTTTCTTTTCGGGTATCTTTTCTTTCGCCTGTTCTTTTTCTTCATGCAACAATTTGAAACTCTTGCTGCTAGTGCAGCCTTTTCATGGCCTTTGGTTTTCTGTATGCTTTAAGTTCAATTAATCGATTGCCTTCGATAAACTACCATAACTTCTATGTAGCTGTTCAGTTTGGTTCCACTTGCATTGAGCAAGATACATAATACTTCTCCTCGTCCTTCGGAAAGATAGCGCAATAACATGGAATCCTGTTTAAAATATATTATAAAATGTCAAGACATCTTCTCGTGGAAGAAAACATCTTCTATGCTGCCGACTAGCTTCATTAATTAAACCACAAAAGCAGACACTTGCGACCAAAGAGTTTGGGCGTAATACAGGATTTCCCAAGGGCACTATCCTTCTTCTTCCTTCTGTCCTTCCCCTCCCCCCTTTTTTTCTGCTTCAACTTCGTATATCATGTATATAATACGGAAGCCATAAGCCGAGATTCTTGATATACCTAATTCCATGATGCTCTATGTAATGTCCATGGGAAACAATGGCTAAGGGGATAAAATTCCTGAATACTTAAACCAAAAACCTGTAATTTTTATGAAAATACTAATCTGTTCAGTTTCTCCTAGTTTCATGACATTGTTTCACCAGCACTCGGCTCAGAATCAAACCACACTTGCATTTCCTCAGCAGATAGTTCAACTAGCCCATGTCGCCGCAAACTGCGAAATTTCCTGGTGAGCCAGCCATCAGGATCAATATTTACCCGCCTTCTCTTATGAGAACTTCTCATTTCAAGGTATTCTTCCCTGGGTTGCATCAGGTATGTGGCATTGAGATAGTATCCTGGATTATCTGCATACCACTGAAACCATTCGTTCCAGCGGACGCCCCGCCCATTCAAGGTGATATGGAACCCGTACTCGTCTAGTCCACGGAAGAATTCTTCCCAGATTTGCATTTTGTCTAGCTGAAAAGGGAAAATGATACCTCTTTGGTCCTGATTAGGAATGGTAACCAGAAGACGGACATTCAACCAATCTGGAGTTGTAAATGAATGGAGTTGGGGAAAGAGATCGGCAGGACTCATCTGGCGTACAGATGGTGGATCTGTGATTTCTTCCATGCCTGCCACTTCCGTCAGGATTGGGCTCGGATTGCTGGTCGCCTGAGTTCCCTGGGTTTCCACCGGGGTGGTATCTACATTCACCGTTGGATAACCACTGGTATCCTCTCTGAGATAACCAAAGAAGGCTTGGAAAAAGGCTTGTCGCACAAGCCGGACCGTGACTCGTCGGGACCTGTAGGTCTGGCCCAACATTTCTCCATCAAGAGCATAACGATCAGCATCTACCGAGTCAGTGTATGGCAGTCCACAGCGCCATGATACTGTCCGCCTACCCCTTCATCGACTGTGACCTTCAAGTCAGGATCATGAGGAAACAGGTGCTCCATGACCTTTCGTCCAACATCAAGGTAGTGAAGGTCTTTGAAAAAAGCTACCCAGAGTCGGAATGGGAACATCAATCATTTGCAATCGGTCCCAGATGAGTCTCCGGTGCTCAGGATTTTGGATCTTGGGGAACAAAATGTGCTCATCCATTTTATTTTCCAGAACCTTCAGGTCTGTATTTGAAACTTTAGGCACTCGAGACTGTAGTTCCTGGACGGTGTGGCCATATACATGATCCACAAGGTCAGGGCAACCGCCCATAATCTCATACCAGACCCGTCGAATATAGTCCAAGTAGTGTAGAATCTCCTGCACTCGTGATTAGTCAATATGACCAAATATTGATCGGATGAGGGAAGTTATCTGTGTCTAGTCAGCACAGGGCCTACCTGGTCACACCGCATCCCAATCACCTTATGCAGGACACCGATATGCATGTGTGTCCAAAGCCCAGGTATGGAGAGCAGCGCGTCAAATGCTTGGGGTAAGCTTCCATGGCGAAGGAAAGCTCGTAAATACCTAGGCTTTTTAGTCTTTGGGATATGTTCCAGAATTGCCCACCACTGTCTCTCTGCATCTGTATTGCGAGCACCATCGAGGCACCCCTGATAGTACCGGATTTTATGGTAGATAAGTCCATCAGAGGGCCAGCGATTGTTGATAAAGCGTTCCTGGAGGGAACGGACAAGTTGGGCTTGGAGCTGCCACTCTTCAAGAAGCCGTTGGTTTGATTCATTTAAGACACTTTCTGCCCAATAATTCACTTTAATCAGTCCCATAGAATCACTATGTCTCCCGAAGAGAAGCGCGCCATGAAGTAATGAATATATGTGATATCAGAAAACAAGCCACCTACCAGTCTGTTCTGTGATGAAAATATCAACAACCCACCACCGGTGCTGTGCACTTAGTTTACTGCGTGCTGTGGCTATCAGGCTCTCATGGTCCTGTGCGCGAAGGCTATAGTTCAGAGGGACAATTAATTCAGGAAAAGATTCTCCATTGTCATGATGCAGCGTTAGGCGGCCCCAGTCGCTAACGTGGACCAGAACTGGAACATGAAACTCGCTGTTCAGCCGAAGGCAGCCTTGGATATCCAAGATGCGTTTGAGCCGATGGACATTCTGGCAGTCATCCATCTGACTGCCAAAGGTTGTCTCAAAGGTAAGGCTGTCAAGACGAACCCGAGCGCTGCCCTTGAAATGAACCTTTTTATACTCTGCCAGCGCTCGCTCCTTTGATTCAACATGGGCTTGGAATACCGATTGTGTCATATGGACTGTGGGGGCGCTTCAGCCAGTGCGTCCTAGGATGAAGGCGAATCTAAAGGACTCCTTATGAGGAGAAGATACAGGAAGACGATACAGAATTGAGAATATTTCATCTGTAAGGGAACAACATGTATAGCATATATCTGATGGCTAATAAAATGCGAGTGCGACTGGTTAAAATGGCGAACTTCACAATGACCAGTTACTGAATAGCCTCATTTATGAGTGGAAAATACTATATTCCGATTTGTACATCTTACTCCAATTCGATTTGTCAACGACAATAAGACCCTCAAGTTTTATTCTTTCAACATATCGTAATAACATCAGAATATACACCCCATCCCCGTATGGTGATCGCTTCTACTAGTTTACTTCACGCCCATTTTCCATTCTATGCTTCAGAACTCTAAATTATACATAGTTGTAAGAATATAAGCTCTTTAAATATTGACTTGGGAAGGAGCACCTTCCGAAGCTCACCTATGACCATGATTCTTTAACGCCTACGCGTGGAATTCTCAAGAGACCAGGACTGGGCGAAGTGTCGTACATGATGGGAGACTAATGGGAAATCTCTATGTATCAATGCGGTGTGCCAAACCGTGTCCCGGGAGATATCAAACAATCATGGAAGTGGCGGACTGAGGTGAGGGACAGCCAAGATGTTCAGAAATGGAAGGAATTTCGTCAGGCTCTCAGCTAAGTCAACTTCTACATGAACCAGCATAATACTTGATATTGGTATATTGTTACCAGCGAAGAATTGGTCGCGATCAGGAAATTGGACCGGAATGGGAATCTGGAGCTTTCTCAGCCAATTCCATGGTCCACTGAAAGCACAGCTACACAGCCACAGCTGACTGCCTTACTTGCACTGTGGTACATTGGCATGCTTGCGTCGCTGAATGAGGGGGCCAACCAGTGGGAGATGTGAGTATGGTGACCGGTTAGGTTTTGACAAAGAGGAGAATCATTTGCAATTCATGAAGCTTTGGACCATAATTCCTATTGATCTATGCATGTTTTTATTGTATGTACTCTGTGAGAGCAACAAAAGAAGAGCATTGGCCAAATGGGAGTGGGTACTTTTAATGAAGCTGCAAAATGACTCCGCAAGATCCAAGTTTATGTTTTAGTTGGCAATCCGTTTCAATTATGCGGGCAGATTAAATTTACAGAATTATCCTTTCTTTCCTTCTATAATGAATTGAATGGTTCTAGAGGACTCATGAAAAGGGCTCAAATCAATAAGCACATACTAGCAAACGTCCAATAATCAAATCGTCACAACATCCCAAGCGCTAAACAAACCACATCCAATCCTCCTATATCCAGGAGTAACCAGACCCTCCAGAAACAGTCTATAAACGAATCCTAGCATACCCATACCGACACCCATCATGAAGTCTCAAGTCCGTATTCCCATCCGCAGCATCATACAGCCCATGATTAATGCCTTCAACGTCCAAAGCGACCTCGCAACTTTTGAACCCGATCAGCGGACGACGTACTCGAACTGACTTTCCTGTCTCATCTGATCTCATCTGATCGGTGTAGATCGATGGGTGTGTGGCGATCAGTAGTCCGCATGTCGTGGCGAACCCAATCCAGAGACATATTTTGCCGACTGTTGGGAGGTAGTCGGTTATCCAGGCAAAAGTGAATGATCCGATGAAGATGTATGAGTAGAAAAATGGTTTGTAGTATGGGATTGTGTAGTATATGTTATATGGTTTTCGGGGGCACTCGTCGTCGTGGGAGTTGTTGGGGAGTAGGCGAGTGTTGTCTGACATTGTGAATATTTGGGGAGATAGATGGGAGAATGCCAATAGACTGATAAGAGGGAGGAAAGAGAAAAGGGGACGAGCTGGAGGTCAAATCAAGAAACGAGGTGGAGCAACGATCCTCCATCCACGCCGCGCGGATTAAGCCTCAAAAGCCGCAAGATTTCGCATTATTCCTCTTTAGTCATACACTAAGCCAACTGCGGTTAAAGTCGGATTGGATGGATTCGGATTCTCCAAAGTACAAGCCGCATTATAATTTGCGACAATAATAACATAAAACAACAACATCAAGCATTGAATACAATTAATATTCCATTACATTTATATCATCTATATCAGTCTCATTACACTATCAACCATCTCCGAAGTAAAAATAGTCATATTTATACATTCCGAAGTTGCACAACCATTCATTTTCACTCCGTAATATCCACCCATATATATATACCCGGCAGCCTGTAGTGTATGAGATGAACTGGTTTATAGGCTGCTGAATGCTGATGACATCCATATCCAACTGAAACCTATAACTGAAAGGCATTGCATTGTATATTAATCATTGTATAACTCCAAGAAATTGGCAAACTGCCAGTTATTTACTAAATTACACTAACATATTGTAATTGGATCTTGTGGATAAATCCAATCCGCAAAATCTGCTCCAAGCCACCCCATTCGGATCAATGGGCCAGAATCCGAAGCGGCTGCGGATTATACATGCAGGATTCGCGGCGCGGATTGGCGCGGATTTTGCAGACCCGCTGTGCCACTCTAGGCACTAGGGATCAGATTCTACACCAACCTGTTATCAACCCATCACAGCTTCATATAATCCTATGCTAAATAAAATCACGCACCCTAAGCTTCTCCTGTCCCCATAGTTCCTGAGTTCTGTCACGGGCTCGGAATAGAAGATAATAACGAACTGAATTCCTATCTAGACTATTGTAGCCATCAACGAGAATATCGAATCTGGGGAAGAAGAAGAAAAGGAAATCTATCTAGGCGATGAACGGTCTTTTATAGGCATTTTTGTGGTGCGGCTTAAGCCCTTGTTTGCCCATATTGCTTGTATGGCATCGTTTGATATGTTGGCGCTGTTTGTCTGGCGTTGAGCCGTTGAGCCGTCACACTACAAATGGACGAATGGCGCATGAGGGAGGCCTATCTGTACAGGAGGCTCAGGAGCTAATTCAACAGCTGTTTGAGCCCATTCATCCTGCCCAACCACCACCGGCTCGGCCAGCGAAGAGTGTAATTCATGTAGAAGCCAAACTTGTCCGGCACTGTAAAATATAGTAACATGAACCGAATTTCCCCTGTTTTCAGGTCAAGAATTGCAAATGCAACAACCTGACTTCTTCCTACTGCTTGACTCCTAAGACACTCTGCCAGCAGGACTTATATACACTCGGATGCGAAAGCAGTGTCACCCCTAAGGATTGAATCTTTGTCTCTCAAACTCAATGCCAAGAAAGCATTAATATTGATTAGGAAAACACCTGGAATACATGATTCCCACAATTACCGTATTGTGGAGACCGTATGTACTTAAAACGACGTCTTGTTAGGCCTTTGTACGCGTGATCTACGTGACTGGAAGCTTCCATACAAACTAGTGCAAACCACCGAGCCGTGGAAAGCAAGATTATCTGGCAAGGAAAACCATCAACATCCTTCCCGTTCCAACCTTGCCCCTTGTGTTAAGACACATGCCCAAGTCATGCAGAACTAAGCAGAGTACTGTAACACTAATAGTCTTGCTTATTATTATACTTGACATGTCAGGAACCAGTATCTTGTGATGCTAAACATGCTCCATTGTGTGAAAGCTAACACCAGGTGGTATCAAGATTAGGGTCCTCAGCGGAATCCTTTGCCTTGAAGAAATGAGCTCCATCCCTTTGAATAGCGACATTACCACTTAAATGAGCAGATGGGAACAAACTCCCTTTTATGCCCCCACTCCTGGAGACTGCGGGGTTGGGATTGCGCGCAGCCCGGACTGGTGCTGAGTCCCACTCACTATCGACATCCAAATCGTCTTCAGTGAGTTGATAGGCCATGTAGGTGTGGAGAAAAGAAGTAAAAGAAATTTCTGCGCGTTGCAAGGAGGGATCGGGTGACTGCGTGCTGTAGAAGCTGCTCAATAAAGTCCCCAAATACGGACGCATTTTACGCTAATCCTAACATAGTTACTCCCGTAAATGAAGACCAGTTCCAAGGTTGAAATTATAATGCTAAATGATTTACATATCATTCATATTGACTCTTAGTTTGGCGTAGTAATGGAAAACTTCATGACAAAGAGATCGTCTGACAAAGGAGACAGACGCCGAAAGAAGGTAAAATGTGTACAAACGAGATGTCAAACAATGTGATTCAACTGATCGCGGTTGCTGTGAATATAACGATGACACATTTCTACCATGGTATAACAGAACCGTCATGGTTTCGAAAGGTGCCGCTGGTATCTCTAGAAGCAGTGTCGAGGGTCTTCACCATTGATGACACACTGGCCTCGACAGAAATCGCGCCGAGGTCCAAGAGCTTGAGGCTCAAGCCCTCTACCGCTGCGTTCGCCAGCTCCGTCTCGACCAGGCCGGGGTGGAAGACAAAGCTCGTCAACCAAGGCTCCTCAAAGTGAAGGCGGCGGACAAACCAGTTCAAAGCCGCCTTGCTTCCACCGTATGGGCTCTGAGTGGCCGGGAAGCCCGCAAGGGCTTCCATGGATCCAATGGACCCAATAAGACTTGAGATTGCGACGAAGACAGGCTTTCCAGTCTTGCTGGCCTGAAGGAGGTCGGCAGTGGCTTGGAAGAGCGTCACCGGACCCGTTGTGTTCACGATAAAATGTTCGGCGATGTTCCTAGCGGAAATTTGGCGTACAGGCGCGCCACCTAGAGAGATGCCGGCATTGGCGATAACGACGTCGATCGAGGACACTTCGTGTTCCGTCTGAAGCCGAGCCACCGCTTCCGCAGCATCAGTCTCAATTGAGGAGTCAAGTTTGACGGTAATCAGCTTAGAGCCGGCGCCTTTTGGGAGGTCTTGCAGGCTCTTGGACGATTCGCTCGACGGGTCTCGAACGGCCGCAATGACAGTGGTAGAGGGCCTTTGTAAGAACGTCTGGACAAAACCACGTCCAATGCCTCGGTTGCCACCGGTGACAAGATAGGTAGTCGGTGCACTCATTTTGATAACAATTTGTGGGGCTTTGGGCAAAGTGGCTTGATGTGTGTGGCAATTCAAGTGTGTACAAAGTATTCTCAAGGAGGAGCGTCACGTATATATATAGTTTCCTGGAGCAAAGAACATCAAAGCATCTAATCCCTTCCTCTCCTGCGATTTGGTTCGTATATGCCAACGGAAAAGATTATCACGCCGACTCCGAGCCAACAGATCGCCTTTGCCGCGGATTACACCATAGCTTAAAGAAAAAGATGATTAGTCGTTTAGTCCAGTCGTGTAGCTTGATCGGACATCATGACAAAGCACTTTTCTCCGAGCTAGTTAACTATGTGATTACCAATTGCTAGTGGGGTTCGTTTAGGTTGCTAGGTCAGGTATAGAATCCGAAAGAACCTGCCTCAAGGCCCACAAAGTGGAGTTTTTAGTCCGTTTCACTCGTTGAATAACTCCTAAGCTCATGATTAGTGATCGGACCGTGGAGTATGCTTTACACCTTGCCGTCGGTTCAAAAAGTCTAAATGTTCCGAGCCCTACTTCAACTGTGGTTCACTACTCGGGTCGCGGTGCAATAATTTTGCCGCCGCTTGCTTGCTTAGCAATGCGTAGACCTGCTGAAATCTCATCATCCGCCGTATGTTTGACAAATTGGAACCCTATCGATAGATTTTTCAATACGGCAACTCTTTCGCGCGATCACTGTGCCGATATCAGCTTGTTATCTAAATTACGGTGAAACTTGTATTAGGTAAGTTCTTTCACTATAACTACCCGCTGCTTATGGTCCTTAGAGCAGAATAATTGCGTGATCCCTGAATCTCACCTATAGATCCTTTTCGCAAATGGTTTTGCCGTTTAGCTAACGTAAATCCCAAGCGAGCTGCGCAGCCCAAAACACGTAGTACAGTGGCTCTGCTACTTTCAGGATTGCCCGTCTTTGGATGTGTGCATTAAAGACAAATTGTGAATAGTCACTTGCAACTTAAAAGCCAAACCCGAGAAATAAACGGGGTTCGTTGATTTATAACTGCTAGATGTATTAGGGGAGGGTTTCTTTTGGTACAATGGGTGTAACCATCCCCTCTTAGTTTTGATAATAGAAGGAATGTTTTAGACTGTGGATAGAAGTTTGATAGAAACTGTACTGATCAACGGGTGCCAAGAGTGAATGATCGTATATCAGTGACCGCCATGTGAGTCCTTTTCATTCAACCCCAAAGTGTGATATTATGAACTGTACCAGTGGTGGCCGAAGGTGTAAAGTCATGGTCTCATTTCTTCTCTGATCTCGGGAGGAAGGTCCTGATGAATAATAATCCCAAGCCTCGGGTGAATAACTGCTGATCATGTCGATTACATAGCGTGTTGCTGGCATCATTCGACCGTCGGCCTTTTGAATCGTTCCGTGAAACCTCACTAAATTTCTCTCTAAGAGAACTTTGCCTACAAGTTTCATGTTATACTACATTTGTGGAACCAGCCAATTAGGTACTTCTTCGATTATTTACTCACCACCTTGCTTTGCAGCACTTTGCACAACGCTGCAGCCGACATGAAAGCTCTCGTGGCAAACCGATATCTGGCGAAGCAAATACTCAACTTCGCTTGTTCCTCGTCATTCGGTCAATGTGTACGAGTCATCGATATACCAACTCCCCAAATTACCGATAGTGAGATACTGGTCCGAGTGCGTGCTGCTGCCCTCAACCCGGTTGACTACAAAAACATCGATTTCCTCTCTCCGAACAATAGTGTTATTGGCTGCGATTATGCTGGTGAGGTGGTCAAAGTTGGAGATGGCATGGTTGGCCGATTGAATGTTGGGGACAGAGTAGCAGGTTTTGTCCACGGTGGCCAATACCCTGATGTCGGCTCGTTTGCCGAATACCTGAAGGTCGATGGAGAGCTGGCTTGGCACATACCCGAGATGATGACCGATTCTGAGGCTGCAACGTACGGCATTCCAGCAGTCACTGCAATTCTTGCACTTATGTACCTTGATGTCGCTTGGGAAGATATTCTATCTGGCGCTACGAGGCAGTCTCCTGTTGATTCCTCCATCCTCATTTACTCTGGTGGTTCAAACGTTGGACTTTTCGCCATTTAACTTGCCAAAAGAGCGGGTCTTCATGTGGTCGTCACAGCGTCACCACGATCATTCGATCTCGTCAAATGCTATGGCGCAGACTCGGTATTTGACTATCAATCCCCTACAGCGGCGAGTGAAATTTCCAAAGCCTATCCAAGTATCACCAAAGCTTTGGATTGTTTTTCTGAAGGGAATTCCTCTCAATTCTGTGCCCAGGTGTTGAAAAGGGGGCAAGTTATTACGTTGCTTGATCAAGGGAAGCCGAAAAAAGCGGACGTCAAGTTCAAAAGTCTCATGGTTTTTACTGTCTTTGGGCGACAGTTTTCCTTGCTATCGCCCCTAGGTCCCACATTTCCGGTTGTGCCCGATGATCAGAATTTGCTTCGTCGTTTTTATGCCAGCTTGGGCGAACTATGTGATAGTGCTTTGAAACCACCCCCTCTTACAACGCTGCAAGGAGGACTTGATGAGGTGCTTGTCGGTCTCAACAAACTTCGCAGAGGAGAAGCCCGCGGCACTAAGTTTGTGGTGGAATTTCCGTGATTACATTTTCCTTCTCAATCAATCGCCCTGCAAAACTCCTCCAGATTAAGTAGCCTCACTTGGTAGCCTTAGTAGTGATCAGGCGTGGATTTTCATTGACTGTCAATTCAAGTCACGAAAATGCCAAGAATCCCAATCCTCAATAGTCAGGCCTGTGTGCTGGAAATGGCCTCTAGCACTCTCCTCTCTTGCTCCAACCTTGTTAGTACGCCAGTCAAGAAAGAAATCAAAACCCCTGATCCCGGTCTCCTTCAAAGTAGCTCCAGTTACGCCTAATAAAGCCCTTGAGCTCAGCGAAAAAAAAAAAAAAAAAAAAAAATCTTCAATTGGGTTGAGGTCCGGCGAATAAGGAGGTAGATAAACCAACTTGACTCCGGCATCGGCACACATCTGCGCAATACGTCCAGAGTGGTGAAACGATGCGTTATCCATGACCAAGACGGATTTCGACTCCGGCCATCTTTGGCAGTGCTGAAGAAGCTAGTCGATGAAGTCCTTGAACACAGTGGCATCTGTTGAACCGCGAAAAATGCGAGAAATCACGATGCTATCTTGGGCGTACGCAAGGGGTATTTGATACCGGTCATCACGGTGGAACTGTGACACTTGCACGGGGGCAACACCAAGTGGTGACCGGCCCGTTCTTCTGAATGCGATCCATTTATCACAACCAGACTCATCAACGTAGACTAGGTTCTCGGTCATCATCCTGGTTTCATGTTAGCAATGAAGTCGTAATGCAATCATAGCTGACTTGCTCCTTGAAACGGGGCATGTTAACAACATAGAAAGCATCAATGTCCACACGGCAATAGCTGCGGTTGGCCACAAATGGCTCCATGCCGAGTCTACCGTGACCGATAAGTTTGCCATAGGGCGCGACATACTTCCAGGTCTTGTGGAAGAGTTCGCCAGAGAGGGGGTTAAGGACCTGGTCGACATCCTTGCCGTTGGTCTCGTGGTACAATTCCTCGACGAAAGAGTTGTCACGAGAGTTGAAGATCCTGTTCCTGGTGATGTTACAGTTCTTGGCGAGATACTGCGCTTTCTCTTCAGATCAAATGGTAGTATAGATCTCTGCTCCAATTATCCGCGCAATCTGGATGGCGGCAAGACCGACACCACCACAGGCAGAGTGGATGAGGAGAGATTCATCCTTCTTGAGCTGACCAACGGTGATGAGGGACTGTTGCACGGTGGCATAGACCGTGAACATAGTCGCAGCATCGATGAAGCTGAGTGAGTCTGGGATCTTGACACACATGATCTCGTTGGCGATCAGCAGCGTCGACAACATATTGTGCTCCATAGCAGCAACACGGTCTCCTGGCTTGAAGTCTTGACCTTGGGACCGACACGGCGAACAACACCCGTGCCCTCAAGACCATGGTAACGTCCAACATGGTCAACAAGGTTCATACAGACCAAGATATCTTCGAATTTGACACCAACGGCGTGCTTCTCGATCTTAAGCTCGTGGTCCTTAAAAGGGGCGGGCTCAATGGAGGGTATTCAAGCGAATGCTAGATCGGAAGGTCGGGTTGGACTTCAGTAGGTCGCCACCCATCTGATGCCATTGAGCGCCCTGGCCGGTCAATACCATGGCAATCTTGGGTTTCTGCTGGCCAGGTTTGGTGATCGGAGAAGCAGCTCCAACTGAAGAACCATTGGCGATGGCGAATGCATGATAAGGCAGATGCTCCCTGCCACGAGTAAGCGTGTATGCGACGTCCTCGACATTCAGCGCAGTCTCTCCAATGAAGGTCTTGTAATTTCCAATGGGAGTCGTGAGCGACTGTTGGGTGCTCGCGGAATAGAGGAGAATTTGGGCAGCCTCCTCAATCCGGGGTCCAGCAGGAGCTTTGTAGCTCGCTGCAGAGTCGATGATGGCGTGGGCATTGGTTCCTCCCAAACCGAATGAGTTCAAACTGACTCGCTCCAGGCGGCCTTCGGGCCAGAATAGGGGCTCTTCTGCAAGCGCAAGTTTGCCTGACTACCATGGGATGTTCAGGTTCCTTGGGGAGTACTTGATGCTTGGGGGAATTATCTTGTTCTCGAGCGCAAGAACAGTCTTTGAGGACTGTGAGAATACTGGAGACTCCCTTTGTGTGGCCAAAGTTGGGTTTGGTAGATCCAATGATTACACCTGCTTCACCAAAAACGCGGGCCACGGCCTTGGTTTCGATAGGGTCACCCATCGGTGTACCAGTTCCGTGGCACTCGACGTACCCAGTATCTGATACATCGAGATCCACAACTTCGTATGCTCTGCGTATCATAGCCTCCTGGACATCTGGACTGGGCAAACTGAATCCAGCGGTTTTGCCGTCGTGATTGGTGGTGGTGGCTCGAATGACGTCCCGATTGCATCCTCAAGCGGCTTCACCACGGGTGTATCTGTTAGCGGCAGTTGAAAAAGTCTTGCAAGAGCCGTCTGGGGAGAGGACACCCTGTTCAGACATCATAGTTGTACAACTGGGTCTCAAGATGGGGTTAGTGCCACCAACGATGGCGGACACACAGTAGCCTCTATCGATCACTACGCAAGCTTCGTGTAGCGCCACCATAGAGGCCGAACAAGTAGATGCCGAAGTTCTGGGTATCCTGTGCAAGCATCTCAAGCCATGTTTAAGCTTGACAGCGTTAATCCAGTGGTGTATCCAATGTGATGCCCACCACCAGTTAAACAAGACTTTTGTCTGATGGAATATGTTCATCAGAGAGCCCCACTTATCGATGATTGGTGGTTAACGTTCAATCTTCATGACACTAGATATGTTCAATTTTTCAACAGCACTCTTACTCTGGATTTGGCAGATGAACTAAGCTTAGACATTCACTAAGTCCTCATATTACACAAAATGAACCTTTTCGCAATGATGGATCAACATCGCCGAGAGCAATATCTTTGCTGGCGAGAAATAGGGTCAATTCCTCTGGAAATGGCATATTTATCCCTGTTCAGCCACTGCCGAGAATACAAACACCTTTACGAAATAAAACCACACAAAAGTGGTAGTTTTTATGATACCATTTTGCAACGGCATTACGCAAGAGAATAGAAATATATGGGTGAGAACGTTTGGCAACGACACCGTGGAAAATTCTACAGACAAGTGGCAATTGGCCGACGGTGGTCTTTCGTCGTTGACAAACTGTCTCGTGGAGCTATGTTCCTTATTAGCAAGAAAATTGCTACTTTGATATGAGTGCAACACACCGCTGTCTTCTCTGAAACAGGCCGAATGGGGCTAAACCCACTGAAGCTACAGGCACGAGTTGACAGAGTTTGACGCGCTTTTTTCTTATATCACTAAGCACTATCCACAAGCCCTTCAGATACACAACAACCGATTGCGGGTACAATATGGGCTGCGAAAGAGCTTGAGTCTCTTCTCTATGAAGGGATCGCCGGGACTAGTTGAGCCTAAGCTACGTCAAGCCTACTGGAGTATTTTGGAGTCTGGTTAGGACGTTAAAGCGTTGGGTCAGAGTAGGACCAATTAAAGCCGGTTTATCATACGAAATTATGTAGAATCAATTCAAATCTAAGCCAAGGGATGGGATTGGGTATAAGCTGTAATCAGCCTTGGGAGTCTGTCAAGCTTGGAATCAATACCCTTCCTTGATAAGGGAGTCGAAAGGACAGATACCATTAATGAAGAATGGACGGAAAAGCAAGACTTCATGCAAATGCATTTTCTAGCAAAAGATAGGGGAGCAGAGAATATGAATCAATTCACTGCATAAAAGACAGAGGGGGACAGAATCAGCTCAAAACGCCGGTCAATGTAAACGAGGCAAAGGAAACCAGAAGTGGAGGCAAGAGGACGCAGCCGCAATTTCTGAAAGAAAAAAGAAAAAAGAAAAAAAGAAATAGGGGTTAGTGGAGTTCAAATGGCCAGGAACATGGATGAGTGCAGAATATGTGAGGGAGGGCTCTTTTATACTTGGGAGGCCAGGCGGGCGACGTTAAGCCATTGCCGAGGCCCATGGAGTCTCCACCGGAACTTTGAAGATCCTGAACGACATATTTCTAGACGGGACGAACCTCCTCGTGGATCAGGTCTTGTATGTAATAACTGAGGAATACGGCCTCATTTGCTAACAAGAGGCCCGCTTAGGTGTCTTCCCAGGAAATGCAATGTCTACAAAGTACAGGATGGCGACACCTGCTCCTCCATTGCATCCTCCCAGCGAATCTCAGTGACAGACCTGCTCAGATACAATCCCACGCTGAACAGCGCATGTTCGAACCTCGTCATTAGCAACAATATTTGTATTGGACGATCTGGGACGCTGTACACACCCACAACCATTGCAGGGGCGACTGCCACTAAGACAAACCAATACGCCACGGCGACAGTCACTCCTGGCGGTACTACTGCCGGCGGGACCACTGACAAGTGTGGAAAATACCACAAAGTCTCTGCTGGAGACACCTGTGAGCAGATCTCGCTCAAGTACTCAATTAGTGTTGATCTATTTTTGGCTATCAATCCATCGCCCGGCATTGAGTACTGTGTCTTTCCCACGCAGAATTGGAATGCTACAATGGGTTCGAACATGACCACATCGACCTATATCACAGCACCAGGTCCAACTCCTACTGGGTCGACTTCCAAATGCTACTCCTGGTGCGCTTTAGATCTAACAAACCATGATTTCGGTTGTTGCTAACTCAGATCCTTTAGGCATGTCGTTGAAAAAGACGATGATTGCACGAAACTCGAGGCCATCTATGGAGTCTCCTTTGGCGAATTGCAAGCTTGGAACCCTCAGATTAACTCAATTTGCTCTAATCTTCTGCTTGACGCCGCGTAAGTAGAGTGCACCAGTTCTCTTCTAAGCTCATTTGTTTACATCTTCTTCTCTAGTTACTGCGTCAAAGGAGGCTCTGTGACAACACCTAGCTCCAAATCCGCCTCATCAACACCCACATCGAGCGGCGCTCCCCCAGGCCCTACTCAGTCCGGCGTCGCAGGAAATTGCGACAGTTGGGTGATGCAGAAAGATGGTAAGCATCCTCCTAGTATCCGCCTCATTGACCCATAGCTGATACTTCTTTTCCTTGCCTCCAGGCATCTACTGCGCCGACATGGCTGACAATGCTGGAATCACAATTGACGAGCTTTACAAGTGGAATCCGGCCCTAATCGGAGGCCACGTGACTGCTCACTGAGCAGGCTCTGAGTACCCTTATTAAAGCGGCGGCGTCCAGAAGAGGAAAGCCACGGTCGTTCTAGAAAAACAGGTACGTATAGGTGCATATAAATATATATATCGGTGACCGGCCCATTGTCTCGACCAAGGATAGTTATTTAATCATGTCCAGATTACATTCAAACCATAGATAACCGACTGGAGACCACCAGCTCTCTAAAAGTACTCCAATAATGTGCTTTGTACAAGTACTCGGGGCAGGGCTGTAGAACCCCGAGATGCAATCCTCAGGTATCCACAAGGCCAGCCTTACAACCAGCCACAATCACAGCACAACCATGTAGAACTACATCATTCGACTCCGATCCCTTTGAAATTGTGCAATGCGTACTCGATCTGGTGTAATGCATTGAAAAGATGCAGCCAAGCGCATAAATTGCTCGTATGGACTACGGATACCGAATACGGAGTCCCGTATAGAGGACACCTCACTCTGTACCATACACCCCGCAATTGCCGACCTGACCCACCTAACACATTATACCAGCATATGGAGTACAATCCTACAGCAGACCAGATCCCATGCCCAGGAATAAACAGACTAACTATCGTTTCGAATATCACTAGTCGACAGCAAGCCACACCGCAACACCGCCACACCCGAATGCACGGAAACAGTCTCCATCCGGTACAACTACATACAAACAAGACGAGAAACGAACAACTCAGACACGCAGCCAGCCCAGACAAATCATACCCAATACACTCCATAGCCGAGGTCTTTCCATTACATTCGGCATGCTTCTTCCGGGGGTCACGGGCGCGGTGTTGGCGGTTGGACCACTTTAGTTGGGCCTTTGTATGTATGGCTTGATGCCATGCCACATAAGGCGCAGCTGAGTGGCTTGTGGATAGTAACTGAAACTGAGACAGTATGACGGCGTTTATTCCGGGCGTTACGCCCTGGATATAATTATGGACTGGACCGGTTGGTACGGATAAGGGGGATGAAATGCATCTGCCTAATTAATATTAATATTGATGTTTACTCCGTAGTGGGGAATGGTGTTAACTATGTATGGTGTACGGGTACAGATGGGTATACATACAGTGTACACATGGACATACATGGCATAGTACACATGCAGCTGCCCCTCCATCCGTGACGCCGTATATATACCCCCCTCTCCCTCTTCTTCCCCTCTCCTTTTTACTCTACTACAGAGTACAATCACACATATCAAAATGTCCTACTACGAACAACCCCCCTACTACGGCGGCACACCGCAGTACGAACGCCCCCCCTACGACCAGCCCCCCTCAGGCTCCCCCTACGACCGTCCCCGCTACGAGGGTCATCCCTACGGCGGCCCTCCCCAAGGCTCTCCCTACGGCGGCCCCCCTGGTCCCCCTCCCTCCGATAGACCCCCCTACGGCGGCTCTCCTTACGATCGTCCCCCATCCGGCTCTCCTTACGACCGTCCCCCATCCGGCTCTCCATATGAACGACCCCCGCAGGACTCCCCCTACGACCGCCCACCACAGGGCTCCCCCTACGGCGGCCCCCCTCCACCAGGCCCCGGCGGCCCCGGCGGCCCCGGCCTCTCCGCCCGCCCACCACCAAACCCCCCGCCGCCTCTCCCCCTAGGCTGGTCCCAGCAATGGGAACCCAGTATCCGCCGTGCTTTCTTCCTCGAGGAATCCACCGGCCGCACGCAGTGGGAGCCACCCATGGGCGATAGCGAGTTTGGTGCTAGGGGCGGACCGCCGCCGGAGTCGGACTCGTATTATCGTGCCGGGCCGCCGCCGCCGCCGATGGGATACGGTGGTGGTCCTCCGCCGGGTGGACCGGAGGGGTATGCTTCTCCGCCGCCGCAGGGCGAGTATTATCAGGGTGAGGATCCGCAGGAGAAGAAGAAGAGTGATCGGAAGAAGTATCTTCTGGGTGGTGCTGCGGGGTTGGCGTTGGGAGCTGCGGGGGGTGCATTTATTGCGCACGAGATGGGTACGTTTTCCCCTTTGCTTTCGAGTTCGAATGTGGATGATGTGGTATGGGATGGTGCTAACTGGATGCAGGCGATGATAGTTCCTCCGACGAGGAGAAAGAAAGGGAACATGAGCGTGAGGAGCGCGAAGAGGCGTATTCGGACAGCGGGGATAACTATCCCCCGCCTGATGATTGGTGATTGTGTGCGTTTGGCTGAGTATATTGGTTATGTTGGTAAATATGAATTTCAGATCATTTCGGTTGTATTTGGGATCTTGCATTTGTAAATCCGGCGATCGTGGGGTGTGTTTGCATTGGGTGCAAACATGTAGTCTTATGCCTTATTGGGCGTGTCCACTTTTCTGGAGAGTAAACTAGGTCAGTGACGAGAGATGTTCTTTCAACCAACAAATTACTACTGCTTCTGTTGCCTGTGCATGTCATGCACCCTAGGACCGTCCAGAGCCGTTGATGCCTACCATTCCAGCTATCTCCCAACTCCATCTGCATCCTGGTGCCAAGTCCATATCACCCATACCTATCGAAGGTACATTGTACAGGATTCATTCACTGAAATGTCACCACTGCAGAGTAGATCAGCATCCCCGTCAAGACCAGGAAAAGCTGCCATGCACAACCTGGTGGTCTGCAGTGCAACAGACCCAAATGATCCCACTCACAGCGCCATGTTCTCTGATTTCAAGAAGATATCATCAATGCTCATGCCCATGGAAACTCAAACTGCTATGGGAAATATATTTCTGTCGTGCTTCCAGCTGGAAGAGCGTTTGAATTGTCTGTCCATGAGAACGACGCCCACAACAGAGACCAAATCGGGGAGGCCGGAGTCAAGCTCGGGCTTGGGACCTGTCTTTACTGACCACGACCGCATACACCACAAACAGGTCCAGGAAGAGGCGAAGCTTGCTGGAACCTCGCCTAATAAAGACGGTGCTTTCCATGACGAAGTCGTCGGGTGGATTAAGCAAAAGACTCAAGAAGCGCAACCAGGAGACATGGTCAATCTCTTTTTTTTCAAGGCCACGGATTCCCCGAAAGCATCTCGCTCGGCAAAAAAGGTAATCAACAACAATGATTCGGTGCCTCTTCTTCAGCGATTTTGTAAAGGAGTGCAGGTAAACGCAGTGCGCCTGTACTCAAATCGCCAATTTGGCAAGCTTGTGGACGCAATCCGCCATGATAAATGGCATAATGGACGTATGACTGCCGGCGAACGGCATGGTCAGTGCCGTTTTGCTACTACGCGCCGTTTGAGTGGGATGTTTAAGGATCTCGCGAACTCAAAAAGGCCCCACACAGTCGTCGATCCAGCCTGATTTGTCTGATGTACATTCCAGATTCCTCAGGGTCCAGGAGGATCGATATATCACGGAGGACGGACCCGATGAGGTACACAACGCAAGTGACAGATCTGCAATCCTAGAGGAGTTCGCCAATGTGCTCCTTCGTGACTACGTTGACGTAGGGTGCTACCCCAAATGAACCGCTTCCGTAAATACATGCAGTTCTCCTCATTGACCGAAACAGCAAAGGCACTATTCGAGAGAACCATAGCCAGCTGCGATCCCAGGGCTCAAAACGCCGCACGAGAACTTGTGCTCGCCTACACAAATGTATGCAACGAAAACCTCCAGGACATACATGACATCGGGATCTTCGACAACTTATACAGGGCCAAAAAGCCCAATTATGAACGTGCCATGAAGATTGTCTCCTGGCGATCGGTGCAACAATCAACCGGTTAGAACGTGTTCGTCCACTTGATTGAACAGGGCTTTTTGCCTACCGACGCTCTGAACGAACGCATGGCTTTCCGCCAGAGGTCAAAAGAGGTGACAGCCGTTATAAAGCTATTATATTGCTTTAAGTTTGCTTCAACTAATTACAAAGCCGAAGTTCATCGGATCTTCATCCGGAGCGATATGCATGACAGCACTGAATCATCCTGGGCTGGCATGAGACCGTCAGCATGAAGAATGCTAAGCTGGTCTACGAATGCCTATATTGGGACACGTATACCAACACGACCACGTCTCACTTGTGTTTCTTCAACGAAGTGACCATAGCGGATGAGAAGCCAACAGAACAAATAAGGCAATGCAACGGGCGATACTACTTCTTCGCCCACAGAAGACGGAATGGGAGGATGTTATCCTGCTACCACCTGAGTAGCTGGCCCGGACTCCTCTGCCGACGACAAAATTGGATGCCTTCGCATGAAACCTCGTCTTTCCCCGATCTAAATGAATATGCTTACATATTCTACAGAGGAAGTGCCAACGCGTTACGGCCAATAGGAAGACTACTAACAGCAGCGCGTTTTGTCCGAGTCAATGCTAACAAGGATTTACTGTATCATTCCGGTCGACGCTGAATCTCTCAGCTATTTCCAAAGTAGTGGAACAGTTCGGTTGTGTTGCTGGTTAACAATTCGCCATTCTCATATTCTACAATCTGATGGAAAAGGAATGTACAGAAGAAACATGTCATCCATGGCAAACGCTGTTAGAAGCCTAGGAGATTATAGCAACCTAGCACAATTATATCCGCTGTTTATAGCGCATAACCAAGCATGTACGGCGTGGTTGAAGTGTACCAAAATGCCAAGACAAATCGCATGCTCGACTTGGCCGCCAATCAGCCTAAAGCAAAAGCAATGGTCTACAAATGTTGGAGATCAGTCATCGTGCTACACTTGACCAATGGCAGTGGGAGCATGTAACACTCTATCGATTTCCATGGGGTTTGGTTTTGGTACTAAGAGGCACACAGCTACCGACACCCGCTCGTCGATATACACGAGGGACTTGTCGAGACTGGGGTATAGTACCTACGTATTCACATCATATAGGGAGCAAGAATCTGCACATTAGCACACTGATGGTATTGAGTAGTGAATGTGAATGTGAGGAAGAGGAAGGGGAAAGTGGCGGATGTCGCGGTTTATATGTTGTCGTGGTACGTGGTAGCTAACCGGATTTGGTTAAGAGGGGTTAAGCGACAGTTGTACAAGTATGAGTAGAGTCCGGTATGCACCGTACAGTGATGTTCTATGTTCAACGAAATAACGGAAAATTGAACATAATACAGTACGTCCAAGTAGTACGTAGGTACTTTCTCTGCGCACCAATAACCCGTCTCCAATTATATGACCTCACAGACCTAGTTCTTTGATACCGAATGCCTCTGATCCCTACCAATCATGGTACAACACGGGGAAGATCAACAGTATATCTCCTGAACAGGCAGGTCTGCGGAGTCTTAGCATTCCTTAACCTAATTTGGGTATCGGGATAACCATGGTTGTGTCATGAATGCGTGTTTGTCGACATCATATGTGGTTCCATTACGAGGAACTGTTCCGGATCCTGTCCAAGTATATCTGTTCTATGATGACCTAGCCGGAGTATGTTGGCGATCAAAATTAAACAAGTCACTTCAAGGTTCTAGTTAGTCAATGCTTATTTCGCGCAGAGCCATCAAAGATTAAGGGAGAGAGTGTATCTCAAATAAAACCGTATCTAAGGATCTCCGGACAAATGGGGTACTGGGTCCCGTACTCCACAATACCCCACAACTGTGCTCTGACGCGGTAAGACATTGGAGACTTTGCCCCCCTGGCCAAGGACCCTGATGTCGGATTCACGGACAATCCACCAAACTCGGGAAGAATCGGAGCAACACACAGAGCCAAGGTGGAAATAACCTCCCTGTCACTCTCGCTTAAGCGCATCTAGCGATCTCCTGCAAGTTTAACGCAGAGTTAACGTTCAGATCCCTCCATTGAACCTACCCCTATCCAACTACTGACCTTCTGGCCCGCCATGGGGGTCCCGCCCCATAAAATAAACTTAGACTCCAAGCTTTATCCAAAACCCTGAACTCTTCCGCTCGTCCCTGGCCAATGGGAGCCCCGAACCAAGAATGATGATTCTTCACTCCGCGTTTTCGTTTACCCCATGGACCCGCCCCCGCCTTTCCCCTTTTTGGTTGTTGCGTTTTTGTGGGGAAATCTCCGTTGTTTAACCTGGAATTTTAGCTACGCGGCCACACAGAGTGTTGTGCTATTGTTTTCCAGCACAGCTCGACAATGACCTCAACAAACTTAATTGTGCGCTTCGGTGCCTATCGGTTCAGAATTATGGTTGAGATAAGCTTGAGGATGTAGCCGCGGATTTAGAACATGGTTGGTCTTCTCTTCCGCGGATATTTGGTCGCGTAGCCGCTCTCTATGCTGGAGTATGGTCCGCAGAAGGGATCCTCAATGACAGCCCCAGAAAGCTATATATAGGGGGTGCCCCCATCTGGTATCGTGACCACCCCAGCCCTCTCCTGCACTCTCATACTGTACCACCTCTTCTCCCTTCACATCTTTCCCTCTACTCCTTCCCTAAATCCTCCACAATGGCGGACGTCGACCTCGAAAAGCAAAACACAATCACCAGCCAACACAACAATGGCTCCCCCAACCTCTCCCACCAAGAAACTTCATCCTCCACCCACGACTACAGCCGCTACGGCCCCCTAGCCCACGTCAACACCGCCTCAACCCGTCTCCCTGCCTTTGGTGGTGAACTACAGCCTGGTCTATACAAACCTCCCACTGATCGGAAAGTCGCGAATCCCGGGCCGTTGGGGCTTTGTGGTTTCGCGCTTACTACTTTCCTCCTGGGGTTGATTCAGATGCAGGTGAAGGGTATTTTGCTGCCGAATATTGTTGTTGCGCCGGCGTTGGCGTATGGGGGGTTGGTGCAGCTTTGTGCTGGGATGTGGTATGTTCTGAGAACGGGGTATATATGGATGTTCAGGAACTGACAAAGATACTCAGGGAAATGGCAATTGGAAATACATTCGGTGCGACTGTACTCTCATCTTATGGTGGATTCTGGATCTCCATCGCGATCACCTTTATCCCCGGTGGATTCGAAATCATGCCCACGCTTGAGAAAGCAGGTGGTGGTACAACCGCGATGTTCTACGACTCTTTCTCCTTATTCCTCTGGGTAAGTCCCCTTTCCCCTCCCCCACCCCTCTCAACCACCAAACCAATTACTAACACGACAACAGGGTTGGTTCATCTTCACAACAATAATAACCTTCCTAACCCTCCGCTCCACCCTCGCCTTCTTCTCCCTCTTCTTCTTCGTCGACATCGCCGTTCTCCTCCTCGCACTCGCCTACATGATCCGCGACCCTGCCGGCATGCCGCACGCGCAACTGCAGAAAGCAGGTGGATTCTTTGCGCTGCTGGGGGCATTTTTGGCGTGGTATAATGCGTTTGCCGGGCTGGCGGATAATACTAATAGTTTCTTTGTTGTGCCAGTTTTGCATTTCCCCTGGAGTGAGAAGGGAAGGCAAGGAAGGAAGGCGGAGTAGGGGGTTTCTTTTTTGTTTTGGGGTATAGATGTGATGAAATGATGTCTTATGGGCCTGTGGGCAGGTATGAATATGGATACTGAGATGTGACGGATGGGATTACTTTTCTACTTAATATTGGGATAATAAGACTTTGTCATGAACATATAAACCCCTCTATCGTATACCATCTATGTATCTCAAGCTCCATTACCCGGCTGCTTAAACACCACCCCATCAATAACCGTCGTCAGCGTCCCATTCGCATTAAATATGTTTGTCATCGCATCAATCTCCAAATGAAACCCCCCAGGCCCAGTCTTCTTCGTACCCTCCTGCTCACCCGTCGACACAATATCCGAAAACCAATCTACCCGGTTCAACGTAACAGAAAGCGGCGTGGACTTGACTTTCTCAGAACCACTGATAAAACTCAATCCATCATCGGAGTAGTTGTAGTATGTAGCGCCGACGGTCATGATGGATGGGTTGTTGTGGCCGTAGGAAATCGACACACTCGCGGAGCCGGAGTTCTTGCCCTTGAGGGTGTAATTACCGGCACCGGGGTATGTTCGCTCGGGCATCTTATCACCGGGTTTATACGGCGTACCCCAAGGGACATCATCAGAAACCGGCTCAAAATGCCGCTGTTTGATAGGTTCACGACTACTCAAATGCGCAAGCATAACCCTACTCGTCCTACCACCCTCCTCCGTCGACTTCGGGCACGGAAGCGGATTCCTACCCCCACACGCAGGAGCCTGCACCAAGTTCTGAAAATACACAATCCGAGTCCCACCAGGCGACCACCGCGGATCAGCACCAGCATTCCAATTCGGATCGTTAATACTACCCGGGCTCCCATCACCAGCAGCATTAATCTTTTGTCCGAAATACGTCCCGCGATCGCCGTCATGGTCGAGAAGCCAGGGCTCGAAGAACCGTCTAGCACCGTTGTTCCGGGTTGATGCTGTCACTGTGACAGATGCCATATCTGTGACCGGGGGGATACCGCGCAGTCCGGCCAGGAACATCTGGCGACCTGTTCCGCGGGTGTCGAGGATGACTTGCCATTTATCGTCTGGAGAGACGTCGATGGGGTCCGTGTATTCGGGGTGGCTGGTTAGCCGGCGCACTTTGCCGGTCGTTAGATCTGCGGCGAAGAGATCGATGTTGCATGATTCAACCGGGCTGCCGACATAAGTCACTTCTTTTCCAGAGCCTGTGAAGCCGCGGAATTCGCCGACGGTGATTGTGTCTGGTTTGAAGATTAGGTCACTGCCGTTCGCGGTGAATGGTAGTGAGGCGTCCTTGTTAAAGAGGACAGTCACGTTAACGAGCTCATAGCGGGGTACGCGAGGGGTACCAGTTTTGGGAGATGGGTTGAATCGCAATCGACCGAAGTATCCGTACTCGTCAATCTTGCCGCTTGATATCCCGAAGGAGTTGAAGCCAATGTGCACATTATCTGGGTGGATTCGGATTTCTCGGATTGTGCCGCCAGGTCCTGATCCATCGGCTTTGTTGTCCCACCGGATGGGGTAGATATGGACTTTCTCGGGGGTGCATTTTTCACTGGACAATAGTTCCTCTCCGCAGCTCACGATGTTCGCTTCAACGAGCACGCGCTTCCCGTCTTTGAATGCCTGCGGGTACGAAAGCAGCTCTGTGCTTCCCACGCTGTTGTTCTTCGGCACCCCGCAGGTAATGCATTTCCACGGATCGCCGTTGGGAAAGGTCGTGTTGTCGGCCTTGACTATGATCAGTTGGACACCGTTATAAATGCTCGCCGGGTTCGGGGATGCCGGAGCACCGGTGAAGTTCGCGCTGATGACGACGTGGTTGCCGTCGGGAAGGAAGTTCCCGCTTTGGAGGGAGGAGGTCCGGTCGAGGCAGCCTGTGTTGTGAATGCAGGAGCCTGGCTTAGTATTCGGGGCGACCGGAGGGAGAGGGAGTTCAGTGATAGTTATGGGCTCGGGTTGCGGTGGTGCGATATCATTTCGGTGATTGAGGGTTGGATTGCTGTCAGATGCAATAGCCTGGACCCAGGCGATAGGGCCTAGCAAGGCAGTCTGGAATCGCATTTCAATTTCAACACGACTGAACTATTATCAGCCATCATGACTGACATTGCGGGGTTTTTAAACTTGCATTAGGGTCCAGAGTCATTTTCCGTTTTACATGTTTCCAATTACGCGGACAAGACCCTGGATGTTCATGAAGATTCCTCGATTGGAAAATAATACGAGTACGAACCCCCCCACATATACCCTCGGGTTCGTACTCGTACCGTTTGCCTGTTATGGCGGGGATAGGACTATTTTCCTGATATGATCAGTGTTGTGATGCAATGCCCCGGATTCAAGTCTTCAAGTCTTCATTCTAACAAAGGATTGTTCGGCGAAATGTGCCTCTATTGCCTACTTGGGTTTAGAGCATGATTTTGATTTCTTCTAATAAGGTAATGCAGGGACGGTTAAATGTCGGACCCAATACACCGTATGCGGGGGGTTAGTTTTGACATTGACATCTGATGGAGCCGTTTGTACTCCGTACCTGCATGGAGATTCTCGGGAATGGGCCACACCGACTCCATTGCATGATATCACTCGACACTTATTCATGGAAGTTAGTTACATCTTCTGTCTTCAGAGAATCTTGATATAGTCCCCTTCGCGTGAACTATGGGGAAGACGCCTGTATTTCTGACAGCAGGAGGCACTGCATAAGATGGACTATCAAGAATCTGGAGTGTCCGATTTGGAGTACGCCATCAGCGTCGAGGCAACCATCTTGTAGATTCAAAGACATACACGAGTACGCGAGAATTTCCAGTTACGGTAACCGGCAACAATGGTGCTATTTTTACGCTTTCTACATTTTCGCCCTCAATTCTAGAGTAAAATACTCCTATCTCGCTGTCTCCAACAAATCACTCCCCGGAACCATGACAGCCAGCAAAAAGACAATGGATAATTCCTTGAATCCTGCCTGGCGTGACTCGGTCGTTCATATTATCACTACCCAGAGCTGAGATGACACCTTGCTGCAAGACATCGCAGACAAGACTGGGCCGAGCAGGAAGATGGTGCTTTGTGTTGTGCGTATAGAATGCGTTTGTCGGACCGTCGCGCTTCAAGGGGTGTAAACGATGGAGGGAGGTTTCTTCTGCTTCTATTCTCTGTTTGTCTTCTCTTCTTCTCAATACTTCGCCTTTACTTCGCGGTGTTTTATTATTATATTTCTTTCTTCTCCCCGCGCTTATCTAGGCCCGGGGTCAATATCTGTACTCCGTGGCCCCCTTTTGGATTCTATGAACTTTCTACGCCCCTTCATATGCCTTGTGACTCAGAGGAAGCGTTAATAATGAGTGGTACGAGGGTATTTCAATATCAAGCGCGGAATATGTCTACATGTTTGCTGTTTGCCCCAAGTACCAAGCATAAAAAACCACATCTCCGCGACTAATATCTTAACGGCAATGGTCCACCGTTTCAATTTCCATTTCACAGGCGCTTCTTCCAAGTCAATAGAAGCAAATATAACAGGGGACTCATTCTACATTCTACTCCAACAGAAGGTATAAATACCCCTTCACTCCCAGCCCAAACATCCCAACAACAACAACAACAACAACAAAAAAAACCCTCTATTCAAACGAACAAGTCTATTCTCTTCTACTTCCACTCCACCGCTACGCAAACACAATAAAGCTTTTCATTCTCACAACCATCTTCCTCGCCGGTAGTTGTGCCTGTGCCGATAGCACGCCCGTACGCCCTCTGTCCTCCTCCACGGCCCCGACTCCTATTCCCGACAACGAACCCTGCATGCCGGACGGTTCCATGGGTACCTGCAAGAGCAAGATCTGCATTGCAAGTATTGTCAAATATAGGAAAGCTATGGTATGAGATGATGCTAACGGGTTTACAGAAACTTCCCGGCGAGTCTCAGGGTGCTTGCAAGGCTAGCAAGTAATGGTTTTCTGAGTGAGATGTGGCATATGTAAATGTTTGATGGGTTGTCGTGTGTTGGTGGTTGCATTGTATTTAGGCAATGCTATTACATTTGTTGCGTTCTGTTCCCGAGGTTCGAGACCTGTATTCCGTGATTGATCTGTTACATTTTTCTCATATTTCTCGAGCATATTGTTCCTTCGTGCTCAGGGCTGTTTCAGAACTTGGTGACGGGGAATCGATGTCATTTCAGTCTATCCAGAATCTACTTTCGCCGTGTAATGTATAATGCCTCAGGCATAGGATAGTTTCCAAAACAACGTCTTCTCCAACTACAACCAAGCCAACCATGCCTACACACACAGCATACACAACTCTCGCCTTCGGCGCAAGCTCCCTACTCACGGGGATATGTATCCTCTTCTATCCTGGATCCATGCTATCCACGCTATCATTACCAGACGCATCGCTCCCAGCGATACGCGCGAATGCTTTAGCCGCCGTTGCAATGGGGATATATTACACCTTGGCATTTGTCCAGGATAATTGAGCTTTCTTTGTGGCGACTGTTCCGATGAGGATGCTTACTGCGGTTGTACTTGGGATGCAGGAAGGATTTTGGGTGTATGTGGCGCTTTGGGAGAGGATTGGAGCGGGTTTTACTGGTGTTATGTTGGCGCTTGAGTAGTTTCAAACAAGAAGGATTGAAGAGAGGAAACAGGACTAGGAGGATGGTGTTAGGTTACCCGGATCGCGGCAAACGCATCCCTGCTGATTGAGGCGCGGCTAACTCTTTGTTTGCCATGATTGGTTTTTGTCACGGTGAGCATCTGGATTCCAACCAGGATGATTGAACCTTGTCTAAACGCTTTGCTGATGCCCCGATCCCTCTGGTAGGTCTGTTTTTCCAGAAAGTCATTCGCCAGATCATATCTCTTCGTTATCATAGAAAGTGCAGACTATACGATGGAAGGCTATACCCATGGCCCTGGGTACCGTGAAGTCGAAGAGCGACAAGGCTCCTCACGATCAGTGACTGACCTCTTCCGTCTGGATAAGCGCACGATCATCGGTATGCTCACCCCTTTTCTCTAGGCTGGCTTGACAACGCTAAGGTGTATTTTCTAGTCACTGTTGCCGGAGGAGATTGGGGCACAGCCATAATCGACGCGATCCCCGAAAGCGGCGGCGATGTTGTCGGACTCGATCTCGATAATGTCCATCTCGATGTTGAAGCTGAACTGAAACAGGAAACCTGGGGTATGTCGATACCATCATACTGTGCGTTTTGATCTCGTCGACACTGCTGACCTCGTCAGAGCATATCCAAGCTACCGCAGAGAAGTATGCCCGAAAAGTCGCGTATTACCCCTTGGATGTGACAGATGAAAAGACTGTGAATGTAATATTCTCCAGTTTCATCCCAACCCTCCGCTATCCCGTACGAGGGCTGGTCTCTGTTGCTGGAATGGGTTATCTAGGGTCGGCTACTGTGTTCGAAGCGTCCAATTTCGGCAGGTGCTGGATACCAACGTCACCTGGACATTTCTTGTTACTCAGGCGACAGCCTGAGCTATGGAAAAGGAGAATTTTTCCGGTAGTATTGTGCTAATCTCAAACGTCCGCTGGTACGGTGCCTATAAGGTAGATACATTTTTGTCCCTCTTCTGTTTCATGAGTTTCCATACTCACCACTCAATCATCATAGACGATTGACGGCGCGTGTTGAAACGCCTCCAGTGTAGCCATCCACCAACTGGTCCGCTCTCTCGCCGCCGAATGGGGATCCCGTCTGGAGATGCCGTTGATCCGAGTCAACACACTCACACCTGGGTAAACCCGGACATCACCTACTGAGAAAACACTCAAGGTACCGGGTGTGGAGTCAGCGTGGTCAGAAGAGAAAATGCTGAACCAGTTGAGTACTCCGGATAAGTATCGGGCTCCAGTTATTTTTATGCTAGGTGACGGCAGCAGCTTTGTGACCGGCGCGGATTTACGGGTTGACGGGGGACATTGCGCGTGGTGAGAGCTGGTAGGGCTGACTTCAGTGCACTACTATTTTACTGCGGATTAAGCTTATCTTAACTCTATAAAGGGGAATGAAACACGAACAATGGCTAGCGTACGAGACTTCATGCTCTCTCGGAGATTATGCGGATACCCCGATATTCAGATCCGTGCATGCTTGCTAGCGTCTGAAATGCAATCTATCTGCTGCAGTATCATTCCACGACCAGCATATGGATTATATTTCCATTCAGGTCGAGTCACCAGGGTATCTTGCACTATCTCGAACTTTATTACCCTCAAAACTGTTCGAAGGAATGATTCTAGAATTATCTCATTCAGGTCCGATATGATATCACTACCGAAGTCCGATCCTGATTGATAAGTCTATATCCGTAACTAAACCCGACGTCAACTGCCATCGCCGAATCAAATTTGATCGTCAGGGGGCCCGGCGGGGCTTTTTAGAACTGTCATTGAAATTTTTCGCTGCAGATAACGCCGGACCCACGATAACTTATGTAGATGGCTCGAAGCCCGATAACGGGCCGAGATTTGAGCTTCTTTTCTTAAAGGAATCAGTTCCCCGAGGCATGGACAGTCAACCTACTTGTCACTCATCCGGACGATGGCCTCCGCTTCGTCAGTGACGCACCATCCTGAGCCCGAGGTGCCATACGATGAATCGAAGCGCAACCACGACGAGCACAACGCCGACGAGAATGAGCCCGAGCCCCTGACTCGCGCGGAAACGTCGCAATCGAATATCGGTCCTCCAAAGTCACTATGGCACGAGACTATCTTTGTCACAATCGTGTGCATGGCACAGTTCATGACCCAGGCAGCCCTGGGCATGGGTATCGTCCCGGCGCACATCATAGGGGCCAGTTTCGGCACAACAGACCCCGGCGAGATTTCCTGGTTTCCGGCCGCGTATAGTTTGACGGTTGGAACGTTCATCTTGGTTTCGGGGCGCATGGGCGATATGTGGGGTCACCGGCTTATGTTCGTCGCTGGATTCCTGTGGTTTGCTCTCTGGTCGCTGCTCGCGGGGTTCAGTGTGTATTCGAACCGGATCTTCTTCGACTGCTGTCGCGCATTTCAGGGTATTGGGCCGGCGATGCTGCTCCCCAACGCGGTGGCGATTTTCGGAAGGACGTACCCGCCGGGGTTGAGGAAGGCTATGGCGTTCAGCTTGTTTGGTGCGACGGCTCCTGGAGGATATATTGTGGGTGCGGCGTTCTCCTCGATCTTCGCACAGCTTGTCTGGTGGCCGTGGGGATACTGGGTGTTGGCGATTGTGTGCGTTGCCTTTGCTGCGCTGGGATATATTATTATTCCCTTCTTGCCACATTCGAAATCCGAAGATGACCATTTGCCTGTGATGGTCCGACTGGATATCCTGGGCGCCACGGCAGGTGTTATCGGTCTGGTTTTGATCAACTTCGCATGGAACCAGGCGCCTTTGGTTGGATGGAGTAACCCATATGTCTACGTCCTGCTTATCGTCGGGTTCCTCTCTTTTGTTGCATTCGCTATTGTTGAACGCTCTGCAAAGTGCCCTCTGCTCCCTCGATCGATTTTCACCGGTGATCTTGCTTGGGTACTTAGTTGTATTGCGGCAGGCTGGTCAAGTATGGGTATCATCGTCTACTACTTCTACCAGTTTATGTTGGTGATCAAGGGAGATACACCTCTTCTTGCGACGGCGAAGTTCTCAGGTGCTGCGGCTTCTGGTGCTATTGCATCTATCACAACAGGTATTCTGCTTGGTTATCTTCCACCAAGCGTTATTATGTTCTGCTCTATGAGTGCATACACAGTTGGTCTTTGCCTGGTTGCAACCTTGCCCGTCGACCAGATCTACTGGGGCCAAGCGTTCTTTGCCAGTTTGATTACCCCGTGGGGAATGTAAATTTTCCAATCTCTTCGCAATTCATAAACAGGTGATCTAATGACAAACAGGGACATGTCCTTCCCCTCAGGCACTCTCCTTCTGAGCAACGCCATGCCCCGCAAACACCAAGGTCTAGCCGCTTCCCTCGTCAGCACAACTGTGAACTACTCCATTTCCATCGGACTCGGCTTCGCAGGTACAGTGGAGTCACACGTCAACGACGGTGGCACAAATACATTGAAGGGATACCGCGGAGCGCTATATATGGGCGTTGGCCTTGCGGCTGGGGGACTGGTGATATCCAGTTTCTATGTGCTTGTGAACTGGTTGAAGTATCGGCGGGAGAAGGGGGAGAAGGAGAAGAAGGATGCTAGTCCGTGACGCCTTTATTCTGTCTAATGCGTTGTTTATTGCATAATACCTGTATATAACTAGTACCTTAGGATAGATTCAGAAGATGTATAGATAGACAAAATAATGTTTTCTGCTTTTCTATGTCTTCCCAGTTTGCACAGAACCTTCTAGAGAAAACTGTATTGCTCATATTGGTAATATACAACAAGTCTTGTAATATTACAAAGGAACACAATACAATGAGAACAGGAATAATATAGAGGCTAACTATATATGTACTAGCGTGTTTCATGGTAGGTTCTGGGAAACAAACCAACAGTGTTCGGGGGGCAAGCTGATTTTGGGAACTACTGTGCCTATGGGTACCATTCGACTGTACCATTCGACTGTATTGAGAGGAATCGGCCCGGAAAAAGGAAGACTGTGAGAAAGAATTGATTGTTGGATATTCGAACCGTGGTGGTGTGCCGAAACGGGAACTAATCTCGGCCCGATGGCGATCCCGCCCGAAAGGGCTCCCGAGCCCTATCCCACAAACTCCCAAGGAACACCCCAAATCTTCTCGCAGGAGGCCTTTCAGCCAACGATCCCACTGACAAGGAAACGCCGGAGACATGGCATTGATACAGCCATTACACCGATCTCGAGCCCTGAATTTGCCTCTGGGGAAAGCAATGGATGGGTTACAAACCAGGAGATCCGACAGCTCATCCACAACTTCCAGGAAACTCTCGCACGCCAAACAGGGATTATAGAGTCAGCAAGAGCAGAAATGCAAGAGATCAAAAACGAACAGCAGGCACTAAAAGGCCGGAACACAGAACTACAAGAGGAGATTCAGGCCCTCCGTACGCGGATTGAGGCGCCACCAGTGACCAACTCCCCTGCTAAGACATGGACAAATATAGTAGCAAACACTACCAGTGCTGCAGCTCCAGCTATCCAACAACCCCAAAAGGAACCCCACTGCGTCCGCATCAATACGCAGCGCAACCCTGAGACTGAAAACAACGAAGGAACCCAGTTTACATGATACCTCCCCACAGATACAGCCAACATGCGAATCAGGTCTGCTCTCCTGAATGCAGACACCACCAGAGATGCACAGGTAGCAGGAGTAGGAACCACCAAAACAGGATATGTTATCAGATTCAGGGACCCCCAGTCGGCCGAAGTGGCCCAAACCAACATGGAATGGTTAGGGGAGCTGGGCAACGACACAAAACTGGTGAAACCGCGCTTCAGAATTGTCGTCCACCGCACCCCTACTGACGACTTTGACCTGGAAAAAGCAAGAAGCAAGGGATCGAGAAAATCACAGAGGAGAACGAGCTGGCCGGCAAAGGGTACCAAATCGAAGATATTGCATGGCTGAAGAGGAATGACAAGCCTCTGGGAACATCAGCATCTCTGGGCATCTGGCTCGACTCACCAGAAGCGGCAGAATGGATCATCAACAATGGTCTACTGGTGGGACAGAGATACATTGGCAGTATCGAGGCCTACCAAGTCAAACAGAAAAGATGCCACTGGTGCCAAAGGCACGGTCACCTAGCATGGTCTTGCAAGGAAAGAGCCCGATGTGGTCACTGCGTGGGTGAACACGAATGCCGACACTGCCCACCTGGAATCAGAGCACAGTGCCTGGATTGCAACAGAGACCATCCTGTAGGAGACCAAAGGTGCCCAGCACCCATCGACACTGCCAAGTTGCAATGATATCACACAACCTTTGTCTACTCCAGTTGAACATTATGAAATTGAGGCCAGGAATGGAGGCCCTCATCCAAGAACCACCCATCAGCGCATATCGCACCCATGTCAGCCACACCGCATGGCGGCGTTATCAACCAACACCCCCCGAGGAATCGGGACGATACCGAAGCCTGCTCTACGTGAACAAGAAAATATCGACCTCATCGCACTGCCAGATCCACTGTGACCACCCAGATGTGGCAGCAGTCAAAATCTGGACACCTGAACTTCAGTTCCTTCTTTTCTCCATATATATCCCACCAGTGCAGCTATTTCAAAACCGGGCACAAAGCCCGCCCCTTGCGGCTCTGGACGTGAGTCAGAGCACCATCCTCTGAAACACCAGCAGAGCGGACAAACCAACATGAATCATTATGGCTGGTGATTTCAACAGACACCACCCCGCATGGAGCAGCAGACCAGTCCACCATGTATTTGCTGATCAGGCTGAAGAATTCATCAATTTCTTCCACCACAATCAACTACAATGGTGTCTACAACGTGGCATACCGACATTCTGGTCACTCAACCAACCGGGAAAAACATCTACAATCAACCTCACTGTTACAGACTGCTCCACCTTGCTTATCAGATGCCGGCTTCATCACGACCACTATGGATCAGATCACTGTGGAACTTACTCGGAATGGAACCTACAACCCACACACAATGCTGAAACTAAACCAAAGCGAGCATACGACCGAGCGAACTGGAACACTATCGATCAACAGGTACTAGGAAACATGGACCCTGAACCTGCAATTCTCTCTGAGGCGGATCTAGACGACGCTGTTGGAAGACTGATTCAAACAACAACCACCGCCCTTGATGACCACATCCCAAAGCAAAAGCCATCACCATACTCCAAGCGATGGTTCACCCCAGAACTCAAATCCCAACAGACTGAAGTCAACCGGGCGCGTCACAGATGGCAAGACAGCTGTGCAAAAACAGGACCGCACCATTCTATATCTTTGACGCTGTTTGCGGATATGCACCAAAAGCGCCGGGACTGGACCAGAACTATTGAAAAGACAAAGTCCGCACACTGGAAGGAATTCCTAGACAAGGCTGGGGAAGGTCACCTGTGGAAAGTAGCATCCGAAGAGCTTGCTGACAACAAAGATAAAGCAAGAGTGTTTATGGAATCATTCTTCCTGAAGATGGCAGATGCCCAAAATGGGCCAGCATCAACACAGGAGGAAATCCCGTGGGAACCGATTACTGAGCTGGAGATATACCGATCAGTCCAAGCCGCGAAAGGAACAACTGCGCCTGGAGAAGACGGAATCCCAACCCTGATATGGAAGCATCTGTGGCCATACCTTGCCAAGATCATCACATATATTTGTCAAATCAGTTGAGCTAGGGCACTACCCAAATCAGTGGAAGTGAGCAAGGATCGTGGTACTGCGAAAACCCGGCAAACCGGACTATTCAGTACCCGGTGCTTACCGCCCCATTTCGCTTCTCAACACACTAGGGAAATTGCTGGAAGCTGTTCTGGCCAAGCGATTATCATTCTGGGCGGAGAAGCATGGACTGCTCCCAAAAACCCAGTTTGGGGGCAGACCCGGATGCAACACAGAACAGGCCCTGCTGGTACTGGCGAACGCCATTGACCGTGCATGGCTCCGGTCCAAGGTGGTCACACTGATTTCATTTGACCTCAAGGGTGCTTTCAACGGGGTCAACAAGATCAGCTTTGATGCCCGGCTACAGGCCAAAGGCATCCCAACACTAGCAAGGCGATGGATCCGCAGCTTCATGGACAACCGGCAGGCCAACATCACATTTGACGATTTTGAAACGGAAACTGCCCCACTGGAAAATGCAGGGCTCGCCCAGGGGTCCCCTCTCTCACCGATCTTGTTTGCCTTCTTTAACTCGGACCTGGTCGAACAACCAGTTGACTATGACGGCGGGGCATCCGCGTACATTGATGATTACTTTCGCTGGCGTGCAGGCCCATCAGCAGAGGAGAACCTCCGGAAACTCCAGCAAGAGGATATCCCCTGGATTGAGGCATGGGCCCGACGGACAGGCTCTTGCCTTGCAGCTGAGAAGACAGAGCTGATCCATCTAACAAGAAAGAAAAGTGAGCATGACAAGGGCCAAGTCCCCATGAATGGTAAAACCATCCTACCTTCCAAGACGGCAAAACTCCTTGGAGTGGTATTTGACCAAGAGATGCAGTGGAAGGAGCATGTGCAACAGGCAGTCAAGAGAGCAACAAAAATAAATATTGCATTGGGGAATTTGTGACATCTCCAGCCCAAGCAGTTGCGACAACTCTACCAAGCTTGTGTGACTCCCATTATGGATTACGCATCAATAGTCTGGCACAACCCGCTCAAAGATAAGACACATTTAAGACTCCTTCAAACGGTTCAGCGCACTGCCCTGATCCGAGTCCTTTCAGCCTTCAGGACAGTGGCAACACCCACGCTGGAGATTGAATCACATACACTGCCCACGCACCTTCGACTCAAACAACGCGCTCAGATGGTGATTGCCCGCCTGAGCACGTTACCCGAAGACCATCCCATCCATGACGTGATTGCACGGGGCCGGACCCGGAGCATGCACAGGAATCCAGATCCTCGGTTTCCACTGGCTGAAACAATGAAAACGATGAACCTGAAGCGATTGAACCCACTAGAGGTCATTGATCCAAAACCGCTCGCACCGTGGCACGCGTCTGCCTTTGCGGATATTCAAATCGACTCAGATCGAGAAATAGCAATAGAAAAAGCTAGCGCCCTACGCACAGCCCCAGGGGTGGTTGTATATTCGGACGCATCAGGCCAGAAAGATAATCTTGGTGCAGCGGCAGTGAGCCTGGACCAGAATCAGAAGGTTATAGAATCTCGGCAGATCAGTATCAGACCCATGGATTACTGGACAGTGCACATGGCAGAGCTCATCGGAATATTTTATGCGATTAGTCTTGCATGCAAAGTGACCCGCCAGCACGAGGAACCCCTGGGAACAGAGCGGACTCCAGCCACAATTCTCTGTGATAGCACGTCGGCGATGCAAGCAATCAGGAATCCGGGCACTAAATCTGGACAGAGAATTATCCATGCCATCCTGCAGGCAGCCCAGGAACTAAAAACACGAGGAACCTCCCTTGGCCTCCAATGGGTCCCGGGCCACTGCGACAATTCGGGGAATGATGCAGCAGATCAGCTGGCCAAAGACGCGGTTGGCCCAGAAGGAACGCACCCATTCCGTCGCCCGCTTTCATGCGAGAAAAGATCCATCAGAAACCAAATCCTTAAGCAATGGGAACAGGAATGGAAAGCATGTAAGGGGGCCACCTCCGCCAAATCGACTCCGCATTGCCTTCAATACATACCCGACGGATGTACGGCTCACTGCCACGGAACCGGGCCTATCTGCTCACTCAGCTGCGCACTGGGCACTCATGGCTCACAACACATGGGAAGCTACATCGGCTACGAGAAGATGAGGAATGTGAGTGCGGCGCGAAAGAAACAGTGGTCTATGTTCTTGTGGACTGCCCCAGGTTGAAGGAGCTGCGTCAGGAATTACGAAAGAAGGTTGGGGAGGCATTTAATGATACCTCGCGCATGCTAGGAGGACGAGGACAAGAAGGTAAGGAAGGTAGGCTCAATGGCTCTGCCCAGGCAAGCACAATTAGTGCTGTCCTGGATTTTGCAGAAACATCACAAAGGTTCCAAAGCCGCGCGCCAAGAGGGCCGCAGAACAGCACACCAGGCACATAGGCCACCACAGGCCATGACGAGGCATTAAATTCGTCGGGATGTAGTAGGACAATGTAACTAGAGGTACAAGGACATATATAGTTGTGGTAGCCTGCATATCGCTTCGGCGAGGGGTCAGGGTAAATGATATCATCCGTCCATCCATCCATCCATCCATCCATACTGTGCCTATGCTTCCTGTTGCTCCAATGCCTCCCGTCGACTTGTGCTCTTCGGATTAAAATATGGCTTCTCCCCTAGACCAACTACACGATGGCCCGTTCTCGGACCAAGATGATCGTAGTCGAAAGTCGCCGCATGGTAGACGCTGCGGTTATCCCAGATAGCTATACAACGGCATCGCGTCAGCCCCATCTTCAACATAAGGAAGCGAAAGGTACTACTTACCCAAATCATTCGGATTCTGCCACCTCAGACGAGCCTGCAAATCATGATTCTCAACGATCAAAGTCACAAACCACCTTAGCAAATGATTGCTTTCCTCCTCAGAAAGATCATTGATTTTGGCAACATGATGTCCCACAGCAAACACACTCTTCCACCCCGTTACGGGGTTAGTACGGATAACAGGATGAATGGCCTTCAACACCTCCCCTACATTCTCTGGCGCACCCCGAGGGCCGGTGAAGATTTCAAAGTCGTTTTCCTTGGCAACCTGGTTGAACTCGGGTTGGGCATATGTTGCCGTCAAACTATCCAAGAACTTTTGGTATGGCTTCGAAATGCGATCATATACCTCGTATCCAGAGGCCCAGAGTGTATCTGACCCAGTTGATCAGTTTTATACCTTTCACTCGCGATGCTCGGGGTGACTTGACTTACCACCACCAGTCTTGGGCAGCTGTGTCAGACGCAAAACGGTATAATCGCTAGGAATGGGCTCAAAGGTGATATCGCTGTGCCATTGCTTCCTGCCACTCTGCGTTATTTTACTATAACGGTCCCTATACAGTTTCTCATTATCCTTGGAGGTGATGACGCTGATCTCGTCGTCTTTGGCAGCATGTTCACGGTTCGAGTTGTGGATTGGGTGCACGTGAAGACCGGATGTACTGGGTTTACCGGCGAGAATGCCCAGGCGCTGGATGAGTTCCTTCTGCAAGTCGTCGTCTAGTTCATCTTGTTTGCGGAAGAAGACGACGCCGCGTTGGGAAACTAGAGTGAGTGACTTATTAGTTGTGTTTTTTATTGATGTGATACTGAGTTTATTTAATTACTGGTGATGGCAAGGTCCCGGAGTAACTCATCGGAATTAGGGGCATTCAGCCACTCTTTCAAGTTGGCTGTTGGAAATTCCCTGCCAATGACGGTGGTAACGTCGAACGAGTCGAATGAGTCGAGGGAGCCGCTTAGCTTCAAAGGTTCATTTTCGAGAGGAGACTTCACTGCTGGGGCAGTATCTTTCGCGATTGGAACCACCGGGGTTGCAGTGCTGTCGGCAATAGAGGGTGCCATTGGGAATGTACTCTGTATCTGGGGCTGCGTCAATCTTTGGTTTACTAGATCTATTGAGCAGTATATGGAGATCTGACAGCCTCTATTTATATGAGCTGCCTGTGCATAAAGTTGGCATGTGAACTGTGCCGTACTTCCGGACCCCTCATCCCAAGAATCTGTATCTCGCAATACACACTCGATAGCCGTCTGAAGTAGGATATGTGAAGTTGCAACCCTGACTGGGGATTGTGCAATATCTCGCCATTGCATGCTGCTGCCCGATAGCCGATCATATCATTTGCTACTCCAGTTACGCAACCCTTGGCATCTCTTACATGACTGAAAGGCTCCTAATAAATGTTTTTGAAGTATGTCACCATGGTTTAGTTAAATTGTGAAATTGGGTTCAAGGGTCCAGGGCAAAGTAAAAATTTAAGCTGCCCTAATTGCATGGTCGCTTGTGCCCGCCAATCTAGCTCGAGATTAGCTCTCCCCCCAGCCCCTCCCCCGAATTTAATTGTTATCTCTGTCCAATCAGATTAATCGAATACTACTAATTTGGATCTTGCCTGCGGGGTGGATGTATATGTACCACCGTGCTTCAGCCTGGTATCGCGTATCCCAACCACATGTATGAATCGATTTCTAATACTCGGCAGGCCATGTATTACTTCAGAGTCTTCCAAATGATGCAAGAGCTTGCCAAGAACGTGCAAGAGGCTAGCATGGGCTAGATTACCTTCAGCGAGGTGTCTCAGTTCTGAATGCAATAAACTCACGAGTATATAGCTGTATGCCATTGTCCAATATGGCTCATTTGTACATAGTCTCCAGGAACAAGATCTTGTCTGTCCGACCTTCCAAGGATGCCTACGGTCTACCTACCAAGCGCATCTAAGAAGACGGCCACCCAAACAGTTACATCTCTATCGAATGAGACAGACCAATCCACCGACCGAGATATCCCAGCTCTGGGAGAGCAAGGAAGCGGGCGCAGATTCTGGTTCCAGAAAGGCAAGAAGTATGACCCCGACGCCATTGCAACTCAGCCATCGGTTTACGACAATCCGGACATTGCGAAGGAGTACCTGCCAAGGGATGACTGGGAGAACTTGCACCGGTTCGATCCATCTGCAAGATGGACCTGGGGAGAGGAACACAAATTAGTCCGCAAGATTGATTTTCGGATCATGCTGTTTACCTGTATTATGTTCATGGCTTTAGAGTTGGATCGCTCAAATCTTCAACAAGCATTGACCGATAATTTTCTCGAGGACTTGGGTCTCACTACGAATGGTTAGACAGCATCATCAGCCTTCGTTATGATCAACTGCTGACTCTTTCCAGATTATAACTTGGGAAATACTGTCTTTAAGCTCTCGTTCCTTTGTGCTGAACTGCCCTCGCAACTCGTCAGCAAGTGGATTGGACCGGACAGATGGATTCCTATGCAGATGACTCTTTGGTCAGTCGTTAGTATGGCCCAATATGGTCTCAAGGGGAGGTCATCTTATCTTGCTTGTCGGTCTCTTCTCGCGATTATCCAGGGAGGATTCATACCCGACGTAAGTGTCGCAATCCACCCTCACACATTCGCCTTGCTAACTTGCCACTACAGGTGATCCTGTATCTATCATACTTTTACAAGTCTCATGAGCTTTCCATTCGGCTTGGCTTCTTTTGGACAGCTTTACATCTGGCCGACATCCTATCGAGCTTTCTAGCCTTTGGGCTGTTGCATCTACGTGGTGTCAATGGTCAGTCAGGCTGGCGGTGGCTATTCCTCATCGAGGTAAATAACACGGCCTAATATTCTCGGCTAGGACTAACAGAAGGTCAAAGGGCCTCATAACGTTGATAATCGGTCTTTCCGCATTTATCCTCATGCCCCCTGGACCCTGCCAAACTGCCAGTTGGGGCCGAGGCAAGAAGGGCTGGTTTAGTCCACGGTGAGTCTTCTTTTATACCCTATCCTATCTTCCCTATACAATAATCTAACACCTACCAGCGAAGAAACGATAATGATCAACCGTGTCATTCGCGACGACCCAAGCAAAGGAACAATGCACAACCGCGAGCCAATAACACCTAAGCTCCTGTGTAAGAGTTTATGCGACTTTGACCTGTGGCCATTATATGCCCTGGGCCTCACATTCCAAATCCCCAACCAGACACCCTCGCAATATCTGACACTAACGTTGAAGGGCATGGGTTTTGGCACGTTTGTCACTAATCTTCTCACCATTCCTAGTCAAGTTGCGCAAATCTTCACCATGCTGGCATTGACGTGTGTGTCTGAAATATTCGGCGAGCTAACCTTGACCGCCATGTTTCCTCAAATCTGGGCTTTGCCGTTTGTCGTATACTTGTATGCGGTTGATATTAATTCCATCAATAGATGGGTGGCATGGGTTATCATGACATTGTTTTTGTCGCTTCCTTACGGTAAGTTCTGATCTAACACAGCCTTTTGGATTCACGAAATTGGGAACTAAAAAATCGATTACAACAGCACATCCGATCCAGGTTGCGTGGAATTCAAGAAACTCGAATACCGTTCGTTCGCGGACTGTATCTGCCGCTATGTATAACATGTGCGTGCAAGCATCGGGTATCATTTCTTCGAATATCTATCGAGCAGGTAAGGACTTCATTCCGTCTTATCACTTTACCCTGATCTAACTGGGAATAGATGATTCACCTCGCTATAAGAGAGGAAATCGCGTTCTTGTTGGCTTGGCGGTTATGAATATTTTCATTTACCTGTTGACCAAGGTATACTATGTCTGGCGTAATGCCAGTCGCGATAGGAAGTGGAACGCTATGTCAAAGGACGAGAAGATGAATTATTTGGCTACGACCAAGGATGAGGGGAATAAACGGTTGGACTTTAGATTTGCGCATTAGGAATACATTTCTCCATCTGCCATTTTGAGATTTATTTTGATGACAGCCTCCCTCGCTTAGCAAGTCAATCTTCCATTTGCTTACGCGGTGACTTGAGCTCAACATTGCTGCCGTATTATGTAGTTTTAGCCTCTCGCCAAGTTTCTGGCGTTGCGCGCGATGTCCCATACTGCCCCCGAATGGAGGCCATATACCTCTCGGATACGCCCTTGTTGATACCAGGACTGCTGACTACCATGATAGGTTCTGCCTGTCTTGTGCGTTGACCTCCATCTCAAACGGATGGTCAACAGCCGATGTACAAATGATAGGGTCGGAGCTGATTCGGGCTGGTTTGATTTCGAGGAAGTACCATGACCGAAATGTATGGTATCGGGGGCTCGATTGAGATCGATGAATCTTTCCAAGGGTATATACACTCAATTTTGGCTCTTTTCGGCTTGGGGCTTGTCGGTAGTAGTTATTCGATTATTTACAGGAATGGCGGATAGTGAAACATGATCATCCGGCGCGAGTCGTACGTATTATAGGGGTACGCCCAGCATTCATGCAGACAGCTTTAGGCATCAAAATGACCGGTACCTTGCCCGTTAAATCAGCCTGACAGTTAAGCGTGCCCCCAACTTGCCCCAAGCATCTAGTAAAATCACCATTTTGAGCCAGAAGTGAAAGCATGTTACTTTCGTGAAAACATTCAGACCATCTCTTTTGTTTCTGACAATTCACAGTAGCCAGAGTCCTACGGCGCTGCTTCTTATATTCTGTCCTTGTCATATTTATGTATAGCTTTCTTGATCCCAGCATCTTCTGCATATTCAGAATTTCTCACTATACTAGGTCCGGAATTCCGACCCAATACATGATCTTTCACGGTAACTGTCTGCTATCTTGTGGGTAGTGGCTAATATCCTGTTGATTATCGCTGCCTGTATATTTAATTGGGCGTGAAGTTATATAAGAAACATTTTACTGTTTCAGCTGTCATCCATCTTACATCAACAAGGCAAACAATTTGAGCGTTCAGCATACTACCCAGACCCATTGGCTCTCATAACGCTCTGAGTAACCGCTCTATTAGAAATAAATACATGGTGCACGGATCTGTCACTGAGGCCAGGTACGTAGCCTATCACAGACCCTCTTAGAGAGACACAAGCAGATACTCAAATTCCAATATTTAGTAGAAGTGATATTATGAGGCCGTGATTTGCTCCACCGAACGTCTATAAATTTCACCATCGACCTTCTATTCCTTCTCCTCCCGACAGGGCCGACGTGCTTTCAGCTCCCACCACTAACTCGGAATCACACTCACTAATATCCTTTCATCATGCCCGAAACCCTCAGTGACCGCATTCTCCAATTCAGTGGTAAGCAGAATGTCTCAAATCAAGAAAAGCTCCATGTCCTCAGGCGTGCTACTATGCATCCAGACACTAAAAAGCCCTTTTCGCGTAAGGACTCTGACGAGGTAATGCGAGCCATCATCATGTACGAGCACCTTGCGAAGTATGAATCAATTGAACGTGTAAGTGCGGCTTGCTTCCTACACCCGATCTTCATTTCTGATATATATCTAGGCATGGGATTGATGAGCAGCTTCTCAATTCACTGAGCAAGAATATATATCTGCCGGACAACTCGAGGTATGATGGGTTAAGGGGTGATGGCGGATGTTCTCGAGCATAACTCAGCATGCCTACAAGTGAATATCCTGTTTGTATTCGTCGTCTCCTCCGCGATCATCGAATGAAACCAAATTTCATTTTAATAGGGGAAATGGTCAGTGTAGCCTTGATCTCGGCCCCGAGCAAAATGAGTATTAATTTTCATTCCTGGGACTACCTTGGTTACCGAAATCTCGGGCCCTGCGTCCTTGTCACACATTAAAATGTAGTCCATTCCACAGTCAGCCTCCAACGGCATACCTAATATCTTATCACTGCCTCACTCGGCTCGGCGTCAACTTCGGACCAGTTACCGGTAAGTATATTAGATCCCGGCAACTTTTGCATGTTTAGGGTTTCTCACGATATCTATCTGAAACTACTATGAGTGAACTCAGACCACTAGATACCCTTTGCACTCTGACAAGGACTTTTGTGTTGCAGCAACTTCCGGTCTTCCGCATCTGGTGCCCAACGTTAGCAAAAGCAAACATGTTCGGTATGGAATCGGAGCCAATCATCATGTATCCTACATGAACCGGGCAAACAAACTTGAATATTCGGAAGGCCGTCGGGACTCATTGTCCGTCTGGAATATTACTTTTGCACAAAATCTTGGAACAATGGGCATGGAATCTGACACTTAAACTAATTCAATCGATTATTTTGAGTCCTTCTGGAATTGAGATGGCGACGAATGCAAGTTCCCGAATGTCAGTTATCATGAATCCATTGTTGCCCCATGATATGTTTATATAATGTACCTTCTTCTCTGCTCGTTCATTCCTTCCTTTTCGAACCATTATACATTTCATTGTTCATCTCCATATCCAATCCGCTACACTACCGGACCAGTCTATACCACGGATTGCTCAACTCTTCTCACTATGCCTACAAATAAAAGCGATGAAGCACCTTCCGCACGGATTCTCCGAGAGTTGGGCAAAGAGAATGCCACGCTTGAACAAAGACTCGGTGTTCTAGTGCGAGCTAATCGACACCCCGAGATATATCATTTATCGTCCCTTCAACTCAGAGAGATTCGGGAGACAATTAAGCAATACGAAAGTCTCTTGGTTAATCCTTGATATTTACTGTAATTGAAGCTTGCTCGCTACTTCTTTTTTTCTTCTTCCCAGCTAACTTGAAAGATCATCTCCGTTCAGGATTCGGATCCATCCGATGCGCAATCTCGCCTGAGATCCGGGATTGGCACCAACCATCGCGCCGCGGCGATCGCATGGCGTGTCTGACAGTTGGATTACGCACATATACTGAAGGCGAGGGGAATGGAAGATATAGCTTCGGCGGGAAGCTCGGGTTACTTTCTGAGAGTGAAGGGGGGATAGATGGGTCATCCTTGTGACCTGGTATGATAGACTTGGTTGTTTCAGCGTTTTATGAACGACATATGCGAGACTTTTCTTCTTTGTTGATTTCATGTAGTTAGATTGCGTTAAGCTTAAATTTAGAGGAACCACTAGTTCGCCACAGAACTTTCTATTTGTTCTCTATACTCCTAAGTCCTCCATTACCCCTTTATCTATATTCGTTTAGCTTGGTCTAGATCTAGTGTCCCCTGTTTCCGGCCACATCCATACTCGCGAATCTCAACCATCAACGTCCTCTAATCTCCCTTCCCTCAATGCTTCCCTCACCGGATTCTCAGCTCTAATAACACCATTCGCTTCCAACCTGTCCCCGATAGCTTACGCAATATAATTCACTAGCTAATACCCGCCTCTAAAAAAGAACAAACATCCTTCTGCCTCACGCTCCTTCTCCTCATCTGTCATCTAAGGAATGTCTTCAGCATTTTCCGCACTCTTTCATTGCCCCGTCACGGGATTAACATCATCACGAACGCTCGTGTTTTATGCGCTCGACGTGAGCGGCACACCGAGAACCTGCAAGAAACCAGACACATACCCATATCCAACATTTTGCATGAGCAATTGTGGGTCATTATCGGACAACTCAAACAACAGAGCAGGAATCAGCACCCTTAACCGATCTGCCGCTATCGATACGGAAAGCCTCAGCTCACTCACTGATAACGAGTCACCTGTACCAAGTATGTCTTCGCGATCTTGGTCTGTTGGTAGAAGGAGGTTTTGCAGATGTGCTCTAGCATGTAGGGGTACGATCTGCGCAACTTTGAGAAGTCTGATAAGTGGCGGTCCGTGATAGTCTAGCTCGTCGTTGGTATAGGATTGAACTGCGAGGTCGAGTACATGTACCAGTCGATCCACGATGCCTTGGTTGGCGGAATGCGGAAATAGAGTCTTGGATGTATCCGGATGTACAAGGAAAACCAGGGTGCTTACGAGGGCCAATACCGGGAAACGCAAGGGTGGTGAAGGTATCTCTATAACGTTAAACATTTGTAGTATGGCTGGCAGACATGCAAAGACAGATAAAGCTTGCTGGTTATGGGAGGCTGTTATGGTGCTCAATAGTATGAGGCTTTCGTTACAAGTGTCCATGCGCGTTGCTGGCAGAGACCGAGTAGGCGCGTCGGCAATCTCTCTCGCATAATGTGATATTTTCTAAAAGGGATGATGAATGATGATTAGATAGAACACAAGACAAATCAGAATAATTGTGCCCAAGAACGTAAACCTACAGCATTCAGGATATCGCCAACCAGATCCATATCAACATCGGGGTTGTCAATTCTGAGCATGATGTGGGTGAGAAGTCTCGCCACGAGGGATTCATCCTTAGGGTAATTGCTCTACATCGAATGAGTATTCAAACTTGCATATTACTTGGTGTTCTGTTCATACCTTCATCAATTGTAATGCTCTTTTTGGGAAGAACAGCATCCGTAAATGTATCGCGCACTGAATCTGAGCATAATCTCACGTTACAGAGACACCGCAAGGCGAGATGCTTTGCACTCCTTGATGGGCCATCGAAGCCATAGTGGCACGTTTGTGCTGAGAGGGCTCAGATCGACACTGGCATTTTCCGCCGTATAAGATCGAAGTTGTTCCAGAATTGTAGAGAGATCTGTGTAATATTGTCAGATACAAAATAATAACATGCTATGCCAATATCAAAATCTTTCTAGCTCCATCTACCAGGACGCTGCCATTCTGCGCAGGCTTACCTTCGGGTGAAACACTCTGCTGCTCGATGTTGGACTCAAGCTTGTTTAACGGCTCTTCCACGTACACCACCTTTTTGGAACATGGTGGTCGCGAATAACGCCTCGTAATCATTGTTGACGATTTCAAGGATGATAACACAAGATGACTTAAAAAAAAAGGGGGGCGCGGCTCCGAGTGGAAGTCTTTGCGTTACATGACTTCAGTTTGTCATTACTATCCCTGCATCTGTGCGGGTTTCATTTCGTGCCATCCATTTATATTAATTATAGTAAAACAGCGTATATAACGATAATAACAAAATCTATAACGAAAGCATTTACATCCTATGCGACCCCTGCAACTCCGGAATAGGCCGCGAAAGCTGCTCCAACTCCACCGGTACCGACACCGGCACATTCTGAACCGCAGGCATATAAGAATCAGGCTTCATGACCGGCTGATACACCGGAGCCGCAGCATCTCCAGCCGCCATCGCAGACCCAGTACCCGCACCCAGCGCCTTCTTCCTCTGTAATCTCTCCCATATAGCCCAAGCAATAGCCGACGCGGCAATAACACCCAGCGGAACCCCAACCCCGACACCGATGGCGACTTCTTTCTTGTTTGATGACTTGGGAGCGGTCGTAGTGGTGTTCTCCAACGCTGCGTAGCCATACAGCATCTCGCCGCTGTCCAGAGTAAAGGGGGTGCGATCTCCATCACAACCTATGGTTCCATTCTCGGCGACCACCGGCTGGCCGCAGCAGTAGGTAAAATAGTTGTTCTCGCCATCTTCGGTGGCGAGGGATATTGTGCTGCCACCGCTTGGGTTATCTATATTCGTTGAGGCAGAAAGTCAGCGTGATGAGTATCCAAGGCGTGGTTGACTGCGTACTATAATGGCACTCCTTTGTGCAGGAACTGCCCATTTGCCAGTCTTTATCTGTGCAGCTTCGTCTTGCCAGCACGTATGGTTGATGGCCGGTGTTCATGCATAACCCGTTCGATAGACAAACTTCGCCTTTGCCGCAGCAGTGAGTGTAGTATTCGTCGCTGCAGGGCACGTCGTCTGGTGCTAGTCGATCATTGAAAAACCAGCATTGCCGGTCTTCTTTTGTTGTTGCTGCCAAGGCGATTTGGCATGCGAATTGTAGGAATATTCCTAACAGGATTAGGCAACGCATCATCACGAGGTTGCTAGACCTTGGAAGCCAATATCACGATATTCCACGATAGATATGACTGAAGAAGAAAGGAGAGATATGTAACAGGAGAACAAAACAGCACTTCTTCTGAGGCCGGCGGCATTTCTCAGCCTCGCGGAGGAAAGCCAAGATGGTGCCGATCCCTCGTATACGAACTTGTGTAATGTGTACCACGAACAGATGCGATCGTCCGGTGGCAGTACAATGCAGACAGCGAAAGGGGAAATAGCTCCGTCGCAACAGATCCTGAAGAACAATTTCATATATCTGCCTACAACCGCGGGAAATTTGGGGGGGGCCGCTACGCCGTTCATCACGCACAGAGGAATCCGTGTAGAGCATCCTTTCGGCTGTCTCAACTCATTTGCGCGGAAGATGTCGTGCCGTCTATCGAATAGTCCTATGTTGTGCATTATAAGGCAAGATTGGTCTCCATATCACTGGGGTGCTTTCAGAAATTCGAGAGTTCACTATATATCCTGAAGTAGGTCAGATTGCAGTCGAATATTCTTTGGGCGGGGTCTTACTGGGTATGTATGGCGTCGCTATCCAGAGACCTGTATTCCGTAAGCCATTAGTTTTACATTTCTCAAATCGCGCCCAGCCGTTCCTTAACGAGGTTATGAACGAGCTATTTGTACTGTTTTTGGAAAGCGACAAAATCAAGAACAAAACAAGCAGACGATGATAAATAAAGCTGGGTTCGGATTCCAAAGAGTTATTCAATTCGAACAAAGGATATATCGTGTTCACTGGTCTGGAGGGCACGTCTCCGAACCATACCGATGTGTACATAGATTCCAAGCAACCGTTCATACAACATGAAACCCATATAAACCATCCAATGCCATTATCCAACCATACCAGTCCTACTCTATTCACAAGCCACAAAGTTATTCCCACTAGCCCCCGAATGCGTAATCAACCCCGCCAACTCCCCATCCTCATTAAAAATCACCCGATCCGCGCCCGGCGAACCACCCGAGTACGTCGATCCGCCGCTCAGAATCGGGAACTCATAGTACGTCGGCTGCACCGGGAAATCAAAGTCTTCGTAGTTTTTGTAGACGTGCGGGTAGCTGCTGCTGCCGGCGTGGCCGCCTTGCTCGACGTAGTTGTAGCCGGCGTTCTGGGCGGAGGAGACGGCGCTGCTGGAGTAGCAGTGGCTGCCGCAGGTGTAGTCGCAGGCGCGAGCGACTTGGGGCTGGGGGGCCGGGGCGGCGAGGGAGGTTTGGAGGAAGAGGAGGGTGGTAAGGGTGAGGTACTGTGGTGATGTTGGTTAGTGGGGGATTGGAGGTTGGGAGTGGAGAGAGGTCTGGGGCGTACCTTTGTGAACTGCATTTTGGCTTGGGGATTGTCAATTGGGGCGCGTGCTTGTTTATATGTTCTTGCAGTAGAGGATGCTGGTGCAGTCACGGTGATGCCTAGAGTTGTCGTGTCACAATGACCAGCAGAAGATGACGGGGTTTAAGTATGCGAGCGCCATTACCCAGCATCCCTAGCCTCCATATTCTCAACTGCCCAGACTACGGTGTACAATTAGCTATCTCGGACATTTCATCAAAGGTTACATTGTCCTCGCACATCCCCACGGCCACCACAATTGGCTGCTCGGGTGCTGTAGATCCCCGCCCGGCTGTAGATCAGCCAATCGTCAAACTGGAGGATCGTGTCTGATGAATCGATTGGCGGTCAATTGAGAGCTTGCCAATAGGGTCTGTACTGTTATAGGTGAAGGCCAAATTAACCTCGGCCCCTGAATATCTGCTTGGATGCATATCTGCCAATCAGATGGGCATCCAGTATCACGCTTTGCGGGTTCTCCGGATATCATGGCGGATATCTCCGTCTGCATTTTTGTGCCTGATACGGAGGGATATCTACTTCGTTTTTTCCTGCGTATCTATATTAACGTCTAACACCTGGCCAATGTCTCAGCTGCTATGACCTATCATGCATCGGAGTACCCCGTTGCACTCCTGTATCAACTCCTATGCTATCCGATATGTACATTTGTATCAATGTGCCTACGGAATCCGCAACACCGCCCTCCCCTCAACCTCAAACCGCTGCAATCTCGCAGCAACCTCGTTAATTTCCTCAAGTTCGAACGTTTCATAATGCGTGCCCACCCTGCCCTCCACCGCCATCTTCAGCAACGCTTGCATCTCGTCTTCCGTTCCCACCGTGCTGCCTACAATGTGGTATCCACCATTGACGCAGTGAATCGGCGAAATGGGGATGTGGTAGTCCGGGCGGGGGAGACCAACGCAGACCAGGGTTCCGACGGGACGGAGGAACTGGACGCTTTGCTCGTAGGCTTTTTCGAGACCGACGACCACAATGACGGCGTGGGCGCCGATGTTGTCGGTTAGGGATTGGATGCATTCTCGGGCCTGGGCTGTTAGCAGCGATCTTGGACAGGGTGACCTGTAAGGGGGCGTACGTTGTCTCTGAAGTCGACAAAGGCAGTTGCGCCGGAGCGCATGCAGATATCTCTCTTGTTTTCGCTATCGACAGCGATGATCCGATATCCCAGCTCTTTTCCAATTTGCACTCCCCTGCACATGGTCAGATGGAGTACACAGCGTAAACCAGGGTAGACATACAGATGTCCTAGTCCACCACCAGCACCCATGATAACCACCCAATCGCCTGGTCTGCACAGTCTTTCCAGCTTATTCAATGCCCCGTACATCGTCAAACCGGCTATACATGTTAGTCCATATTAGCCACCATCTCAGTATGTGATTACATACCGCATAGCAAAGGCGCAGCGGCCTCCGGCTTCAAGTCTTCCCGGATGACAGACACAAAGTCGGCTGGGGAAACGACATATTCTGGACTCGTCAATACCAGCACAGATCCATCTCATACATGGAAGCATACGTTGAAACGTCCCGGGAACATTCTACCAGTCATTAGCGCTCGTATAGACCAGGCCAGTGTTCCCGCAAATGCTTACCCTCCCCGAGTTACTCTGATCAGGACAGTTCGTATACTGTACCTGACATGTCGGACACTTTCTGCAAGTACTGTACAGCCACCTACTGCAATCAGCAAGGCTCCCATGTCATTAGGTAATTGAATGCACACTTTACTCCAACCTGCTTTCCCATCATCTCCGATGCAGTATCGGGACCAACTAGATAAGTCAGCGGAAAAAATGCAATCCACAAATCTAGGACAAAACAATGGCAAACCTTTAACAACTTTCCCAATTCCCTCATGACCCGGGACATTAGTAGTCATCGGCAATTCTCCGGTGAGGTTATGTAGATCCGAGTGACTGTCACTTAGCATCTGTCCACATAGGTATACTAGTTCAACTGCAACGCGTACCAGAACCCAGTCCATTCCATCTTTACCAGCACCTCGCCAAATCCCGGTTCCGGGACGGGTACATCATGGCGGATCTCCAGCTGTGCGCCGGGTCGTGGCTTGTCAATGCACGCGGCTGTTTGGTACTTGGGGATCTCCATTTCTTCAATCAGTCGCGGTAGTGTTTACTCTGTACTCTGTGCGTATGAGGGTAGGAGGTTAAAAGGTTCGTTTAATCCGTAAACCCGCTCGTGGTTTATCATCGGCTGAGGCCATTGTGGAGGTTTTCCGAATGTTAGTTACTCCGCACTCACGCAGAGTTTATGCCTTAACATTCTGGCAACATATATCTCAGTCAACTTAGTTACTAGTTACATCTTTCATGGAAAGAATTGAACACCCCAACAATCTCTCAAAATGACCAAATCCACAAATAGAGTAGCCTGGATACAAGAAATCCTCGTACAAATCTCCACCCACACAAACACATGTACCCTACTAACCTCAGCCCAGCGCGTCTGCCACCACTGGCACGACCTAATCCAAAACACAGATGACCTGTTGACTTCCGTATATGCCGAAACATCTGATATGTTGGCCGCTCCGATTGACCAATTAGACCTTGAGCCTCCTGCCTACCCGGAACGTACGACTTACTGCCGCATGAATATATGCATGAACTGAGACGACTAGACGATGAGAAGGCTCGAGGGCTATTGATATGCAGCCAGCATCCATCGATTATAGATTAGCACATACTCGTGATTGCGTATAAATAGGCCTTACGATAGATAGTTTTCTCAATCAGAGTTCTTCCTCTATTCACTCCGAATAATGCCTATGACATCCTTCCGAGCATAGTAGTTAACATGACCTCCAAATCGCCCTTTTCTTCAAACCAGCCAAAAAGCCCCATCACTATGGTCACAACCGCATTCAGAATCCACTCATCAAAAGCCACCTCTGGCCGGAATATTTCCGCAAGCGGCTTCGCAGCAAAAACCGCCGCAATGCACATTCCTCATGCAATTTCCCACTAATCGATGCCCAGAATGAGGATGTATACCTACGGCCTGAAGCCAGTTGGAGACGTATGCTTACCCAGCAACCACCGTTGAGATTCTTGGGGGTGATCGAGACATGGATTGATCTAGAATGGCCTCTTTTCACGCAGATTCTTGTCCAACCGAATGATGAGGCAGTCAACGATTATAACCTTCTCATGTCCGGTCAAGATCCTTTGGTTCTCTGGAATAATCCCCATCCTTTCAAACGCAACGATTGGGAACTTCGCGCAGAGACGGAAAAGGTGACTACAACGTATATGAGAGATTGCGATCTGATTACATTTTGTGGATATTGCTATTTATTCAAGTGGGAGAATGCATCTAATTACTTAGATCACTGGATTGTTTCCCTGGGCCGTCACAAGCGCATTCGCGGTCTTTTCCGGAAGCCTATCTGAGACGACTAGTTTGCTTTAGTTTGACAATGGTCGGTAGGTTCGGATGTTTGAACCAATGTTGGTAAGTTAGAAATTTTGCTCCTATGTTATTCTAACCTGAAGGGTAGCGAAGCTTGCTCAGCAATATCTCTGGCAACCCCGTTATCCAGTTCGAGCTGTGGCTAAGCAAAGGCTTCTGGCTTATATGGGTGAGTTTTGCCTGAGTTTTGCTCCCTTATTCTCTTTTTTTCTTTTCTTTTCTTTTTTTTTTTTTTCGCATTAGCTTTCTGACAAATCTTTATAGGAATGATTGCGAAAGCGTGAGAAGAGGCCAAGGGAGAACGCCATGCGGTCTAGGGAATACTAATAGATTCCTGGAAGTACTCTTTCTACCTGCTAGACGAAAACTTCAAGGTATGAAAGCCCCCCACTTCAGAAACTGGCATTACACATGACTTACGATTCCTAGTGGACAGTGAAGACACTGTATTGGATCAATGATTTGACGGGGCAGATCGACGTCCTTGGCCTTATGGGGGAATGCTTTAGGGCTTCCGTCCTCTCACCGAGGACGGGTTCTGACCCTAACCGATCCAGGTCAAGCTTGGAGATGTGCTACCTACGTCTCGATTCCTCCATTGATTAGGAGTAGGCATATCATGATGCAGGCAAATGATGGGGTTTCCTTGGTTAGTTGTGGTTACACGAGTATCGGAATTTGTCCAGCTGCTGTCGTTCAATAAGTGATGTTTATCAACGCATGTGTGCAGTCCTTGGGAGTCTTACGAGGATCGAATTTGATCTATACGACTACTCGTCTCTTTCATATCTGCTGTTTATCTAACATCCCATCCCTACCGTAGATACTAGTTCCTAACACTGTATCGCTTCTGCCTTGTACTATTGTTGGAAACTCAACGCTGGGCTAGATGCCTGTCCGACGAGCCTCAGCGTCGGCAGATTGGCGTTAACCCATGGTTCCGCCGGTCTGTACAGTTCCTAACACAATGGCCTTCATCGTCACGATCGAATCAAGCATCCGCTAACGCCTAATTACCATTGAGCGAAATCAAACAATCGTAGACATCTCCTGGGGCGTCAGCGCTAGTACCGGCCCAAGTCTCCCTTGCCGGTTCCCTAGCAAGGTCGTGGATAAGAACTATGGAAGTTCAAGCAATACGAAGGGAGCGCGAGAGCGTGGGTTTCCGGGTCCGTTTATATATTCGCAGCAACGGAAACACAATATTAATTGAATAGATTTCATTTCAATACGACATCTAACAAAATAAAACCCAATATTCGACCTCAGAGGGACCCGAAATGAGGAAATGGCGTTCATCGCTCCGTCTTTGACGGTAACATCACACACATATAGAGCTGTATATCCAATCATCATCAGTCGAATAGTTGGGTTATTTATAGCTGTCCAAAAGAGGACTAGAAACAGCAATAAAAGGAAAAGCGCCGAGAAGAAAACAAAAACCACCAATAGTAAGCGACCGTAAGCGACCGTAAGCGACCTTAGTACATGATATCCGGTTGGACCAATCGGATGTGTGATACTACATAAAGTAACACAAATATCCTGGAGGCATTGTGGTTATGGCAATTGTATTGCCAGCGAGGCCGTTGTCGAGATGTTGTTTTTTTGATGGAGGGATTTATCCCTTCCGTGGCTAAATACGGCGTTGTGGAGAATAGGGCTATTAGGAATGCTAAGCGGTTCTTGGCATTAGCCATATCTACAAGGCATCAACAGAGGGAGAATTTGGGTCGATGCAACCCTAATCGAATGCTTTATTAAACTAGACGGCTATTGATATGATGAGCGACTTCAGAGGGAGAGCTGTTTTTAACATAGCATATTCATACTGACATAACGTTCCATCATCACTAGTAGAATAGAGCCTCGCGTATGGCCCCGCAGTCTTATCCAGTACAAAGACGACTGTATTAAAGAACGACAACTAGAAATGGAGACCAGATCAAGACTAAATAAGTCGCAGAGCACGTACCTCAACCTGCTACTCCATGGTAGACCCGCAGGTTTAGAGGTCTTCAAACGTATGCACTACGTCTTGAATAGAGTCAACGATTAGCCAGAGAACTGAAGCGAGTAGCAAGCATGTCACTGGGGATAAAACTCGTGGTGGAAGAAGAGGTGCAGAGGACAAGAAAGACAAGGGTGTTCTAATCGCGTTTGACATTATGAACACAAGATTCGACTTCATACGTAAGGAGCAGATACGAATGCGGTCATGGCGCTAGTGTACAGGGTAGCCTTGCCCTCGATCTGTCCTGTTCTCATCACTAGTCAAACAAGTCATATATCTCCCGATCGTGGCTTCTGATATGTGGCCCGATTGTTCCTCCACTCAGCCACTCAGGTTCCCAATGGTTGGTCGAAGCTGTTCACGTCTGGCTCGATTAGCACATGCTCTCTTGATCAGACTGGTATCGGCATTGACAGAGACTAGACTTCAGATAGTTGTCACTGCAATCATGGCACATTCATACGGAATGGAGTACTTCAATCATCACTAGTTGAATCCGAGCCGCGCTGTTGATGGCAAACATGCGAGTATCCAACAGGGAACCGACATACCATATTATTCCTCCGCTCACCTGATTGCATCTCTCCTCCGCGCCTCCTCGGGGTGTCTAGACGGTCTCGTTAGCCAAAATCGAAAAGCACGGAACAAGAAACGTACAAATAAGCTTCAGCCCAATCCACCAACACAGAGCAATCCCATAGAAAAGGACGAACAGGATAGTAAAGAACCATAGCTACCATCCCATATATCAAGAGGATGAATGACATGTAGAAAATGTACGCCGTCCAAGCACGTACAATGTACAGCCACACCTCTGAGAGGACGCACTGTAGCGCCCTCTCGGTGTTATTAGTTCTCTCTCTAACGTAGACAACCCTTGGGAGCGGATTTTGTACTCTAGCCTCGTGTTGACGGAGATAGGTCATCAAGAAGACGAAGTGCTCGAATGATAAGTACATGAAAAGGAGGATAACGGGTGTAAAGAATACGATGCTGGCAATATCGAGGGCGAACGAAGGATAGAAATAGCAAAGAATGAGAAAGGAGATGAGTAGCAGGGAACGAAGAGACATGGCCATGGCCTTTGAAGTAGTAGTGCTTCGTCGCTGGACGTGTAGTTCAAGAGGGGGTATTAGGACTAGATCGCCTCGCTTGAGAGGGGGAAAGAAAGGAAAAAAAAAAAAAAAAAAAAAATGAAAGTCTGTTTGTACGGTTGCTTATAGGCTTTGTTTTGCTTGTTTGGGAGCGCAGTGAATTGAATGGGCCAAAGTGTTATACAATGAAAATCTATCAAGCACCTATGCCTTGGCGATTCTATGTACAAACGCCAATCTAATTTCCAATGGACAATCATAGTCTCCTCGACAAGCTCTCAATAAACTTCTTTCCCCATTCAGCACTAAAAAAAACAGTCAGTATAACCCCGTAAATCGACATAAAGGTGCTTCAAGCTCACCTCGTGTTAGTATTGATAAATTCATTCAATTTCTCATATCTCTCCTTGCGCTCCTTCCCATCCATTTTCACAGCCTTGTGGATTGACTGCGCGAGTTCGGCTGTATTTGCCGGATGAAAGTTGACACTTCCGCCCTTCATGAAGACGGATGCTCCGGCGAACTCAGAAAGCACAAGTACTCCGTGGCGCTTTGCCTGGCACGCGACATATTCGAAGGAGACAAGGTTCATACCATCTCGGGAGGATGTGAGCAGGCATGCATCGGCGATGGAGTACATGGCTGTTAGTTCTTCGAATGGAATGGAGCGGTGCATGTATAAGAGGGGGGAGCCATCGGGCGTTGCTGTTTGGTGTCAGATTTGATCGTCATTAGAAAATCTTGGATGACCTACCGTGCTTCCCGTTAATCTTCCCAGAAAGCGTACTAATCTCCGTCTCCAGATCTTGGTACTCCTTGACATCCTCACGACTTGGAACCGCCACTTGGATCAACAGAACCTTGTTCTTCAATTCGGGATGGTCGTCAAGGAATCGATCATAACCTTTTAGTTTGTGCGTCAATCCCTTGATATAGTCTAATCGATCAACACCAATAATGACATGGACGTCCTTGTATCTTTCCTCCAGTTCCTTAATCCGGTTTTGCACCTCAGGTTTGCTCAAAGTGTCATCGAACTTTTGCGGATCAATTCCGACAACGAATGTACCCGCCTCGACCAAACGGTCCTTGTACTGAATCCTATTCGGCACCCCGGTATGCGCACCCCTGCCAAGTTAGGTCAATCCGATCGAGTCATAATACAAGCGACACTCACATCAAGTTCACACAAGTCCCAATAAAGTTCTGCTTATATTCATCCGTATGAAACCCGATCAAATCACTCGACAAGAGTCCTTCGATCATGGCATTCCGCACCGGAAGTGCTCTCCAGAAATCACTCGCAGGGAATGGTGTATGAAGTGAGAACCCAATCGCGCAATTATTGCCCTGTTTTACTAACCGCTCGCGCAGGAGCTTAGGTAGTAGCATGAGGTGATAGTCGTGGACCCAGATTAGATCTCCCTTTCTCGCTTCTTTAGCGACGGCATCGGCGAAGAGTTCATTGACTTTTTGGTATGCTTGCCATGGCCCATCGTCAAAGGTCATGCCGGATTGGTAATGGAGGATTGGCCAGAGGATGGAATCTTTCCCATTAGCAAATGTGCTAAATCATGCGGGGGAGAGACATACTAGAAAAGTTATTATAGTGCGCGTTCGCCAGCGCATTATCCAAAAAGATCCCCACGGCATGATGCTCAGCCAAACTCTTCGAGACCTTCTCGCGTTCAGTAGGATCATTCACCTCAATCCCAGGCCATCCAAACCAGATGAATTGTGTCGATTTGGTCAGACCGGACAGCGATGTAACAAGACCGCCACTTGACAGAGAGGACTTATAACCGCCGTCACTCCGCTTCACTGACAGTGGAAGACGGTTGGAGACGATGATCAGACGTCTAGGCTCCTGCTCAGGTGCCATTGTGGACTATTTGTAGCTCTACGGAAGAATATCAGCGACTGGTATACACTTTTTTGTCGTGGTAAAAGGAACATGAGCGAGAGGTGAATATTGATGCGACGTACTTTATTATATTCCCCGTCTCACTGTCACCACTGCCACCACTTTCAGACGTCAGAATGAATAAATCCACGATAATGATCGACCGGCTACTGCCAGGAATACTTGCGGTGTTAGAGGCGATGTTGTAGCCGGGGCGACGTCATATCGAATCATCGCCAAAGGCGCCATGAACAACGACAATCAGTACAGAGTATCTGATAGCTGTTTATATCGACGCGTAGCATCTATTTTGGCCTCTATTGCATGTTGTAATTTTCTAGGGCCGGCTGACATATCGTAATATATATAAGTGAAAACATGTGGCGTAAGGTAGTAAGAGATTCTAACATGTCCCATTTGAGACAAAGAGTATGGCAATACTCTTTGCTCTATCAGAATTATACTGATTTAAATCACATGAAGGCACGCCTCATAACATGGCGATTCTGCTTTTGCATCTCTAACCAAGAGACGATGGATTGAACTGGCCGGCAAGACTTGACACAGGGACAGATGGCTAAGTTTGCCATCTGGGGCTGAAGAGCTGCTATCTAAATATATTGTTAGAATGATAATTCTTTCTGCAATTCTCTCACTGGCCTTTGGGGCACTGTGATAAATAGGTGCCATCCCTTCCAACGGGATGCGATTTATCTAGTCTTTGGTATCAAGGTTGGTGGCCATAGCCTTCATCCAAATGTACCAGTTTCTGGTCGACTCCCCTTCTTCCAGGGAGGTGGCACAATGTTCGAAAAACGACCACTGTGAATTGCGAACCAGAAACGCCATAATCCAGATAACCACGCTTGGGAGTGATGCTGGTCACCCAATGATATCTCTTTTTTCGCGAAACAAACCTGTCTTCGCTATTATCCTCTGTCAATTGGTCCTCGAAAAAAAGCATCAATTTCTGACTGCTCATCTCAGAATTAAAATTCGAGGAGGACGGCACTCTTGCGGGGAAAGGATCAAAATTTCTTTGCGCCGGAATATCTGCATATGCACCCCAAGAAGACTTGCTTCGTAATGAACAAGTGGTCGTCTGTAGCAAGCAACAAAAGGTAAAGTTTCCGTCGAATTGATATCGACTTCATTCCTATCATGACAACCTGTCTCCGTGGACTATGCACATAAAGGGTGGCGCCAATATAGAACACAAACCTGCACCGACGAGAAGTATGACAACAAACACACCAATTCCGAAAGCTCTCGAACTTGTTCTTGGAGCTCACCGCGCTATTCAAGTGTATCAACGGGAATGCAAAGTTTTCCACGCATATACCGGTCTTGCATTCTGGAATTAGACATAGAGCCCAAAACTGGTCCAAAGGGGGAGCGGAGGCGAAGAGGGTGAGGACATGATAGCCCGATAGATTGCAACCCAGCAGCTTTAATAACCATATAACCTACTTGATATCGCGGAAAATCGTCTTGTTCTGGCCTTAGTACCATCCTCCATCATCGACAGGCTCGAAAGGTCCCTCGGTGTAAAGCCGATAATGCTCCTGCCACGTGGACGGCTTCGACCAGAGCATGTAGTAGCTCGACATACATTCAGAGTCGCGATTGAGCAGTGTTCAATGACTATGTTGTCAACGGGAGCATGAGAATGCTATTAAGTTTGTGTTGACCGGCATTTAGTGGTGACGAGCATGTGAGCTCTCTGACCTCCTGCTCAGGCTGAAAGGTCTGCAAATTCGGAGAATCCTGAGCATAGTAAGCCACCTGTCTAGTGAAAAATGTGATCGTGAGAACCGCGCTAGAATGAGGGTATCTCATTCATGTATGGTGATATTTCGTATGTGTGGGCTTTTAAAGTCGTTGAGGATTAGAAATTCAATTAGAATTTTAAGAGAATGGGGAAGTCCCTCTTATATATCTCTATCGAAGCAGCGAGTTTATGCCAAGGGCTAGTTTACTTTTACACGGTTGTCGATTCTGTTGACTGTGTTGTAACTCGTGATCGAAAGTATTGGAGCTATCGAGAGGTATATAACCTCTCTCGAATTGTATTTTCGCCTTGGCTTCAATTAGCTCCTTATCTACTGTGATATTGAAGTCTCTGATCTCAAAAAAGAGTATGAAGCTAGATTTGCGATGAATGTCGTCTCGCTTGTCTTCTTTTGCGTCTCAAGTCTTCTGCACATGTCCTTGCAGTGGTATTTTTGAAGGACACCCACTAGTTACTCGCTACTCCTTCTTGGACCAACGTTCTTTCTCACCAGGCCCCGTTGTATATGTCTTGGGCGGATTGTGCGGCATGGGATAACAAGAATTATATCCGTGTATTAGGAACGTTTCCCCGGAACCTTAGGAGGGTCTAATGACCTCAAGTCCGGTGTCACCGTTGTCTTCTTTATTTCCTTGAACCAAAGTCCTTTGTCGCTAGGAGGGGGAAATGCCTGGCGCAAACCGTACAATCTCGCACGACAGAATCGCTATCCGCGTAATGGGGACGTTCCCCCAGACCCCTACCAATGGCCATTGATACTCAAGTCCAGTGTCCACATCGTCTCGCTTCACTTCTGGCAAAGCCTTCGCCAGGGACAGTGGACCTTCGCTACAGCCCAATTCTGCCGGGACGGCAACTTTCAATTCATGGTCTTTATTGCAATCTACGTAAAGCTGGCCAGCATGTCGTATGTATTTAGTATAGACTTGACGCTAGCACCACACAGGTTATGCGTTTTTGTCCTTGCATTGCTTGAAAGCACGGCAATCGGGAGGACTTCCGAACTACGCGGTTAAAACCTTCCATGACCGTTAAACATTGCTGCCTCAAGTGACAGTGCAGTGATATCTCCTCAGTAACTGCGCGCAGAGATGCTCACGTATATGTAGCGTATGAAGCAGGCTGTTCTCGTTGAACAGAATACCAACAGCACCGTTTAAATGGCATTGAATTTATGTTCCGTGTGCCATGGCGCTTTTCGTATGTTTGACTGATGAATCGCCTGACAGATCTCCATGAATCCAAGAATACTTCGTCCGTAGAGGTTTCGTCTTCAAACTTGCCACAGAGATGAAGGGATTATCTGCCTTCGCTGCGACTGCTACGCTTGTAAAACCTTGCAGTACGGCCAAGCGTTTTTCTTTAATAGCCAAGGAATACCATGGCTAATATGGCTTCTTGCAATCTGCTCTCAGCAACTTCACACCAATCATAACTCCGTGTCAGTGTTGCATGCTGAGTATAGACGGTGTCGATATTATCGACCTTTAGAAAGGCCGTGAGCCGGGCAAAATTTCATCAACCTCGAGAAATAAGCTCATAACTCGACGACCAAGCAATGCGCGGTGTCTGCGATATCTCTCTGTCTTTATTCCGGTCGATTGAGTGCGTATATTAGACACTGTTCATGCTAAATTAGCGTCATGTGATCGATTGATTAGGTCTAGCAAGGATGGTGTGCAAGGCACGTGTGTGAGAGAGGATGGAGAAAAGGACACTAGGACTTCCTGTAGTACCACTGTATATGGCCGATGCGAGTTGTCTGTCGTTCACTATATCTCAGTGAATGCCAGGGGAAAGAAGATGGAGGATGTGCAAGTAAAGACGACCGTAGGAAAGGTCAAACATGCCTCCGCACAGGTTGATTGCACGAATCCCAGGACTTACTAGTAAAGAGACTTTAATTCTAAAGGTATATTCCACTGTGTACACAGAAACGCTCACGCTTGGTCCGTAGCCACATGCTTGCCAAAAAGCTTGAAAAATACATTTGACAGAAGGTGTAATATAAAATAAAGTGACTATAAAGTTAACGAAAAACGCCATATACCCCTACCATGCTCCACATTGTGTCGTATTGCAACGCGTTAAAGCAAATTGCGCCGTTTGACAGGACTAGGAGACCGCAGTTGAATCTCCCGATCGCGATTCCGCCCCGTCACATAGTTCATCCTGGGGTGCTCCAGTAGCACTGGGCCGTTCTGCTTTTCGTCCAAGTTCGGGGCAGGTGCGAGCTTCTGCTCCTGATGGTCGAGATATCCGTAGTTGTGGCCGTTCTGGTATTGTCCTTGTGACGTGGCAATGGGAGCATATTGGGCCGAGTTCTGGCGGGAGAACGGGGGAGGATGAGGGTGTGGGTATTCGTGCTGGTTGAGACGGTTTCTGAAGGAGCGGAAGGACCAGTTGCTGACGACAGTGACGGTTGATATCGTAGCGAGGAAGAAGAGCTGCATCGTTAGCATAACGCCAGTATACAAGTTAAAGGGAGGGAACGTACGATTGCCTTCCAGCTGATAGGATCAATGAAGCTGTTAATGATAACCGCCATCGTATGTGCCGACACTTTCGCCCGTCCAACCTTCGCCGGATCGCGGTTCATACAACGCTCCCAGTTCTCGCAAACCGTCTCCAGCGCGGGTAGTCGATCGTTCCCTGCGCATCTGTTGTCCACATAACTCTTTGCACAAGTAGCCATCTCCGCCAATATCCCATCCGACACCTCCTCAGCCGCCTGCTCGAATTCAGCCCGAATAGCCGACACGAACCCAAAAACCACGTAAACAGCCAACGAAAACAACGATAGATTCACCACCAATTGTGCCCACCACGACAGAATACTCGGAACATAAGGATGCGCCTCGAGAAGGGCGAAGAAGTCGGAAAACGACATTCGCGATACTGATGACTCTTGCTGATTCGATTGTCCCTGCCCCTGCAGCTGGTTCTGCTGATTACTCTCACTGCTGCTCGGCCGATCATCATCCTCATCGTCACTGTCCTGTCGTAACCGCATATCCAGCGCCTTATCCCTCCTCCGCCTCTTCTGCACCCGTCTCGCCAGCGCATTCGAGTAATGGCTCACCCGCGGAATCTCACCGCGGCCAGGACTGGGCGCAGGCGCAAACCGTCCGTACATACTGAACAACGAATTTCGGTGTGCACCGTTCTTCGCGGGCGTCGGCTCGGGGGTATCTTCGTTATCTGCATTCTCAGGCGAGGACATGTTTTCTGCGCCGGAGGAGAAGTCGAGGTCGAATTTGCGGGGTGTCATGAAGGCGGGTTGGGCGAAGGCCGATTTGGGAGTCCCGGGTGGTTGAGAGAAGAGGAAGGGTTGAGAGTTTGGTTCGCGGAGGGCAGGCATGGATTTCTTCTCGGGGGAGTCGAAGGTGCTATGGGGGCCTGTTTTTTGTCAGTATGGAGACTCAATAGATTGGTCTGTTCGAGCTGTAAACATGGGTCACGCACGCTTCTTCTGGTTCTCATGCTGCATGCTGAGCTGGTAGAATGGGGAAGTGACATCGCCAGGAGCCCTGGTTTGCCATTCAAAGTCCATAGGACTTTCTCCGGATCGTTTGTCCATCTTGTGCGATGGTTGGAGAGGGAGAGGGAGAGGGTCAGAGGGAGGTGGTGGTAGGAGTGTGGAGGAAGAAGCGGCGACTTTTTTTTCTGTTTTTGTTTGGGACGGAGTAAACAATCACCATTCAACTATCCAGTATGGACAAAGGGCATAGCAACGACTGTGTTTTTGCTTTGAAATTTACAACATTATATCCTGGATTATTCTCGAAGTTATTGTCAATAGACTTGAGCACAATTTGGGTCATGTCAGAAGTTGCGCGGTCTGGTGCTGCAGTTCACCATATTCGTGAAAAGCTTCAACATTTCCCGAATGGTCAATTTTGCTCTCTTCACAAGATGCCAGACTATCCATCGCGACCCGAAGCTCACTTATATCAATAAAAACAGACGACATCATGTCGAGATTCATTATGGTATAACCAAGACTAATAATAGGATAATAATAATAGCAGGATGCAGTCTAGGAATAAAAACATCGCAGAAACATCATCGAGGTCATCATCAGCGCCGACCAAAAATCACCAAAACTAGACCAATATCCACAAGCAGACCAACTAACTCCATGCCGTGCCAAAATACAGACGAAAAGGGCAAAAGACCGATGACCGGATCATGCGTGGATGTGGACATAGTCAACTAACTCGAAGCCTTCATCCTCCACTGGGTATCCCATGCCCACCTCGCCATCATGCGACACGACTTCATACTCCCTAACCAACTTCTCCGTTTCCTTCGTCTCGAACCTCTCGAGAGCTTTGTCCACGGCGTCGCAGAGGATCGTCTGGCCTGATACTTCGTACGGGATGGGGGCGCCCTCGTCATCTAGAGCGGTGGTGTCGACGTGGCCGGGGATAGCATTCGTGGTGATGGAGGATTCGTCAGCGGATGAGTCGGAGGACTGGCCGTCGTCGTCGAGGACCTCGCGGGTATCCCAGCGCATGGCGACTTTGGCGCCGTTGGCGAGCTTGTTCAGGTTGTGTTGGTTGTCGCGCTTCAACGCTCGTGTCATACTAGTATGGTCAGCCTGCCTGCCTATCTGTGTGTTGATAAGGACACGTACCCCGCGTAATGAGACCCGGGCAATGCCGGACGTGCCGTGAGATCGATGTATCGCTCAATGGTTGGGAAGGATGTCGGGCGCGGCAGGTGTCTCGCACTGCGGCCTCCATAGGCCCATTTGGCCTTCTTGTCATTGTAGCGCTTGACTTCGACGCCGGGACGACGGAAGTCACCGGTGATGGAGAGGGATGCCATAGCCGGATGGTTGCGGGATACGGTGTATGGTATATGGTGTACGGTAGAGGAAGAGTCGGGCACTGTGCTTATGGGAAAGCAAAGAAGAGATGGACAGGGGAAGGAACGGCTTTGTTTGCATAGGACAACAAAAGATAACCGTGGATCAGTGAGGAGGAGGAAGGAGCGAGGAATAACAATGGCCAGATAATATAGTTACTCCGGAACAGTAGTAGTACTAGAACCCCCTACGCATTCACCTAATCGCATGCGCCCCAACTAGCACGAGGACGCGAGGTCATCTTATGCAAGCGACTATTGAGTTAACTATTCCCTACCAGTTGCGCCACAGCAGGTTCCAGTCCATGAATTAGGATGAATAGGACTATCCGCCACTTTGACTCATGGCTTCCACAGTACTCTGGATTCCTCTTTTGAGTCCCCGAGGCTCATCCATACAAAGAGGCACGTTGCAGTCATTGTATTGCGTGACTCAGGGTACCGCAGTCTAGCGCTTATCAGGTTCCTTGTCCGGATGACTGGCTACCACTCTGTCACCTGCAAGGTGTCCTTCACAGTGGCCAATCTGGTGCTGTTATCGCCGGTGTTGGTCCCCGGTGCTGTACGAGCCGCAGTGATAGCCGAGGTACTCCGCCTGAATGGTCTGGAGTGCAGAGTATACGAATATACGAATACTTTCTGATGTCATGTCCAAGGGTTGCAAGGTGGGCTATGTTGACATCAAGCAAGGCTATAATCTGCCTTTCATCATGACATACCGGTATCTACCAGGGTAGTAGTACATTATCTATGCAATTATTAGGTGCCAGCACCTGTACAAGTAGATCACCCCGGAGTGCGGAGTACCCAGCACACCGTAACTATTCATCCATCTGCCACTGGTACTCCAACGACTCAATCCTACCCTTCTTATTCCTCGACGCAAACCATTCCTTCTCAAACCCATTCCCCCGATCAACCCCATCCCACCGATGCCCCGGCCGAATCCCATACCGATTCGGCTGGAAACTCCCCTTATACAAAGGCTTCCCCGTAGTACTCTCCCCACCCCCTCCAGTATTCGTCAAGAACGCCGCCGCCGGATCATCCCATCGCTGTCTTCCCTTGAGTTCCTCATTCAGCGACTCATCCTCCACTGTCCGCGCCACCGGCATCGCGCGCACTTCTTGTAGTTGTTGTTTGCGCTCTTCGCGCTCCTGGCGCTGTACATCACCCATAAGATCCTCCTTAGCTTGCTCCTCCTTCTCGCGTTTCTCTTGTTCCGCGCGTCGCGCTTCAGCACGCTTCATGGCAACGTTGATGATCCGTCCCGACGCATCACGGTAGATAGTCTCCTGCGCTTCCTGTGGCCTATCCTTGTATTTCGCGGCCTCGAGTTTCTTTCGTCGTTCTTGCTCCGCGACCATCGCAGCCGTCTGCTCGGCAGTCTGTAATCCCGCCCTTGCCCCAGACTCCATTTTCACCCCCCCATCCTCCTCTATCATAGGTTCATCCTCATCATCCCCAGCCTCCTTCCGCGCCGCATCTCGTTCCGCCGCCGCAGACGCCAGAATCGCATCTGCTTCATCTTTACCCGCTGTCGGTCCGCCAATAGTCTTCCAACCAGAGTTCTTCGCGCGTCGAAACTCCGCGCTCCGCGTCCCCGTCACCATCGCAGGCCCGTCCTCATCATCATCGATTCCGGTAATAGTATTGCGTAGATCCGGGGGGTCGTCGTCGGCGATTATGAGGCCAGTGTTTTCTTCGGTTTGTTTAGTCTTCTTTCGCTTTTTCTTGGGGCGTTCGGGGACGGGGTCGGCTGTGAGGTAGTTTTTGGCGAGGTAGTCGGCGAGGGAGGAGGGCATTTTTGGGTTTGGGGGATGTGTGGTTGTGTTGGGTTGTTTTTTGGGGGAGCTTGGCTTGGCTTGAGATTGTTGTTATCGGGTTGGTTTGATAACGGAGATTTGTTGGACCGGTATCTTTTGTATGACGTATTTAATTTGTGCAGGGTGATACGGCTAAATACATGTAATTAACGAGATGTCCATCGATCTATGGCAATGCTCTGGCGAGCACCAAATGCTAATATCCAAAGCCAACATAATAAGCAATAAGAAGCCTCGCAGATGTTTCAGTAACCCGGTGGCCTATGACCCGTTGTGGTCCATGTATCTCCTCGGACTGCCCGGTAACCCAATCTATATAGTTTCCTTAATGATAAGCTTTGTACCATGGCTCGTCTGGCTGTTCAAATCCAGGCTTCTCAAGAAATTTCCAAATTCAGAAATTATCGTTCAGAGCAGGAGGTCAGCATGGTGTCATTCAATATGCTCCATCTTGGTAGCAGTTTATACCATGCCCTCAAACATATGACTGGAGGGGGAAGCCTGGCTTCCGTAATCTCAATGTTCCAATCAATGCATAATGAACCACGGTGTCTTGCTGGATTCGTAAGTGGCAGCCGGCATATGAGACTCGATGGAGAGATGCACATTGAGTGGTCTACTGCGCGGCGCCATATGCCAAGTTGCATTTGAATATCCAAGACAGAAGTACCTGAATCGCACCAGACGATACACTTTTAATAGTCGGGGATGTTGCATTAGGAACGAATCTTCAAGAAAAGGTTGGGGGGCCAGAAACGTACTGGTTGTCGATGACTCGCTTGATCCAGTAGATCAGCCTTCCCACCCTAAATTCGAGGGAACAGAAAAGAGCCCCGAAGAATGGGTGAGTGGCGTTTCCTTTTATTCGTCGATCAGCATTGTGAAGGACGTTGCGTTGAAAAGACCGCTCAGTTCCTCTATCTTCTCTGTATAGGAAGGTGAACTTCGTGTAGGATGTGTTGGGTTGGAACCATGCCGTGGTGTGGGAGATCACAGATAGCCGGCTGCAATTATAGGTCCTTATTCTCATGAGAGGGAAACGAGAAAACATATAACGCAGAGTTTCTGTAAGGCTTGTTGGTGAATGGAAAACCATATTGTTCACCGGTCCCATCAAGTCATGTCACAGACTCGCGGGAAGCAACAGCTCCAAGTAGGAGCGCCTTATAATGTCATGCTACCATCTCTTTGATCTTCAGAATAGCTATCCTTGCAACCCAAGAGTAACTTTCGGATAGGCCAACCTCCGCTGGTAGTGATGACCAGTAACCGACCCTCGCTAGTTTACACATGCATCAATACGGCCAGGCAATTGTGCTGGACGGCGATTCAGGCAGCAATTCAACCTAGGAAGTTGCCGTTCACGAGAAATTCCATCACAAGTCAAACCAAAGCTTAGACTTCGCGGCTAGCCGAAGCATTCGGCTGCCGATATCAAGTCCCCTGAAGTGTGCCCGCAGGCGACGGAAGTGGCCGGTTTACAGGACCTAGAGTGGCTAGGTCTTCGATCATCTTCACTAGGCTAAGGATCCTGCTCGACAGACCAGTAAGCTGCACAAAGCAGGAAGGGAGACGAATGACGTGTGGATGAGGGAAGAGAAGTGAAATCTGCAGCCGGACCTTGGGTGTCGATAGCGGCGTAAGTTGATAGAGGTTAGCCCTAATATTGCATAAACAGATTTTGAATAAGAATAGAAGGTGCTGGCTTCCGTTGACTGAATAAGCAACTGTAACATTTGCGTATGGTTTAATGACTACCTGGCCCATCACAACGCCCTCGGAACTAGAAGTACAGGGGTGTACATCAGGGTCCCTGCCAACGGCATTCTGAATGTGTCGTGGCTTTCGAGATATAAAAATTCCATTTAGAAAAGGAAAAACTAATAGGAGCCGTTTTGGGTAGCCGGCTGGCCCTCTCGATGTTTAGGTCATTGGATCTCTCTCACGCTCTCTGGCGGATGATATAGCACGACCAATGGAAGCCTTATCCAGTGCCTCATATGACACAGACAAGCATATCAAGTCAAATTTGCTTCTAGAATGCAGGGCCGAAATGTTAGTGGCAAGTCTTTCGAGTGCATACTTTGTAGGCCCGGAGGTGCTGCAGCCCGCTGTAAGTTCCTCGAATAGACTAAGTTATCTTACCTGTTTCACTTCTGATATTAATGTAGCACCGATCAACTATATTTCCGTCGTTCTTTTCAAACGGCTGGTAGATTGCCTGCACCGTTGTTGTTCCATGGTGGTATCCCGGCATCGTGAGCTAAATCAAAAGGACCTGGGTGGTCAGGTTAAGTTGCTGATTTTTCGATTGAATCAATTGACAGTCTGTATCGTCAAGCGTGTCCAAGCTATGGAAGGCAGACTTTCCCACGTCATGACCCTATGTCTTTCCAAACAAATCGCTTCACATTCATCGAATGAGAACAACTGTAGCTCGATATCGATCAAGATGGGCACGGCAATTCCAGTAACATATATAGAGCGTTGAATGGTATCCAGCAGAGTCCACGATGCCATTGACTATCTTGTTCAAGTTGCGTCAATTGAATTTTCGGGCCCTACCAAATGGATATATAACGCACATCATAATGGCCATTCGTAAGCCATTATTCGGCGTTCTTGCAAAGCAGAGACAGCATGGGGACTCTGAGAGCCCAGCTCAATAACCAACATTGGTGGTTTTCAAGCTTAAATTGCCCCGTGTAAGCCTGCTTGTATGCTGAAGTCCAGACCCTGGCGTTGTTTGCCTCAAGACATTGTAACTGAAGGCTACCGCAACATGAAGATGGGTCTTCGTATGTCATAAACCACAAGTGACCAGTGGGTGCATTCGTAGAAAAAACCCCACTCAATCTTGGTAGAATCGTGTACGGCATGCTTTTTTTGGGCGATCTAAAACAGTGCAGAAATTCTGAAACGTGATTATTCCCACGGGTGTCGAGATGTTCGGTCACCATGCTTTCCCTGTAGCTGACAATTGAGGCTGATAGAACTCAGAATCCTGGTCTTCGCTATGTTGTAAACGCTCGCTTTGGAGTCCTGACAACCCTTCTTTGCACCTGCCAGAGGTGGAAAAATCCAGCCAGGATCTTTTCTGTCCGGAAATAAGCCTGCCACCTTTCTAGGACCATGTGGTGAGAATAACCCTCTTAGATTGACCCGCTCTGAAGCTGGCGTCGCGTGCTAAACGGGGCGTTGTCAGAGAAGAGCAAGGCATATGGTCCAAGGCGATGGTGAATCATCGGTCTCCAAGTGACACAGCACAACACAGCCGTGAGGCTGGTGAAGAATGGAATATTTCAGGCACCCTTCGAATTTGCCGTTCCACTCCCATAAGCAAGACAGCCATGGCTCTTGGCCCCGCAGCTGACACAATGAGTGATGATCAAGTGTCTAAACCTTGCGCGTGTCGACTTCAGGGTCTTTCCTCGGAACCACCATCTAGTCCTGTGACTAGCATTTCATTCAAACGAGTGGCTTCTGCAAGCATTTACAGTTGCATGGTCGGCGCCGACTCTTTTCATTCGCATCGGAAACGAATGTTCAATGCGGGTTGTGTCTGTCAGTGCGGTCTAGTGGCCCGATTTCGCATATCCAGGAGTCGCCGGTCCCTCCATAGTTGTTATTCTAGCCTAACTTGGGCACTTGTCAGTGATGTCCTGGTACGTATTTCAGCGTAACTTTCTGGACACAATTATGGCCATTCTCGAACTACCACAAGCTGCCGTTTCTTATCGTCTGCTGCCATCACGGGACTCCCGCCTTGATATCTCAAAGTGGTCGCTCTTGGGATCATCTCTTGTAGCTGTGAAGGCAGAACGTGCACCCAAAGCAATATCAGGCATTGGGTTGTAACGTTTAACCATTGCTCAAAACAACCAACGTCCGTTTGCCTAGAGTGTATTGAAATGATATCCTGCCCTAGCCGAAGGCCGGATACAGCGATTACTCGATGATCTTCGATAATTGGGTTCGTAGCCCTCAACCCTGGGTAATGCGCTTCGCTGGAGCGCGTCTAGCTCATGTACTCCACGTGCTGGCGGTCGATGCCAGAGGATAAAAGGAAAGTAAAAATCAAGTGCTCGCCAACTGAAAATCTATCTTGGTGGGAATGACTGTTGGGTTAATGCCGATCGATCTTTTGAAGTTGTAACGGGCTACTTTTGCCTTTGACAACTCGACAATAGCCTTCTCAATGACGGAATCTTCGGCAGGCTGGGGCTAGAGCAGAGTGTTTCAAGCTTCTTCTTGGCTCAAACTTGGCCTTCTCTACTTGGTGTGGATTGTCTTTGCACAGTTCCCGTCGTCGTGAGCTCCTGTATAAGCTTTCCGTAGGAATTTCGTGCTTTTCTTTGGGGTTCTTAATTCTTCCACCGTTCGCGGGTAAACGACTCACGGTTGGCGTCAACATTGCTTGTTGCTGAACAAGCGCCTCTTGTAATGGTTGCAACACAGCCGTTCATCTGCTATAGTGACTTTGCAAAGTGCCATCTGATCTGAAACTTCGTGTTTGAAACGAATTTTTGAAAGTTATCGCTAACAAAAGGGCACCGCTTGCCGAAGATGACCAATATGGCTTCATGGTGTCAACTTCGATGCGTGCATTGTCATTCATATAATCATCCAAACACGACCATAGATATTTTCGAACCACCGGCGTGCGTGCTGGTCACTCTGCATTGTCCGTGTTGAGATTTGGAGTACCACGTCTCAGTAACTGACAACGAACTCCGTATAATTTGTCGGATTGATTCAAAAGACTTGCGGGGGTCTATTATCAGTCTTGGTCGAGAAAACCGCCTTGCATTTAGCTGTTAATGCTTGTAGTGGCACATATCGCCATAACGACGAAGGATATTCCCGTCTCCTTTCGCGAGTTCTTCGCACCGTCTAGCAACCATTTGCACAGTTTCTCTGGAGAAGGAGTTGGCCAAATAGTGAACGGGGTTTCGACATATTGGGTATCTTCTTGGTCAATATCTATTGTCTGGATATGCTGGACAGTTGAGCTGCCTTAGTCAAACTGCCCCAAATGCAGCTTGCCTAGCTTCCTCAATGGCTATTAAGCCCGTCCTACCGCAACCACATGATAAGGGGGGTAGAAAGACAAGTTCAACAAACCAGTCTCGTTGGTTCAGAATGTCGATTTTGATCGTTCAGACCTTCTAAGCTTGTCTTTTGAGCATGGAATCGAAGGACGCGTGAGATCCCTCTCTCCACTATCTCCTCGTTCCGCGCCGGTGGTGTGATAGTAGTGGCACCCTCATGGGGATCATTGTGGATGCTGGATGACTCCAGCTGGATACCACCGGCTGCACATAAAGCACCCAAATTATGCAGTATCCTTAGTCTTCGTTGTCTGCGCTGGGATTGGTAGCGGGGGCTGGGAGCATAGAGGTTGACGATATGCTGGATGATCATACTGGTTAGCCTTTACACTCATGCAGTAGTCAGGGACATCTTACTCCATCAAGATAATGGTTCACCTGTCCACTGTGCACGTATCGTAAAACAACTGCGAGAAGTCACAATGGTATGACCCTCACAATCAAACAGCATCACTGGGCATCCAGGAGCTTGTGGGAGTATAACCTGGAATGACAGGAGGGTCAGAATGGTTTAGGCTCTAGGAACGCTCTCTGGCAATGAATTGTTTGACACATGGAGAATTAGGGACATAATGTGGAATAGGCTGGGAGCCATTTCTACTTTATCCAGGTATTTTCGTCCGCACGACCTCGTTACCGTGAAACGGTCTCTTTTCCCAGATTTGAGGGAGAGTCCCTCATTCTGTATTGGAAAGAATTATTGGGCTGATGAGTCAAAACACTCCCTAGTGGATATGGTGTGATCGTGTCAAGTACCGGAAAGATTCCGAGATAAAAGCAAGCACCGAAACTGAGAAGAGGAGGTTGGATAAGAGCGCTCCCTGCCCATATCGTTTAGGGTGAATTGGGCCCGGTTTCGGGGCTTCTTTAACCGAATATCACGCACCAGCAGTGCTTCGTGAGATTTTTCGATACGTATCAAGTTGAGCATTCGTCGCTGTTCTGATGCTGACTCGGACGCTAACTGGGATGTTGGCTGTGTATAAGCGCTTGTATGGTAGGTATACTTGGTTTTTTGCTCCCGTGTTTGAACGAATATATTCCGTCTCCGAATGGTTGAATTAGTGTGATCGAGTTATATTCTGCCATCCTCTATGTTGCGTCCGGAAGCTCATGTGTATTCCTTCGTTAAACGTAAAGATAGCCATACACACAATCATGGCTATTCGCAAGTCACCGGCTTGTGGAATCTTTTCTTGCAAATATCGCTCGATTGTTCCGTTGCTCGTAACAGAGGCGGGCGCCATAAAATGCGTCCAAAAGATATATCGGATTGCACGCTCTCGTTCTCAACTTCATCTCAGACCAAGGCCACGGAGGTGTGCTTTGGCACGTTCCACAATGGAAAAGCTCCTCGGCGGCTGTTGATGTGACTTGTTCATTGCCATTTTGAATCTCTTAACAACCGGGCAGAGTTTCGCATGCAGCACTACATTGGCACTCAGTTCACTCAAAACTAGACGTATGATCAGCTAAGGCCAGATCAGAACGAAACACTTAATGGTTGAATCAAAAGAACACCACTCACCATTATTCTGCAAATAGAAGATAGCTTCTATTACCAATAATGTGGCGTTCGGGTAATTGCAGACAAAATCATAGCTATTATAGAGTCGTGTGCCGCTTTCCATACATTCGGTTGGAATTAGACGGCCCCCTCACACTCTAAGAAGCGCCGCAACCCTTGGTAAAGCGTCTAAACTCGTATCCCTAAGAGCAGCTTTAAGGACGAAGGAGTATTTTTATATGTGAGTAGACCCGAAGATGATCTCCGTGTTGAAAATCAGGGAAATCGTTTATCAACGCATTCATGGCTCTTCTGAAACCACCCGTCTGTATCCGTGCAAACACAAGAAGACACAGAAAGGCCGACCCCCCATACGAACGTCGGCCAATTCATTCGAGACCTTGTTTGGGCCTTGTAAAACCAATAACTCTGCGGATACTATTCTCTCTAGCCGAGGCTGGAACCGAAGACCAGTGTAGCATGGAAATGATTCGGTCACAAAGCCAGAAAGCTTTGTTTTCTAGGGCGCGGGCATGATGCATGTGCCTGGGACTAAATCGCGTATGGAGATATACAGCCCTAGTGTCGTCGTCCTAGTCTGTTGACGGCCGTCTCGTCGAATTGGGATGTCGATTCTTTTGCTTTTTCTAAAGGTACCCGACCACTCGGTTGTTCCAATAGTGTAAGCTGGTCGGTATAGCTGTGCTATACCTAGCAAGGAAAAGCAATTTGCTCGATGGGTGGGAATCTTGCAATAGATGAGCAGGACCCTCGATGTATAAGACAGCTATGCTCAATGCAGAGAGACCGGTAACTCAGACGCTGCTGCATTTCAACGGGAATAAACCCTGGTTTAGGCCTATGTTAGAAACGACCCGTAAAAGTAGGTATACTAGTCACTGATTCCACGAGACTTAACATTCTCGACCACGTCTTGATTTCCATCACGGGATGGTCAGCAAACTGACACATCATAGCATTCTCGAACCACCAGGTGGCATCCTGTCATGGTTGAAGCATAATATGGGGTAACCCTATCTCAATACAAGGATTACCGGGAAACAACCACAAAGCGACATTCTCTTTGCGAAATTCCGCCACATCCACATTTAGTATGAAACATCACGAAAAGGTCGCAGGGATAGGAGCCCACGCGGACGTGCGAGACTGTCATCTGTATCCAAACTTGATTTTGTCCTATCGTCAGTCCTCATCCTGAGGTGCGAGATGGATAAAGTATTCCCTGTTGTTAACACCGGGACGTCCGTCACAACCGAGGTTCATCATATAGAAACGCGACGTACAAGACCCGGCAACACCAAGTAAGACCAAGCAGGGCGAATCGTCTGTTGCGGTAGTAAAGACCATAGTTCCCGGGTTTCCATTATTCTTCAATAGTGACGCATTCCCTCCGGCTGTCGGTAGCAGTTTCCTCTACCTATCTCTGGCAAATGTGCCAACATCCTTGGGGACTGTCAACCGAACCATCCCCTAGTAGATAGGGTTTGATCATGGCTCGACCCCAAAGTGTTGCGTGGACATGGTTGTGTCTGCTTACGCCGTGTTGAAAGCCGGCCAAGCACCAACCCGGCAACGCACAGACAGCTGTTAGCCATTCGTGATCTTCGATGTATAATTCAGGCAGGTGTGTTTCATCCACCCGACGAAAAATGCCCAGGCACTGCAGCCAGATACTGCGCGTGTTCGCTTGTAAACCCGCTCGCTCTCTGTCCAAAATATTCGAAGTATGTCCCAAGCAATGCGGAGTTGTTCTCTGTGTTACCCTCCGTGAATGAGATGAAGTGCGCGGCCACTATGCCAGAGGTTCTTCTCACTACACTGGATAGTCGGTGACTATCTCTGATCTAGGGACTGACGGTGATATGCGCCTTCAACGACGCATTGAGTAGTGGAGGTTGGAGCGTGGGTATTCATCGTGTGTCTTTTTTTTTTTTTTTTTTTTGAGACGCTAACATTAGCACGGCTACTCAGTAAGTAGCTCACCGGGTCCCAAGGGGTTGTCATTCCCAACATTATATATGCAGTATATACTATATTTTCATCTCTGGCTCACATCGTGACGCGTCGACGAGAGGTATGATAGTATACCATATTTATAATCAGCATCGTGGCGAGGAGGGATCATTGGGCATGCCACGATACCAGTGTCGTTACTATGCTGAGGACATCGGGAAGTGGTCTGTAGACAGCATTGTGCCACATTGTGCTGATCTGGGTTTCATTCCAGGCTTTCAGGGGATTGATCCTTCATGATGTATAAAGATTGTCAAGGCGGGAACAGTGAGTCCTGGTACAGAGCTGGGTTGCTTGTAGAAGATGATGGATGGGAGTTGGTTTGAGTAGGGAGAAGTTGTAGGTAAGAAAGCTACATGGGAGCTTTGCTTTCATGTGAGTTTTTTTTTTTTTTTTTTTTTTTTTTTTTTTTGTACTGATGGCAGTGAATAGAGAACATAGAAATAAAGAGGCCATACGATTTCATACAGGGTATTCACAGATATCTGGCTAAAAGACCAATAAAGACGACTTCCACAGTAGGAGAATGTAATTTTGAGACACATAGCCCATTATATACAAACTAGTGATTACAATACAGGCGCGTTCGGAACTTCATTCAGTCAATGTACGGGCATCTACATCCTACAGTCATGGGCATGCGATGGAAAACCGGGCAGAAACGAGGCAGCTGCAGGGATAGGGACGCCTATAAGTCCACCACAAATGGGCGGTTCCCCAGTCTCCCCGAGTTGCGATACATACAAGCCGCGTTCACAAACCACCCACACCCTCGGTTCTCTCCACCCCACACCTTGGCCCAGACGATGCCCAGGACGCCGTACGCAACGACCCGAGCAGCATCGACCCACGCCGTTGGATCGAGGAGATCACGAAGCAGACCGCAGAAGATGGAGACGAGCCGGCCGTCACGGGCACGCACCCGTCTTGTAGCGCAGAGCCGCTCCCATGCCTGTTGTGCTTCGTCCCAGTAGACGGGTTCGTTGCCATAGGCCTCGTGTAGGTGACCAAAGACGTGCAGGGAGGGGCGGACGCGCCAGGCTTCAGAGAGGAGGTATGGACAGCCGGCGGAGTAGACGGGTGAGAGATCGAGGTGGCCCTGCGGCGGGGTGTGGGTGATGAGAATGTCTGTTTCGGGTGGTACGGTGCCGGACCAGGCGTCGTGGTGGGGAGAGTATGCGAAGGCGTGCTCTGGCCCGAAAGGGACGATAGCGGGGATTTGAGGGGCGCCGTAGAGTGTTAGGGTGCGAATGGAATTATTAGACGTAGAGGTGGTGCTAGTGGATGATAGAGAGATGGCGCTATTGGGCGATGATGGCTGGGGTGGGAATGAGAGGGTCACGGAGGTGTGCTGGAGGTAGTGAATATCCCCCCAATCGATTCGATGGCTGTCAAGGTCTTCCAGAGAGTGTAGAGATGCTGTCGACGCTGAAACTGCTGCAAATGACGATGAGGACGGATGATCACGATCCTCGTCCCGGCGGGATCGAACGTCAAAGTAGCTGTCGTGGTTCCCGCACACGACAACCTTTTGGGGATGAGGGAGTTGTTGTAGCCAATCTACCGCCTCTTGAATCTCTCTGATACTGCCATCGTTACATAGATCCCCCGCGTGGATAAGCAGGTCGCCGTCAGGGACGTCGGGGTATTGTTGGGAATGGGTGTCGGAGATGCACACGACGCGAATAGGCCGGACATCAGGAGGTGGTAGGCGGGGAGGCCCTCGCAGACGCAGGAGTGCCTGGTGAACGGGATAAAGGAGAGCAGTGAGAGGAGAGGCGAAGAAATAGTCCGGAAGAGGTCGACGATGGAACGGAGAGGACATTTTGTTGTTTGAATATGAGAGGAGGGGAGGTGAAGTGAGATCGAAGTTGAAGAAAAAGAGGGGCGCAGGGAAGAGGAGAAAAGAAAAGCACGTGAAAAGAGGTCAGTGACAAAGAATTGACCCCATCTGGACAGGGAACAGGTTGAATGGTCAATACAGTGAAGGATTATGCAGAGAACTGTTTGAGTGAAGAAAAAGACGCAGTGGGAGATTTGACGGAGATTTGACGATTTATTATATCGAGGCGAGTGCCAACTGGCATGTATATAAGAACCATATTATACAGAACTGCACGTAGGGATTGGTTTATAGATGACTTTTCGCTGCTATATTTTTCTAAATTATATGCCGTTTTCTATGTGTGTACTCCGTACAGTGCATGGTACCCTGTCGTATACTCGCCACGCTGCTTTCGGACATTCCTGATTTCCTAATTCAGACATCTGGACATTTATATACTCTCTTCTCTCATACTCTGTAGCTATTTTTATTCTATTCATTTTGTATTCTCTGTTTCTCTATTCTATTGTATTCGAATCTCGGCTTATTGTATTAAGTATTGATTTCATACAACCCGTTGCGTCATATCAACCACTGCTGGTCTGTTCTCAGTCTTCGGATTCACGAGGAGTACTTGTATATTCATTCTTATTATACCTCACTCATAGCCTCTTCTTCTCTTCCCATATCCTCTGCATATTATTATACTCTCTTCATACTCTATTCTATGCTGTGCGGTCACCGACCAACCAACCCCTCCAGATTCGCTTCTCCGCCCACACCGTCTGGACTCTTCGCTTTCTTCCATCTTTCTCGCCCCATCAACGTCAACTTTTCTCTTCCTTTCCTCTCCTCTTCTCTGTATTATTTCTTTTATTCTCATCACAATATCGACTTCTGATTATCCTCATTCTCTTGCCTATATTTTTCCCCTCCGTATCCCCCCTATTCCTCTCCCTCGACTCGACCCTCCTCCCTCTACCTGACCCCCCCCCCCTCCCACCACCGAAACAATGGATGGTGTTGACATCACAAAAGCCGTCCTCAACAAAGGAAAACAAATGGCCAGTGTCGCAGCTTCTGCGGCCAATGGCAATGGAGGAAAGAAGCGCAGAAAGGGAACCGATTTGAAACCCATCGTTACCAATGATCCCAATTCCCCGGCCGTCGACCAGCCCACCTCGGCTGAGTATGTTTTTTTTTTTTTTTTTTTTTCCCTCCCGCATTCATCATTGATGTGCATTTTCTGACCCGACTACAGAGCCGCCTTGGCAGATTCCGCATCGCGCTCATCCTCATCATCATCCGAAGAAGAAGAAGTCGAGACTACCGCCGAAGAAGAGGATTCCGAAGACTACGTAAAGGGTGGTTACCACCCCGTCAGTGTCGGAGAAACATACAACAATGGTCGCTACGTGATTATACGCAAGTTGGGCTGGGGTCATTTCTCAACCGTTTGGCTGTCGCGCGATAATATTTCCGGCAAGCATGTCGCCCTTAAAGTCGTTCGCTCCGCCGCCCATTACACCGAAACCGCCGTCGATGAAATTAAACTGCTCAGCCGCATCGTCAAAGCCAATCCCTCTCACCCCGGTCGGAAACATGTCGTGAGTTTGCTCGACTCGTTTGAACACAAGGGTCCCAATGGCACCCACGTCTGCATGGTCTTCGAGGTATTGGGTGAAAACCTGCTGGGTTTGATTAAGCGCTGGAACCACCGTGGCATCCCCATGCCACTGGTTAAGCAAATCACAAAACAAGTACTTTTAGGTCTGGATTACATGCACCGGGAATGTGGCATTATTCATACCGACTTGAAGCCGGAGAACGTCTTGATCGAGATCGGCGATGTTGAGGAGATCGTCCAAACTTATGTCAAGGAAGAAGCCAAGAAGGAACAAAAGGAAAAGGAAGACAACCGCAACGGCCGACGGCGACGCCGCACTCTTATCACGGGGAGCCAACCGCTGCCCAGCCCACTCAACGCCAACTTTTCCGACTTTAAGCACAGCTCGCAGCATTCCCAAAGTAGCCTCAGCGCGATGATCGAAGAGTCGCCTGGTAAGTTACTTCTCTTACGCCTATTTTCTGCATGGCCTGTTAACGCGTTATAGAACCATCAGCAGAGCCTACAAAGGATGCGCCAATTAATGAAGATGAAAAACAAAAGCAAAGAGAGAAAACCACGTATGTGAAAAACTTTTGCTTTAGTCCCCCGGGTAGTACGACTGACCAGATGCCTAAACAGAGATTTGTTGGAAAGAGAGGTATCCGGAATTTCGCTAGAAAAGACGCCCTCCAAGAGCTCGAATAAAGAACCCGACAGTGAGATGATTATCTCGGTGAAGATTGCCGATCTGGGCAACGCGTGCTGGGTCGGGCATCACTTTACCAACGACATTCAAACTCGGCAATACCGCTCGCCAGAAGTCATCTTGGGTTCCAAGTGGGGTGCGAGTACAGACGTTTGGAGTATGGCTTGCATGGTGAGTGACTTCGACCTAGTTTGAAGCCACATTATATTAACGAAAACAGGTCTTCGAACTTATCACCGGAGACTATCTATTCGACCCTCAATCCGGTACCAAGTACGGCAAAGATGACGACCACATAGCTCAGATTATTGAACTCCTGGGGTCATTCCCCAAGTCCCTGTGTCTCTCCGGAAAGTGGTCGCAAGAGATCTTCAACCGCAAGGGCGAGTTGAGAAATATCCACCGACTCCGCCACTGGGCATTGCCGGATGTGTTGCGCGAAAAGTATCAATTCTCGGGCGATGAGAGTATGCGGATGAGCGACTTCCTGCTCCCTATGTTGGAGCTGCCTCCAGAGCAGCGCGCCAATGCTGGTGGGATGTCATCACACGAATGGATGAACAAGACATCGGGAATGGACGGGATCGCGCTTGATGTTCGCCCAGGAAGCAGGGGCGAGGGGATTGAAGGATGGGCGAGTGAAGTGAAGCGGAGGTGATTTTTTGACTATTACGCGATTATTCTGAGCGAGCTTGCGATGAATCGAAATCTTTCCAACGCTCTTGATCTCCGGCCGGCTTTTGTGGATTTATGTTCTTATTATCTTTTGGCGTTTTACCTGGGTTGTTTCCTTTGATACGCCTCCCCTTTGATCTCATAGACCTCGATTATCCGAACTATCTTGGAGATTGGTTATGAACCCTCCACTGTTAGACGCAGCCGTCTCGCAGACCATCTTACACCGCGTTGCCATTTTTCTCTTTATCTATTTCTTGCGAGTTAGTTATCTGTTTGATCGATTTTTGTTTTACGGAGTCACTACCAGTGGGATCTGGTGAGGAGTACTTGTTCCTGGGCAGTGGAATACAGACGTTTTGGTCTTACGAATGGAATGAACGATGCGTGTTATACGAGCTTGAGCTATGATTCTTCCTCACTTTCAGCCTCCGGATCAGGAAACCAGCCATACCGGGCTAGATCCACGTAGAACTCGCCCATCGCGTCCGTATCAACCTCCACGCCTTCACCGCGAAGGACGTCTGCTTGTCGCTCTGCGCCTCCGGGTTCACTACATGATGCATTATTAGCTTTCGTTTATCTACTAGTGAAGATACATAAGGGAAAGATACCGATGCGAAATCATCCCCTTCGAATTAATAACCCTCTGCCACGGCACATTCCCCGCATGAAAGTATTCCCCGGATTCCTCCGCGGGAAGATGTTTCAATGCGATTCCGACCTGGCGTGCTCGTTTTGCTATCCTCAGCGCACCCCAGTTATTTTATTGATCTGATAAAACATACAAGTAAAGGGAAATGAAGTGAAGGGAGAGGGACGTACGTTCACCTAGAAACAACGCTACATGGCCGTAGGTTGTTACCGTGCCGGCGGGGATGAGTTGGACGGTTTCGTGGACGGCGTTGATCCACCATTCGGCTTCTTCGGAACGGGGCATTTGTATTGATATTGGGTATTTGTTATGGGATATGTGCAGGCAGTGGTTGTTATTGTGGGGGGGTGTATATGCATGGGTGTTGAGATGGGACTTTGGGGGGATGTTGACGGGTGGTCCCCGTGGGGTTGCGGTGGATATGTTTCGGGTTTATCCTGGTAGTGGTGTTCTAGACCGGCAACCCTAATTAGACATCAATTCAAGTGCTGTCTTAGGTAGTAAGCTATAGTCTAGTGAATACTAAACCTGACAGACATCCATCCATCTTTCTACTATATATTCACTGCCGCTGCTCCAACTACTCAGGCTGACGTTTCTCACTTCCCCATCTTCTCATCCTACTCCGTACAAGCATTCCATGTCGGAGCTCCATATCAATATATGGTTCCTGTAGGCACGCTAGTCCCACTCCTAGCTCTAGCCCTGCTTCCAGAGCTGCAATAGTGACTGCATAAGTCTTGCGGCAGGTATGTTGGAGTAGTGTGACGGCTCGACGCTGCATCAACGGCTCAACGCTGCGTCAACAACTGACACAGACAAACGACACCAACACGCCCGACAAGGCATTAGTGATGTCAGGCAGACGCCTATAAAACCCCTTCTCCCTCTAGATAGATTTCCTCTTCTCTTTTTTCTCCCAGATTCGATATTCTCGTCGATGGCTACACTAGTTAGATCGGAATATCATTTCGTTAGTATCTACTAGTTCGAGCCCGTGACAAGTAGTCACATTAGTGGGCCCTTAACTGCCCTGGAGTGTTAGTGCCCCTCATCTCAGTGTCCTCCTCTTGACAGATTGCCAGGCCAGACCCTAGATTCCGCTGGGTCTGGGGGCTGTTAGGAGCTGGGCTGCTCTGTGGCCGTGATCTGTACTGGTCCCGATTAACCACGGTGAACCACAATGAGCTTGGAATGGCGGGTTCCGGGCTGGTTGTTCGCTGGGGACTCTCAGCCGGCAGAGATATATTCTTAGACTCTGTAGTTCTCTTCCTCAGTTCCTTCCTTGCTGCCTGTTTAGCAGGGCAGTTCCCTACAGTTGCTGGGTGTGGGCCTCCACAGGTGCCACATTTAGCGGGAGTGTGTTTGCAGGCAGTTCCTGGTTTGACTGGGCAGTCTACTACCCGGCAGACATGCTCAGTGCCTTCATGGGGGCCCATGCATATAAAGCAACATGGCAGGTGGTCACCGCAGGCCTTGAAGCTGCAGTGGCCCAGCTGGCAACACCTGGGGCAGACTGTGTTCACTCCTGTTTCCCAGTACTGCTCTGTCCTGTACTGGGATCCTCCAAAGCGAATACCATTGATAAGAAGCCTCCGGGACTCCTCTAGTGAGCCAACTGTAATGACAATAGTTGAGCCCTTTTAATTGCTGCTCTGCAGCTCCTTTGAGCTCCAGAGCCATGTTGGATTTCTTTTCAGCTGGTATTCAGTTCCCAGTTCAATCTCTTCGCGAGCCAGATCCAAACCACAGCTGAGATAACGTCTGATTGGGACCCCATGGACCTTGACACGGTACCATTGCTCAGGTAGCTCGACTGATATCACTGCTGGATCTACCTGCCGAGCTGCGGTGACCAATAGGTCTTTATAGCTGGGTAGTAACATAGAGTCCAGAGTGCCTTTGTCCAGGAGAATCGTAATTGCTCCAGTATTGGTATACCCTGCATTCACCACCCGGGTAAATGCTGGGAGGCCTCCTCTTGCCACTGCTCGATTGACGGCCAGTATGACATCCTCCCTTTCTGTCACGGACTCGGACTAGTAGATATTCTAAACTAGTGTAGCCATCAACGAGAATATCGAATCTGGGTGGAAAAGAGAAAAGAAAATCTATCTAGAGGAAGAAGGGATTTTATAGGCGTTTGATTGACATCCCTAATGTCCTATCTGGCGTGATGATGTCATTTGTCTGTGTCAGTTGTTGATGCAGCGTTGAGTCGTTGACGCAGTGTCGAGCCGTCACATAACCCCCTGCAAATTGAACGCGTCCTGTCAGGAATTTTGTCCACCGCTCATTCAATCCAGCTAGAAATCATATCGGGCTGAGTGTATCACACGGCTCAGATCGGGGGGTGGCTGCCAGATGGTCCAAAGAATCCCATCTGAGTTGGGATGGGCATTTGATCAGTGGGAAGGGAAACAAACCATCGGTGGTAAATAGGTGGGGAGAGCTGGGCAAAATATGAACAGGGTTGAAGTATATGAGCAAGGACAAGACAGGGGAGAGCTTCATGACAGACAAAAGGAAAAAGAATGTAAACTCCAATGCCGGCAAACAATACCGGGTATAATCAGAGCATTAGCAAGAGTTGCACGTCAAAATTTCAGACAAAGACCAAAGTCAAACAAGGGCAATACTCTTAGAGTCAGAGATGAGTTGATGGATGAGAAGGTAGATTTGTATCTGGAACCTGAAAGGTCCTTTATAGACACTATTGGCAAGGTGCTTATCCAGTCAATTCCAATACACTAAACCCTTAGGAATTAGAATTAGAGATGATAAAGATAGTATCTACACCTCCATGGTTCCGAAACTAAAATCCTGATATGAGGGTTGGTCATGGGAGCTTCCACTCTCCCATGGATCTCATCCTAGCTCACAGGATAGCCGGTTATGTTCCTGGGAGCTTTGAGCATGCTCCTTAAACTCAGATCGATCCCAGGAGCAGACTGGAACTTCACCAGAGCTCAATCTAGATATTTTCACAAGAGACAAAGAAATGGCCACAGTTGACCATCATATTAATGATTCCAGCGCAATGACCAGGGGGGAAGAAGGATTAGTGGTGAGAAGCAATACGAGATAAAGCAGACATGGGTTGAAATCCTAGCGTGGTGCATTTTATTGAGGCTGCCTTACTCAGGTTGCTCATCCATGGGCTCACCTCCTGCTCAGTGATCAGCTCAGGCTGCTCAGGGAGGGCTCTGGGCATGCTCAGGGCTACTCAGTGAGCCAAAAGCAGCGAGGGGTGAGCACCAAAACGGAAAAGGAAAGCCTTCAATATGTCGAGAAAATCAAGTACGTATGTAGCAGTACTATTGTATAATAATTATATATACAATTCTCACTTGAGCTATGCTCAATCATCAACCTCACTGTACTATGACTCCGAGAACCTAATAAGGCACCTGCTGATGGAACCACTCCATCAAAAACTCCACCTGCTCGTCCTTCGCAATCTTCACATCCTCAAACGCATTTCCCAACTCCATGACCACCTTCGTCCCCTTCTTATCATTAGGAGTCCACTCCGGCAACTCCCCCTTCCCTGTGTACGAGTCACCCTTATTCGGATCCAACGTCTTCGCAAAGTTCGCCCAGTACGCGCTCATCTTCTCCTGGATTTCGTAGTCCGTGTCCGTGAAGGGGTAGTCATTGGCGTTGGCGTAGAGAGCGTTCAGTGCGTACATGATTTCGCTCTGGTGGAAGGCGCCCTGAGACTGGCCTGGGGGGGCGTGTGTCCAGTAGTACGTGTAGAATGGGGAGGAAGCGGATCTGTACCATTCTGTTGCGTAGGCCCAGGATCCGACGAGGGAGGCGTCGCGGGCGGCTGCGTTCCAGGATCTATCAGCTGTGGCGTTTGTGCCATTGGATGGGTAGAGTTTGAAGTAGGTTGAGGAGAGGTTGCCGTATTTCAGGGAGCAGTATTCGTTGTATTCGGAGACGGAGTAGTCGGTGGTGGTCATTGCGCCGGATTCGTCCTTCGTGTTGCCTGTGATGACTGGGACGTCGTTGGCGGGGCCGTCGTGGAGGGTGTCGATGTATTTGGAGGGGAGGACGTAGTCGTCGAGCACGGGTTTGAAGATTAGGGGGTACATGGCGGAAAGAGCGGTTACATAGTCGATCCAGGTGCCGTTGACGCGGTCCTGCGAGCCGTTGAGGAGGGATTCTGTGGAGAGGGTGCGGAGTTCGGCGATGCTCGAGGCGTTGTGGAAGGTTGTGTAGTTGGTGCCGTGGGAGATGGCCGTGGACATGTTGACGTACGAGGTTGCGAGACCGGCGAGGAGGGGATCATAGGGGTATCGGATACCAGACTCGGAGATACCACCGTGGAAGTAGCCCTTGAATAGCGGGGAGTTGACTGCGTGGTATACCTGGGAGGAACCAAAAGATTGGCCCGCGACAACCACGCGGTCTGGGTCACCACCGAACTTGGCAATGTTCTTCTGCACCCATTTGAGGACTTCGAGCTGGTCGAGAACACCGTAGTTGCCAGAGGTGCGATGCCCGGTAGCCTCATACCCCTCTTCGTTTAACTCGGGATGCGCGAGGTATCCGAATGCATCATCGCGGCGGTTGAAGGTAATGAGGATAACGTCCTTGAGGGCCATGCCGCCGCCATACCACCAAGCGTCGTCGCTGGGCTCATCGGAGCCCTGGTTCCACACCATGACGGGGAGCTTGGCATCCGCAGAGCCGGCATTGGTCCAGAGGTTCAGACTGAGACAGTCCTCGCTGATGTACGAGCTGGAGCCACTAGGACACGCAGGGCCAAACGAGGTCGCTTTCAGTGTTTCGTTCCATGTCTCGCGGGGTTGAGGCGGCTTCCAGCGATTCTGATAACCAGTGTCCGCAGCGAAGGGAACGCCCAAGTACGCGGTAACATTAGACTCAGCAACGTCAAAGAATTTCTCGAGGGTCGACTCGTTGAAGTACTTGAAGCCTTGCACGGGACCGTAGTTGGTTTGGATGACTTGGTCCCAGAGTTGGGCTTGGGCGACTGCAGCGCCCAGGACGGCAGAGACAAGGCCTTTGGTAACGAGGGAGGCCATGCTGGCTTAGAAGGCGAATGGATTAGAAAGAGCGTGATGAAAAGACGGATCAAGTGGCGATCGTCCGGTATATATACTCAGCCAGCGGCGCACGATTGTACATAATCTCCCAGGATAGTACCTTGGAGAATGGACTAACCAACGGTCTCGGAGTTAATGAAGCCCGGAAGATGACGACGACAATAGCTTAGCTCTATGGACATAGTGCATCAATCTCTATCACCGTCGCTAGGACCATGGACTGTGGTATACTCGAAGTATGAAGTCGTCACCCCTGACGATCGAGCCACCGAAGTTGACCCGGATATGCATAACCCGATGCAGAATGCAACGCCTCGAACACATGGAAACGTCTTGAAGATTGCTCATGGTAGCAAATATTACCGATAATTAGTGTTGATGGGTCCCGAATCTCCAATCGCTGTTGATCCCCGAAGCCCCATCGAACCCGGGGTGTTATCTCCGACCTCCCGGTTCGGTGTCGGACACCGTGCAAGCTCTGTACAAACTCTCCAACGTTTCGGGGTGGTCCTTCATCAGAATTCGAGGCAATATAACGGAGTAATTACTCCTTAAAGTAGAGGAAATTGGAAGGCTGTGTATATCTATAGTGCATCATGTCGGCGAAGGTCCTGAAATCTCGGCTTTGAGTGAACACCATCGTGTTGATTGAATTGTTGTGACAGTGAACAGAGTAAGTTGGGTCGAGTGCCTGGTGTTTTGGACATCGTGGTTATAGCTGAAGCAGAGTAAAACTGCTCTCCAGTGGACTCAGGCCAAAAATCAAGATAAGATAGGACTTTCTGCTGTGCTGATCCGCCTTCCATATGTGAACGCCTTTATTGTTTCCTTTTCTTTTCTGGGAACATAACATCAGGCTTTTAGTCCTATCTTCTCTTCGTAACCTAGTACACCTCTATACAGAGGGACATCTAACTAAGCTACTTATGCTGTCTTCGCAAGTATCACCCCATGCTAAATATATTCCGCACTGCAGAGCAACAGATTCCCCTTCAATCAAAGACTAGCCAGATAACGATGAAGCAATGGAAGCACAAGGCCCGCAGGATTCATGCCAGCTTGTCTATGGCGGAGGCGAAGTATACCGATGTTAACAAGCACCAGGCAGAGTCGCCGAACAAACCATCAGACTATCAATAGCAGACTCTAGTCTCTCACATCAGACCCTCCTCCATGAGCATCATGACTTTTGTCATGCCTCACAGCACCCATCGGCTTGCCTTGGTTTGAAAGGGTTATATAAAAAGTACGCCATGCCGGCTTGAATGTGGTGTTACGGCATTGACACACTGGGGCATATGCTCATGTTCTCTCATTGGGCTTGCTTGGATGTCACTTAAAACAGTCATGAAGGTGTCTTAATTTCAGAATCAATCCGAATGAAATCCCATGCAGTCCCTTTTCGATCTTCATAATCAACCACCAACTCTTTGTTCTTCTTACCTCCCACTGCCATCGGCAGAAGCTTGTGCCAGTGCTTCACCAGAAGAATATGTCCGCCATCTGGATGCTGCCGTGCACAAAACCACTCCCACTGATCATGGCGCTCTGCTTCCGCGACAAATTTCCACTCCCTCCACCAACCACCACCGTGGCCGATGAATCTGCCTGAAGCGTCGTTGTAGAAGCCAAGCCACATGGATTCATCCTCAACGCAGTGCCAAAGGCTGCTTCTATCAGGACGATGGCTGTCTCCGATCTGCTCCTCTTCTCGTGGACGTAGGCCCAAGTGACCTCCTTTGAGCGTAATGACAAGTCTTGATTCGCGATCGCAAATTAAGTATGTTCCTCCATTCCATGGGCATGAAAATCTCGAATAGTACGTGGTTGATACACTAGGTGTCAGTGTGGGGTCTTGTTCGCCGTCTCCGGTAGTAAATGACTGTGTTGGTGTAAGGCGCTCCCCATCTCCGGTAGTAGATGATAATGCGTCGTCATTATCCATGTTGCTTCATGTGTCGGGTCATGTCAGCTGTATATAATAGAAGAAAGGACACATTCACAGCAAGGCAATATGCTCAAACTTACAGAGGCGCGAAGCAATTTTCTTGGTGTTTTATTTGTGTCTTTCTGCCGATAAAGTGAATAGGATGAAATGTCGGACAGTAGACAGCTTATTCCATGGAGCTTCTAAGTATTAGTACAGAGTACTCCGTAGGAAAGGGGATATGAGATGATAAGTGCCACGTCAGACACACATGCAAGGCTGTCGCATTCCACTTTCGAAGAGGGGCTGTACGCTAGACTAACTAGGAGACTCGCAGGATTAGACTAAACACCCGGCACAGTGGTTCAACGAGTCACCAGCTCATCCTAGCCGCTGTTGCTAAGGACGCCAAATATCCTGTCCTGCCTCCTGTATAAACTGACTCTCTTTACGCAAATCCATTCTCTCCCTCAAGAGAAATCTATGCCTCATACAAATCTCTGATCGCAACCTGTGCCGAAACACCTTGTTCTCCTCAGCAATTCCGCCGGGTCAGCACTACTTTCGCTCCTCTTCTTCGGCATGATCCTTTTCCAGAGCTTCGACAATACAGGAATGTACCCATGCCGCCACATGCAGTGTACTTTGCCTCGTGGATTTTGGAAAAAGTGTATTCTGCTAGTTGTGGCCCTAAATCCGCCATATCAATTCAAAATAAACCAAAACAAACATTATTTCGTCTCAAACCCACTCTCAATCCTAAGCCACGCCCCAAAATCCCTCATCCCAGGATGTAAATTCCGCAGCGCCTTAATATCAGCCCGATACCCCTTCTGATAAAACCATTTAAGCATCTCCCCGAAATCCGGCATCCACCACAATAATAAATGCACCACGAACTCCAACGTCATGGGCAAATCATCTCCCGTCTTCTCCTTAAACACCTTCCCGAACTGCTCAAATGTAAGTTCATCACCTGCCAGGGATAAACACTTCCCTTTATAAATCTCAGGGTTCAAAAACGCCTGCACAGCGAAGAATCCTATATCCTCAACGGAAACAAGCTGCAACGGCTTATCCTGAACAGCGACTTTCCAAGCCGTCGTAAACACCTTCCCGGCGAAGTCCGGCGTGAAGTTATCCATAAACGCCACGGGGCGGAGAATCGTCCACGACATATTCGTACCCTTTGCCTGTTCGACAAGATGGTGCTCGATGTTATGCTTACTGATAAAATGCGGGATGGATGTTGGATTGTCATAGGAGGTTTCGTCGCCGCCGCGGTCGACGGAGGTGTAGACGAAGAGTTGGACGGAGTTTTTCAGCGCTACGTCGACAAGAGCTTTGCCTTGGTTTTCTTCGCGCGTTTGGTCGGAACTTCCGGGGGTGGGGGACTTTTTGACATCTTAGCTTCTAGCCTTTATTGAATATGTATACATGGTGTATCATACTTGGACACCAAACACCCCCCAAACAGGCTGCGAGGTGATCTTCTTCGCATTCGCAAAGATACCCCCCGGATCATCCAGATTCCCCTCCACCAATTTAATCTTCGAAGGATCCTTTTGCTGCAATTTCTGCGCACCCCCGGACGAAGTATTCCGGGTTACGGCGAGGATCTCGACGTCTGCGTCTTGGGCGAGAAGGGCGTTGATTACACCTCCGCCTTGTTTGCCTGTCGCGCCGGTGATGAGGATTGTTTTGGGCATGTTGGGTTGATTTGCTGGGTGTTGTTGTTTAGAGAGTTGGGTGGGAGTGGTATAAGTAGTGGTTACGGCATGCATAGTTCATGTAGATAAGCTTATCTGTTTTAGGTAGTGATGAGGTCATTGGGTGGGCGATTGATAAGCTCGGGGTTGGGGTCAATGCCAATGGTGTTCGGGGTCCGAGACTACCAACGGGACTGGGCAGATTAGAAGGAAACAAAAATGATCTGTTTCTATTGTATCAGAAAAGCAACTATCGAGATGGGAAGAAATAAGCAGGACTAATCAGGTTTGTAGCCGAAATCGGGTATTCGAACAATAATCAATTAGGTATAACTATATACAGGGTAACATGATTACAGTTTGGCCTTCTCACTAAACCGTGGTGCCTGTAATGGATCATAAGCTCCCACGCCCAGCGAGTCCGCCGGCACGGGCGCATGATGCCCACCGGTCAACCCGCGAACATCGATCAGGCTGGGGTTAAGGTCTGCGATGGAGCTTGCACCAATCAAGCGCATGTTCATTTCCATCTCATCCTTCAGCAGCTGAATGGCACGGTCGACACCCGCCTGCCCGTATGCGGACATGGCGTACAGGAACGGCCGGCCGATACCGACACCCTTGGCGCCCAGACACAGTGCCTTGAGGATATCAGTTGCGCGACGGACACCACCGTCGACGAAAATCTCGATGCGGTTCTCCCAGTTGCGCGCGCGGAGCGCAGGCATCACTTCGGCCAGAACCTCAATACCGGAGCGGGAGGTGTCGAGTTGGCGACCGCCGTGGTTGGAAAGGACAACACCGTCGCAGCCGGCCTCGACGGCGCGCAGGACGTCCTCCACGCACTGAACACCCTTGAGGATGATGGGCATCTTGGTGATAGACTGGAACCACGGGATATCTTTCCAGGAGAGTGAGGGGTCGATGAAAGAGGAGATGGCGCGCGCAGCGCCCTGCGAGCGGTCAACGGAGTCACCACCCGTGGATTGCACGTTCGAGCCGACGTCGGAGAACTTGGAGCGCATGTCCTTCTCGCGACGACCGAGTTGAGGCGCGTCGACGGTGATGAAGAGACCCTTGCAGCCGCGTGCTTCGGCATGCTGCACGATGCGCTTTGTGATATTGCGGTCCTTGTTGACGTACAGTTGCAGCCATTGGACTTGCTCACCCTTGCGGGCGTCGACGATGTCGTCAAACGAGCACGATGCCAGCGTCGGGATCATCTGGATGGCGCCGTGGTCGTGCGCTGCGCGGGTCAACACCACTTCCCCTTCGGGATTACCCAGCTTGCCAAGTGCCGTTGCCGTCACGTAGAATGGAATTGATGTCTTGCTGCCTAGCATTGTTGTGCTCATGTCGACGTTTTCCACATCGACGAGGATCCGTGGCCGGAACCAGACCTTGTGGTATGCTGAGTGGTTTTCGCGCATTGTCTTTCGTCAAGTTAGCAGACATCCTCTATCACTCCCATGGAGTGGAACATACTATCTCATCATCAGCACCACTAGAGTAGTATCCCCACGCAGTCTTCTTCATCACACTCCGCGCCACGGTCTCAAAGTCAAACAGGTTATAGCACGCAGCCAAAGGAGGCATGCGCTGAACGCGCTCTTGACGCGCTGTCTCCTCAGGGTCATGCGCCTTCTCCTCCTGCTCCACAGTCGCCATGTCTACTTGGCCAAGGTGTTTCGAGGAATCGAGGTACTTGTCGAGGGTGTCGGGAGGGTGGATAGGGTCAAATTCTTCAGTCGCATCTTTCCCTGCATACTTCAGGATAATCTTCTGGCCACCGGGGTGTTCTATAAGACCAATTGTCAGTAATTGACCGGCATAATCCCTGTTCTCATAGATGCTCACCTGGCAAGAACTCGGTGACATCGTAGGCTTTCCCGTGGACAATGACCCAGCACGAGTCCTTGGAGTTGTGCTCCGCAACTTGGGCGCCTGTAAGCTTCGACATGATCACTGTATCTGTATAATATTGAGAATGACTGGCTAACCAGAAAAGAGTAGAAGAGTCCAATTTAAGGACGCGCAAATGGAAATCGGCGGGCGGTGAGTGGCTGCTTTCCAACCGGGGAAATTTGCGGGGATCTCGGGCGATAGCTCTCGGCCGATTCTATCCCGAGACGAACTCCTACATGTGCTAGATATTCAACGAATCATACAATCAATAGCATGAATTGCTTATCTACACTCCCATTCTAACATCCCGGGGACATGGAACATGGAAAAAGCCTATGCTCATGCAGTATCGTGACAAACGTGGTGCATTTATGCCTCAGGCAGAATCACATGCCGGTGGCGATGCCCTAGGTTTCCGTTTTCGGCACATCCTCTTCAACGACAACAAAGGCATGTATTATTATTGTATATATCCTTCCCAATGTACTATAAATATGTGACAAGTCGCTTGGTGCTAAACTGCATACACTAAATCGATAACTCCGTTCCAAGCTCTGAAAATCATTTTCACATGTCATGGCTTCATATAGGATCCTTTTTTCTGTTTTAACATTAGCTCGCTTCGACATTCTTGGTCTGCTTTTTGGTACTGGCAGCAAAAGCTGCATATCTCTTCCTGGTTGCCTTTATTGTGTACATGAGGACTCATGTAGGAAATTGTAGAAACATCCTACAGAATCGTCTATCCAGCTATATGCGGAATTCTGCATGCTCTCGCTCATTTTCATGTTGAAGGCGGCTCTCCAACCCTAGCTTGACGCCACATTAATCGCCAGTGCGGTTATTGCCACGATAAGCGTAGCCAACTCCTTCACTCGGCTGCTCTTCAGAACCGATCAAGGCCCGAAAGCTTGCATGTCAAAAAATGCAGTGACACAACGAGTTGATTCCAGATACTCGTCGTAACTGGGCTCGGCCTTGCGAAAAGTTGCTAAGACCTCGTGGCAATTGAGAGACAGAAGTGGCCGGCTGCAAGAAGGTTAGAATCTCTATTCAATGAAGGCACTGCAGTTGTTGAGGACTTACTATCCGTCCATTGCAAGTTGTGCTTGCGAGTTCGTTTCTTTGTGGTTCCAAAAAGCGGCTTCTGCAGCCTCCTGTTTTTGCACCCGGATAAGGATGTGCTTCCGCAGCGTCTTCTTCACTTCAAGGACAGCCTGCACTGCGCCTGAGCTCGTCCTAAGGATGCCATTTGTCTCCGCCATGTACCATTCGTCGTTGGCCAGAGGGATCTTGAATGTTTTACGGACAAGACCCCGCTTTGACGAACCTTTCAGTGGTTGTCAATATCACGGTAAGAATGGTCATGACAGTGAGTCGTTTTACCTTCTATTCTCAATTTCATATCTGCTACAAGTCTGGGGTAGGAATCGATCCACCTTCACTTCACAATAGCTGGATAGTAATGGTTATCCGGGTGGAGGATATTATCAGGTTCCTTTCTCGCCTTGGTGTAAGGACCCTGAAACTTTTGCGCAGCTAATGTTTTTCGATAGAAGACAAACACTGAGGTAAGCAAATTGGGAAGAGCGTACCTTTTATTTTCGTGATCTCGAACTTCTTGTGTTCTAATTTCCGCCCGGCCACTGTATAGCACTTGGATGGTTCATTCGTAATATGGACATGCTGGCGACCTTGACCTTTAACCGGCACTTGCGGAGGCGGTACAGAGGTTGTCATGGGCTTTCAGTTGACACTAGGGACATGATTAGCAGCTGTTTCCTACACTCTGCCCTACCACATACCCCATTCCAACCGATGGTATCCAGCTCATCCAACAACAAGAGCAAAGGTGCGTTGACAGTCGTTTCATCTTCCAATTCTTGATACGGGGGCTATCTGCCCCCACTTTTTTGTCTTCAGCCTTTTGGTGTAACTCCATCTGCTGGGCTTTGAAGATAGTCGGTATAGCTCGCCGACTTAACAATGCCTGCTCCCTTTTTTCCTCTTCTACCATAACATGCCCTATGGCTATCATTAAGACCGAGCGAGTCGACGCCCCGTATTATGGTCTGAAGGTTTAGATTGTCTAACCTCCTGCATCCTTTCAACTAATTTGCTCTGTGATTGTGAAGGCCATTGTCTGTATAGTACCACGATCGCTTACTTTCTGCAATCATGTCTTCTTATGTTCAGCTGAAATTCTTTTCGAATATGCCAGTGTTTTGCAGTTTTCTCTCGTTTCCCTTCTCATATGCCAAATGACCACTTCGCTAGCTGTCTTCCGGAAAGCGTTGAACGGAGAGGAGCTTGCCTGGCCACTCTGGATAATCTCGTTGAAGCTCTCGTGGCTTTTTGTCTTTCATCTGGGGATAAAGTGGTTGACACTCCGAGATCGGGAATCAACGCTGCTTCTTGCCATTCAGCGTACAGTCCGTACTTGTCGAGATCATCCTCCGATCTTTCTTGGCCTGTCAAGGGCGGGGAATCCGAAACCTATTCTGAACGACGACGACATCAGAACGCTCCAGCTGAGGGTCGAAAACCTAGATACAAACTCAACAGCGCCATCTCCAGAACCGTCCTTCTTCGAACCCATGTCCCTCTCTGAGCTCCAGAGCTACTCGGTGATAGGCAATGAACAAGACATTTTATTACCACCTAATGAGAAGCACTGCACAAGAGCCCCTTGCGGAAAGAGATGCCGAGCAAACTGCAGAGACACTTTGCTCTCGTCTCGCACACGAGTTGTCATGTTTCGTCGAGCCAACATCGAAAAAGACCTAATACGCTGAGGTGGCTCATGGAATGGTATTATCAAGAGTGATTGGGTACTTATTTTGTTGGTCTATACGGCTTTAACTCGGGTGTACTTATAGTGGCTTGGGGGAGACGATAATTCGACACTGGCTTTTGAAGCATATATGCCTTCAAGATAATCCTTCCTTCGGCCCATGGGGCTCATGGCATACAAAAGACCCAATTACAAGACCTCATCTCATCTTCAGTATGAGACATGATATCAATGGAGACGAGACCCTCTCAGGGGAGAGCTGCTCTTGATCGTTGGCGCGATCAGGAGTCGGATGTCTTTTATACATTTCGAGGGACATTTGATCATCCCAGTATGCGTCCCGATTATCTTGTTTCATTCCTGTCTAACCATGTCTACAGATCATGATTTTCTCTTTCATGGGACCGCAGCACGGTCGGATTATCCAAGGTTTCCATGATGGTTAGGATTTTGCAATCCGTAAGGGTCCTCTGATTGAGCTCAACGATCCCTCTATTCGCCCATTCAATGTTTTTGTGCATTTTGCTGCGAGTAAAACAATCGGGGATACATGACATCTGGCCGTTCATACGATAGATGCAACTCAACAGGGCTAGCAGGCTATTACAAGAGTGGGATTGTGTCATGCTAGCGGCTACACCGATGTTAGTTTTTTGTCTTCGACTTCCTTTAGTGCCTTGCAACAACTCGCCAACAAGCATCACCACCATTCTCCCCTTTCCCCTTGTGATTCCTTTGGTTTTTCTATCGTAAAGCAAATTCATTATGTTGCTTCATTTGAAAATAATTGTATCCTCTTTAATGTGGAAATCGTGGATCATCATCGTTGACAGTGGAATATATATCGCTGAAATCAACCTGGCGTGAACTATACAACGGACATTGCGCGCCAAATATATAGCTGTTCTTTTCATTCAATTCCAATTTCAATTGGAAGAACAAACATAGACACAGACAGACACAATGCAATCCATCCTAAAATCAGTCATCGGACCCAAAAAGGAATTCCACGATCTCGGCGGTCGAGTCGCCTTGATCACAGGCGGCGCATTAGGCATTGGGTTAGTTCCTTCTACTCCTAACCATTCAATTGATAGACCTAACGCAATCTACTTCGTAGGTACCAAGTCGCACGCACATTCGTCCTCAACGGCGCCCGAGTAATCATGATAAACCGCAAAGAAGACCAAGGCCAAGACGCCATCGACAAAATCAAGCAAGAAGCGGGTCCAACAGCACAGATTGAATGGATGGAATGCGACATGGGCAATTTCCAGCAGATCAAGGATACTTTTACAAGTTTGCGCGAGCGGGAAGTGCGCTTGGATCTGCTCATCCTTTCAACTGGTATTAACGTGAACCAATACGGCGAGACACATGACAAGATCGATCGCCATTTTCAGGTGAATTGGCTTGGTCAATACTACGTGTGTAACTTGTTGTATCCGCTTTTGCGGAAGACATCGAAGTTGCCCGAGACGCCTGCTCCAAGGATTGTCTGGGAGACGTCTGAGCAGCATCGCATGGCGCCGTCGACGGTTCATTTTGGGTCGATGGAAGAGATTAATGACCCGAATGTTGGGAACCTTGAGTTGTACGAACGGATGAAGCTGGCCATTATTCTGGGAGTCAAGTATGGGCTCTTGGATCTGGTGGTCAAGCCCAACAACGATAACATTTATGTGCTTTCTGTGCATCCTGGTGCGGTAAGTGACGGCCCCAACCAACAGAATTGTTATGCATTAGCTGACGATTCCAGGTAAGCACGTCAATGCAACAACAATGGAAAGACGCATACCCCGGACTCTTCGGAAAGCTCTTGACAACAATGATGTTGGCGATTGGCCGAGACCCCGAACAAGGTGCATTTAGCGCCTTGTGGGCTGCAACAAGTCCCGAGATCGAAGAGAAAGGATGGAACGGGTACTACTTCTCTGATAGCTGCCAGCCAGGAAAGGAGTCGAAACAAGCATCTGATCCGAAGCTGGGGTCTGCGCTGTGGGACCTCACGCAGCGGATTATCAAGGATAAGATTGGCGATAATGCACTGACGGATTGGAATGCCGCCTGATTAAGTGTACATAAGATACCATGTCCATGTCCATAGTAATCCATGTTCCTGGATCAACGGGATTAGTCTGGCCCACAATAGGTTCTTTTCACGGAGCCTTCTGGAAGCTGCAGTAAGCTAGATACATTGGACCTATCGAAGGAATGTAACCGTGTCGACAAGGAGTCGTTACTCAATCTGCCGTCCGTAAGCGGCTTGCTTGAATCTGGTATGGCTGCAAGCGACATCGCCGGGCCTGGGCCTGGCCAAAGGAGTGTTGGCACTATTTATATGGCATCTCGTGTCAGATGACACCTGAGCATGGGTAGACAAAGAACCCATAACTATATAAGCAGTGCGCTTTCTCCCATAGCTCTGCTGTCAATATCAATTTCACTACGAAATAATTGGATGCAATTGCTCTGTTTCGTGGTGATTTCTCGCGCGTCAAAACACGTGACTTACTCGACTTCAGATATTCTGTTGCTCTTTTAACGAAACAACCGACAGTCAACTAACCAAGAACCGCAAACTACACGCACCATGTTTCGATCTCCAACACTTCGCATAAAATACCAGCTCTGCTGTGTCCACTGTTTCGATCATCCAAGCCAGGCCCGTTGAACACGGCCCAGATACTCAAAACAAACTGTGCCGCCGCCCCGGCAGGTTGAAGCCAAGACCGTGTCCGTGAAGGAGATCGGCTTGGTTAAGATTCGAACCGGACCGTGACTGATGCCGTTGGTGCCCGAATCATTGCGGGTTTTTTGCGGCACTTCTTGTGTGTCATGGTGCATGGCTTGCAGGGTATGTACTGGACTCGTACAAGTACATATGGAGTAAGTCGCGATACGGCCACATGATGGTGATGATGATGATGATGTCTTGGACGGATACGACTTAATGAGCGCTATTATTTTCTTTTTTGGGGCACTGGTTGCCTTTTCGCAATACATAGTACGAGTAAGTACCTTGGGGCCGAAGTTGACCGACAATTTTGATTGCTATTTTACGCGACTATCAATCGTATAAGAGTACAACTCTGGGATGACAAGTGACAAACTCTGTTTGGCGATGTTGATTGCTCCATAGATGGGACCTTTTTTTCACATTTCTTTTCCCCGCCAAGCAGATTTCCCACCACCTTTTCCATTCCCGGAGCGGCATGTCTATCTGTCCATGGAATGGAAATGAATTTGAAACAAAAAGAAGGGATTTGAAATCAACCATGTCGTGGAATCTCGAGTCCTCGGTTAAATTGCTCACTCTGCAAGGTATCACAGACCATGTTCTTGTACGGCCTCGTACAGACCTCGTACTATCTATGTACAGAATGTTGTGCGGCGTCTACTCACTATGATAGGTTATGTCTAGGATTTGAATTTTTCCATTTTCTATCTTGAGTTCTTTGAGCTTCCAGTCTCACGTCACCCTGCAGGAGGATTATCTTTGCGGCGCATTGTTATCATCGCCGGCGGCATCATCCGGTCCGGAGGAGCCGTGTTTTCGGCTTATTGTCTGACGTCGGGGATTGTCCGTGGTGAAGTCACATAGTTTGTAG